TAAAATGTATAAAACACGTTTGCCAGTATCTGCAAGTTTTAATTATAATTTTACGAGTTATTTTTAATTCGCTACATATTGTTTTATTATAACAAATTATTGTTATTATAAGTACTTGCTACGAATTGTTTACAGAATCAGTCGTAGAAATCACGACTTCGAGTCGGCGAGGACCTTTGTGAAACGGATACTCAATGGAGCGAGATGAAAGCCTCCAGCTAGTAGGACGAAGGATGTCTGAAATTACATACATTCGGATTACGAATCCAGATTAAAAATATTTGTCATTCAAGTTGTTTATCTTTCGCCCATATGTTTGCTGGATCTGCAATTCTCGGAACGGGGAGTAATCGAATTATGTATCTGGAGCGCATTAGGCTTTAATTATGTTTACTTATTGGATCGAATAAGATTTTTTTTATGGATATAATTATATGCAACTCGGGATCTGCCTTTTAGGTAAAATGGAACGACCGGGCGGAGATTGAGATAATTATCTTGATAGTTGTTGCTCTTATTACGCGGGCGTTTACATCTTCAAAACATTTGTTAGAAATTGTATTCATTTTTAGTTGACAATGGCCCTCTTGGGGTACTTCTTTGTAACTAAATGACGTATCTTGTTTTGTGAAAACGAAAAATGCAAATGTATTTTCAAGTAAATAATGTTAAGATTCTAAAGTAAATACATATTGTTTATATTCAAACTATAACAAAATAAAACTTCGTCTCGATGACATGACAGAAACTGAGAGCATTTTTGAAACGTAAGAATGACGACTATACACCTAAAAAGTCAAAACGTTTTTACAAGAGCACAAGCCAACGATTTTCTCGTTCAGGCACCCGATAACGTATTATTTCCTAATGAAGGTAGTGACGATTTCGATGACATTATTGTAGATGTAGATACAATTCCAGATTCTAAAAATGGTATGTCACGTACGTTTACAATTACTTCTTGTATGGGTTCTGTTTCTCACCTAGAAATTCTCAAGAAATATATCAAGATTGGATTGGAAATTAAAACTGAAATTTCACGCTTTTTTATGCGCTATCAAGCAGGTAGATGTTACAACCAACCAGTCGGCAAGAATACCCTTTCTATGATTCCTAATAAGATCGCACGGTTTTTTAAACTAGAACATCCTGAAACATATACAGGTCATTCATTCCGAAGAACATCGGCAACGTTGCTGGCTAATACAGGAGCTGATGTATTAGCAATCAAGAGACATGGAAGGTGGAAATCAGCCACAATTGCAGAAAGTTATATTGGTGACAGTTTAAGTAACAAAAATGAAATAGCCAACAGGATTATTTACAATGACACTAACTCCAGTTCTGCATACTGTTCTATGACCTATAATTCTTATCTCCAAACGGTTAGATTTCTAGTGCATTTATATTTGCAACAAAAATCAAGTAAATCATCAAAAAATTTTAATCATAAGAAACGAACTAAGGACCTTCGACTCTTATTAATACCTGCGACAGATATCACTACTGGATGATTTCCTGTTGACTTAAGACCATTACATCCGGAGCTTTTACTTTTCTTACAATTGATAAGAGGTAAAAGTTAGTTACGCTCCACTTTGTTTATTTTCTTTTAGATCTATTTGCACACGTGAATTTATTTTATCGCATTTGTTTGTCGTTGACCGGGTGTTCTTTCTTAAAAAAAAAATTGATAAGGACAATGCTGACATTCCAGTGTACCTTTAGAACATATGAAATATTTCACCATAATTGGATTACTAGGTAACCATTACTTCTTTAAATGCAAATAGAAATGTTAAAGTTGATACAAAGTAGTGATGTAGAAAAATTTTCTTGCCAAGTACAGTCACTATAATCTGACAACTTATTGTGAGTTTATTATTAAAATTATAAAAAGCTTTTAATACAAAAGTTTTAGCTTTTTTGTGATTTTTTATAATACACTATTAGATGATTTTAAGAGAGTTAGAAATAAGCCAAAGTAAAATTATTAGAACGTTACATAAATATAAATACCGCCCCTATAAAACTATGCCTGTCCAAAAACTCACCCAAAATAAAAAAATTCAGCTATTAGAGTACTTCAGAGAGATACTGCGCTTGAAAAATGGCGACCTAAACTATTTTGAAAAGATTTTATAGACTGATGAGGCAACTTTTACAACAGCTGCCATTTATAATAGAAAACTTAATTTCAATAATAAACTCACAGTAAGTTGTCAGATTATAGTGACTAACCCTGTGCATACTGACATAAAGATAGTCACTTTTTTTGTCAAACTGAACCCTTTTTTTCTGTCCTCCACCTATGGTTAGTGGCGACTTAAAACACGTGTCTCGGTCATTAGAATATTAAATATACGTTTATAAACTAAATTTTCGAAGCTCCTAATTCCCCTTGTGGACTAGCGATAAGTCCTCCATCATCCAAACCCTTATCGCATTCTTTGCGGTAAGATCGACGAAAGAGGAAGCGAACGCGATAGCCGAGCCGAGGACTAATCTATCTATTATTTTTAGTACATTATTAAGAAATCGATACTGATAGAGGAGGTCACGAAAGGGTTACTTCCAAGTCAAGCAGATGCGTCCTGTTTCACAGTCAATGATCGACTTGGAGTTGACTTTTGGCTGCCTCCATATCTTATATCCGCTGCAATATTTACGATAAATCCCATTCATGGCTATCGCACGCACTTGAATGGGAATAAGTGGCGGATTTGCACATTGTTGTTCTATATCGTATATGTTGTTTTCTTCGATGGCTGATTAGCTTCTTCGAATTAATAAACTGCTACAATGTATAGGTGTGCTGCAACTTTTGCTGTCAAAGCAGCGATATGGCTCATCGCATCACCAGAGTTTGTATAACTTTGTAGCGTTGCGTTTGGTGAAGGCGAAAGAAGGGAATCGCAGCATTCTGATAACCGAAACTGGTTGTTTTTCAGAAACGTGAACAAAAAGACTGAGGTTATTTTAAAAAAATAACGATAATAATTTAATTTAACGAAAAAATCTCGAGAGGAAAATAAAATTAATTCAGCAATAATGCACAATAATAGTTATCCCGAAATCTAGGTACGACTTGGCAGATACCATAAGACAATCTAGACATCATTAAATATGACTTAAATAACCAGCATTAATCTTATCCAGTTATATATTGCTCCCGGCAGCGTGTAGAAAAATAAATAGTTGCTTGGAAACACACGACAGCTCTCCTTGGCGAGATGCTGACATGCGGTCCCGTACATTTACGACGTTCAGGCGTAATTTCGCTTCTAAATTCGAAACCTGTCGCGTTATCACCGTATCCACAGTTTAAATGATACATACTGCATAAATGTTTTGACACGACAATGGAAGAAAAAACCGTTAATTGCTTTTACTATTATCTTCAAAGGTGTCAGATCTATCATTCAGATAATTAATGATATTTATCCTTATTCAATTTTTTTAATGGATTTCCTAAGTGTTACATGGATGATGCGATGCGTTCAAGGCTAACGTAGTTATAAAAGCGGAGAATTTAAAAAAATAAGTTTTGTACAATTTTCTTAATTGTTAAATCTCTACTGCATCTCTGTGCATCAAATAGTTATTTATGTACCAAGGGAGATACAGGGATAATCATGTGGTGCATACAACGTTTCATTTTTTATTTAGACATCTGATTTTATATTTATTGTAAATTTAATAATTAAATGTAATTGAGAATGAAAACAGTTTGTCTATACTCATAAACAATGGGAAAATCGAAAGCTGAAGATACTACACGTGAAATGGTGACGATTGGCGCAAACATGCCTTATCCGAAAGTTAATAGTTTCGGAAATACAGGGTGTTGAAAGTTAAAATTTTAAATCGTTTTTTGCGATTATTCTGAAAATATGTAGGTTAGGAACTTGAAAATTTGTGAAACTATATATTTTTAGGCGACGACTAAGAAGCGTGTTGTAATTTCAGCATTGCTCATAAAGGGCCCCACTTACGACCAATTTTACCGAAAATTTAGTTAATAACTTTTTACCCTATATGTCTAACATGAAACTTGATTCAAAACCTGGAAGAGCAATCGTTTTTCCATTAATTATGTATTCTTGTTTCATTTCGGTATCTCGATCCGTTTTCGAGAAAAATCGATTTAACGAACACCATGTTTTGATAATACGAGAAATTAAAAGCGAAACACACCAAGTGTTTTTTCGTGTTATATCATCGATTAGAGGCTTATTTGAAGCAAATATCGAAAGGATATATTCCAATGAAATCTAAGTTATTGACGAGAGAGGATATTTTGAAATTTATTAGAGAAGCATCAAGTCATACATATCTTTTGGAAAAGGTAATATTGGCTATATTATTGCACGTGCTTAAAGGTTTTTGTCATTGTAGGTTGTTCTAGTAACGGGTGTTTTTGGAGGATTAAGAAAAGATGAGTTGGTAAAGCTCTCGACAGATGATATAGATGACAAAGGAATCGTTGTTGCTGCACATTTACCATTCTACGCTTATTTCTCGTTTTCCTATTTCGTTTCCTAGTAATAAACAAGCTATATCGCCTAAGTGAAAAATAAAGGAATTTTAATTCACTCGTATCCCAAAATTTATAAAAAGGAACCAATTTTTTGGTCGGATTTTGTGAGATTCGTTAGAATCAATGAGGTTATTTTTTCTCCACTTTCTTACTGTAAATGCATACACTTTCACTTTAAAATTAATTCTGAATTAAAAAACGATCGTTCGCTTACAAAATTCATTGTTTACTTAATCGGAGCCCGATTGCTTTGTTTGAAAACACAATAAATCATAAAGCATTATCGACGGCGTTTTTGAAAACATTTGCGTCAACTTGCGAAATCTACTGACAATGCAACAGACGTCTGATAATGTCAGTGTGTCTATTAATAAACTGCTCGGTATGTTCCAGACAAAGTCAAGGAATAAAAATCATAGCTAATAAGTATAGGTACTATTTTATTAAAAATATTTCTTACCTCCACAACTTTCCCAAGGTTTTTGACAGTTCCGCGTTGTGGAGTTGTGGGTACTGGTCGGCCAACTTCCTCCTAGCAGCTTGTGCCCACACCATGAAGGCATTCATCGGCCTTTTGACGTGCAACTTCCTCTTGTCAGAGGCAGCTCTGAAATCAGAGTAAATCAAAATTATTAATTCACTGTAAAACGAAACCAACACGCTTTAAAAATTAGTAAGAAAAAAAGGATAAGTAAATCTTCCTCCAAACATTTTGCAATTTTTCTCGAAACCATTGCGTTTTAGGTAAAAAATATAAAGCGACAAAAAAGCTTCTAAATTGAATGGCTTTGTAGAGAACTAATAATTTTTGAGAAATTCAAATGTGCAACCAAATTATTTTGGCTCCAAATCCACCAAAAAGTGTCTTCAGGGGGTTCCAAATTTAGTGCTTCTAGTACAACAGGTTTCTGTGATATAAAAAAGATTATTCTTATTTTGGTTTACGTTTTTCTTTTAAAAGAATAACTTAAGATTAGGTATGACAAAGCTGCACATGAAATTAGAAAAATAATTTTCAGATAAAAAGATGCAGTTTTTGTATAGAAAAGAGCACAGTTAGACTTGCAATTAATTATAAATAATAATAAATGGATATTCCGAAAATCAAAGCCAACACATTAAAAACTTTTATGTTATTTTCCCATCATTTCGATTTATAATTTACCTGCGCTTGTTCAGAGGATTCACTCATTTTTTAATATGATATGACATAAAAATATAAAAAAGGTTAATGTAGCTATAGGGAATTTCAATAATTATAAGTATACATGGTGTTCTAATGTATAATTAACGTGTCAAGCTTCTTCGCTATAGTTCTAAATAAAAAAAAAGCAACAACCTATATAGAGTTTACCAAAAATAGTTACATTGCGTAGAACACCTTCAGTACATATTTTAGTTTCGTGATAAAACTTAAAAAAACGCACACGAAAAAGTTGCGGTAGTTTTTACGCTCGCAATAAAAACTCCGCTGAAAAATGTACTGCATATTAATATCTACTGACAAAATATGAAATAATTGTGTGTCGGTTATAAACAGAAAAAAATAACCATAAGTTTAAGGCACCTAATCACTGTACTTTAAAATAAACTAAAGCCCAACCCTGGTGTTAGGTTGAGGCGTTATTTTAAGTGTACCTGCCACTAATTAAAAGCAGTTAGTGTTAATTCGTCTGTATTTGGACAGTTCTTACACTTAGTCTTAATTTTATTAAATTTTACGACAGTACTTGGCAACTATCAGTTAAAATTTACACCTTGCCGGAGTTCCTTTGCGGTATTTCTCATCAATGGAACATACAGGGCGTTCTATTTCTACTGAACAGTTGACAGGACAATGTAAAAAAGAACTCTTCGCTGTACACTCAAAAGAAAACACAGTTTTGCTAAATTTACTACTATCATTTTTTTAATTTTGATTCTGAGACCCCAAGTGCTTTCTTGCACTGCATTCATAACTTTCTGCCGCAATAATAACTGATAAAATGTATATTTACAAAGCAAATGATAACTTTAATGTCTTTATAAATATTATTAATTATTAATTAATCTGAACGCTTTTATTTATCTAACATGAAATTGTAAACAGACGGAAAGATTTGTTACCAGCGTCATTCATCTAGAATTACTGTTTAGCGAAGAACTATTCTTTAAGTTAATTCTAGATATTTTGACAAGGGAAGAAATATCAGTTGAACGATGTAAAATCACTTTTTAGTTGTCCCTTTGCTCTTAGGCCTTAATAAATTGCAACTTTTATAAATGTATCGTCCATTCAATTCCATAGAACACATTTGAGAACTGAACATTCATATTACGAATACAACAGAGATTTATTTTAACGTAAGCTATTAATTATTATATTTTGTACTGTCCTAAATATGGATGTTATCATGAGTTTTTAATTTACTAGTTAGGTCTTGTTATTGTTCTAGATATATGTAAAACAAAACATAATATCCTGTATCAGTTCAAAACGTCCTGTCAATATGTAACTAAGTAGAAATAAATTCCTTAACTATAACTCAGTAGTGACGAATAAACAATCTCAAATAATAAATAAAAAATTCGTGGCAAAACAAATCACGACCCTGTCGTCGTTGCGGCAAAATTCAATCGAACGTATAGCGTTTCTTATTATTGCAAAAGTGTGCAGTTTCCAAGACGCTGTTGTAGCAAACCTTCGTTTATTTAAATCTCTACAATTGTGTACTGTCGATATTCGGACAAAGAATCTTTGTGGTTCAGCACACTTCAGATCTGTGCGCGTGCCGGCACGCGCACAGAGTGCCGAATATTTTTCAACCAAAACTGCGATAAACTATGACAATATGTCTTGCTAATCTAACGTGTTCAGTTTCGGATGAATCATATAGTCACTTCAAAGTGGTAGAGCGCAAAATGGTTTGCAAATGTTTGCATTCGGCGAGGCTTTGGTACAGGTTGTTTTACAGACCTCGTGAGGGTCAATTTTAAAATGACATAGCAGTAATTACATATTTTGGCATTATATTTCAAAATATTTTGAACTTATCTTGAGGTCACCACGTCACGGTGTGTAGGTATTGTGAGGACCCTCTTCAGCACATATCTAGTCGATGCAGATAACAATGAATAACGGGCTGATTCAGCAATTCTCTTTATTCCTCTCAAATTCTAATAGCCGTGTGATGGCTTCTTAAGAAATATTATTTATTAATCGTTGATGAGACTGTTAGGGTGGAAAAATTTAAGGAAGGGAGAATAGCATTCAGCTAGTGCCTATGGAATTTAATATTCAAAATTCAGTTCTACAGAGCGCTTAGTCTTGTGTCAAAATTTGGGACATACAGGTTGACTTTTTTATTTTCACTGTGGAATTTGGGGGAATTGCTTAATTTTTGGACTACACCATATACACTGAAGTCCAGCACATTCTTAGATGTCTGGATTCCAAAATTCCAGGACTGTAGTGGGAGAATTCTTGTTTTTTTGTTTCCGAAAAGTTCAAACTGTATATTTTACGGATTTTATTTCATACTCTGGGAACGCAATAATTGAAAAATTTACGGAAACTGAATCAATGAGGAAAAAAAATTGAATTAACAATGAAATTCTAGTAACACTTTTTTTAATTGGTTTTTCAACATTATACTTATAAGAAAACTAGTTAGATCCATTATTTCCATACTTCGGTTCAGTGTTGACACTACCACAATCATTTTTTATGCACTTATCAGTTCGGAAAAATTCCTTCTGTTTATTTAGACAATTTAGATGAAAAACTTGTGGGTTTCTTGTTTTTCAAAGGGCAAGAACTAATTTCTAGTTTTACATAATAACTTATTCAAAAAAATGGGTTACCATATATTATTTCAATAGTCAACAATCGCCACAAACATGTTTCTAAAAACAATTTGTATAGTCTGTTATACACGCAAGAAAATATTTTCTTCTTTCAAGAAAATTATTTGATTATTTATTTATTATATTATTTAAATACTTTAAATTTATACCCAGAAATATTTCTTACTTTAAAAATAGGCAGCATTTAAAATAAATATTTGATACTTACGGTTAAACAAATTCTATTCTTAATTTTACGATCTACATAGACTTTATTGAAACATGTTTTGTATTGTATATTAATGTATCGTTTGTTTAATACAAAATTGAATAGTTTTGGTCAAATGATTGTATATACTTATTTTAAGAATATATTTGGATAAGTATAAATATTTCTCAGTAATAGAAAACATTTTGCTTCAAACTCACAACTAGGGATGGCAACAATGTATCGATCTACGCCATCTACGCCATTCTGTGACCTGCTACAATTTTCTTTCAAGAAAACATAAGTTTGATTATAATATGCTACATTTGTCTTGAATAATTTCTACATTAATACTAAATTTTAAAAGTTTATATATATTTTAAGGAACTGCTAGTTTTGAAACAAATATGTTTGTAGTTTATGACGAACTGTAAGAGATATTGTAGCTAAAGCCCGAGATAATCAATTTCAAAACTATAAAAGATTTGAATTAAATCATATATATTTACAAATATAAATTCTAAGAAAAGTTGTAGATGACAGCAAATATTTCACATAATTTTACGAAAGTATATAATTTGAATAGAATAAAATAACGTTTGCGGCAAATAATTCCATTTAAAACTATCTGCTTTTTTTTCAGTGTACTAATACCTACGCTCAAGAAAATGTCTGTGGTCGAACGAATTGTTTCCAGCATCTCTAAATATTGATGAGATGATTTTGGTGATTTTTGTAGTTTCTTTTCATCCAGAATATGCGTTGGATAATCAAAACTATTGACATAGGACACCAAGAGGAAAAAATCGATCGCTATGTTTCCAAAATTGTGCAGATAAATATCATCTAAGAGAATTTCAATAATTAAACAAGTGTTTTTAGAATCTCGTCTTTTGAATTTGATTTCTTATTGTTCCTAAATTAATTTTAAGTCTTATTCATAGTATATGTTGCAGTTTAACATGTGAATGAAAATAAAAAATTGATTTTATTTTGAAAATGACTGGGTTTTCTATTTGAACTATTTTTACTCAAAAATGTTTAGATCATAATTTGCAACACCAATAAGGTACAGCAAAAGAGCTGATGAGTCTAAAGTGAATACTATTTAAGAAATTATCTTAATTTGGTCCAAATATGGGACTCGTAGTCACCTTAGAACTGAAGAAATTTACAACATACCTAACGATTTTGTACTAATTATGTGATCTAGTTGAAATAACACACACAAAACAATATCCGTACGGTTTGTACGATGGTGTGGTAACTCCCATTTCCTAAATTCCTCACTTAACTTCAATTCCTCTCAGAACCAATAACAAATGGCAGCAAAGGTGTGAATTGGTACCCATTCGTCAATTTCTTAGAAATGCACTGACAAAATTCGTAACAAGCTCATTCAGATCACTTAGCGCTGGCAGTGGCAATTTCAAACGGAACAAAGATGGGGTATATTTACACGAGACTGTTCGCGTTAAAATCCCGCTGTGAACACAAGGATTTTAGAGCATGTTAATTAGAGGTACAGCCGTTAATTGGCCTTAACTGACGGCGCGTTTCATGTTAAAGTGGATTACAGAACGTCCGTAACTGCCGACATGATGCATTCCGATTTTTCCGTTACTGGATACGCCTATTTGTAAACATTTGCTGTCAAAACTCCCTTGACGATTGAATTTTGCGATGGGCGGTAACTGAACTCAAGTCGACGCAGATAGTAATTATCTTCAATCTATGAACGTACTTTACGCGATTGTTTAAAAAAAAAGACACCTGATGAAAGAATGTCTTTAAAATTCACCTATCCATTTTAATTTCGCAATTCTTAAGCGAAACAGAAAATATAAACGTTTAAATTAGATATACATAAAATATATGAACAGTTCCAAGGGTGTATTTCTTTCCCTTCTAAATTTTACCTGTTGTGTAAGCTTCATGGGCCAGATATCTACGGAACTTTACTAGGTGGGTGTTTATTTTATTTATACATTGCCAAACAAACATACTGATAAATATTTACAAACATCGGAGCAACAGAGAAATTAATTCTACTTTATAGGATTCTAAATGTCTCCCCTGGGACAACGCTATTGCATATTTTAGATACACTAATAATAGGATCGTTAATAGAAAAACGCAATATATGGTATATGTTTACGTTTATACAGACAAGACACAAGTTAATCTTTTTTATTAATTAGTGACGCAAAATCCATAGCTTCGTCAAAAATATTTTACTCCCAGTCTATGTAAAAATAGAAATCTATAAGTCAAAAACAGGTACAGGGCCTACTTTTTTAATTTTTGCTTGTTACCATATCCATAAATAAATTAAATTTTATTCCATTCTACATTTAAAATCACCCAATTGAATTTATAAAAAGAATGGAATTTCCTTTTTCATGTAAAAGTTTATTAGAGAATTGCTAATACTGTCTCCCCAATGACAAAAAAAAAAAGAAAATAACAATTTGAATTCTTTATCTCGAAAATACTAAAAAATGCAAGAGACAAGATCATTATAGCAAAATTAAAAGATGCAATCAGAATTAGCAAGAAATTGTCATTGGCGTAGTTTAAAAAAAAGAAGTTATAATCTTGTGATCTTTCTTATCTAATTTTCCATTATTTTGCAGGTGAAAAATGTTTTTTCCCAATTTTTAAGTGTAGTTTTTCCGCAGAATATTAGATTTTGTTTGGTGAACTTTATTGCTGTTATTAAGTATTAAAATTTAAAATTGCTCTACTGTAAAATTTATCTTTTGTAACTGTGTATTCTGGTTCTTTCCCTGTACCATTCATTTGTTTTTTATATTTATTTATTTATTTAACTTATTATCCAACGGGAATAAGTCTCAGTTACAAGATAGTGAAATACTCATGTAATTATTTACTTACAATAAAAAAACATGTAATATTGTAGACAATGAAAAGATAATACGATAGAGATATCAAAAAAGGAAATAAATAATAAAACACAACATGATTAAACAAAGAACTGATTAGTGATTACAATACTGTGAAACAAATAAAATATAATAGAAAAACAAAATTAGATAACGTCAATAAATAAAATAAATACAATTTAAAAAGCATGGGACTGAGATCAATAAATATTTTTGTGAGATATTACAATTCAATATAGCTGTGATATTATTAGCTGTTTTAATAAAATAAAAAGTGTTTAGTAAAATGTTGTGAATTACTAAGTCGACGAAATTTTAAATCTTCAAATGCAGACCAAATAAATGTACCTATAATATTATAGCCTAAATCTAGGAAAAATTCTTGTTCTGTATCATTCCTTTGCTTTTTTTATATTTATTTAACTTATTATCCAACGGGAATAAGTCTCAGTTACAAGATATATTCATGTAATTATTTACTTAAATAATAAAAAAAATGTGTAATAATGTAGTCAATAAAAAGATAAATACGATAGAGATATCAAAAAAGGAAATAAATAATAAAACACAACATAATTAAACAAAGAACTGATTAATGATTACAATACTGTGAAACAAATAAAATATAATAGAAAAACAAAATTAGATAACGTCAATAAATCAATAATACAATTTAAAAAACTTGGGACTGAGATCAATAAATATATCTGTGACATTATTAGCTGTTTTAATAAAATAAAAAGTGTTGTGAATTATTAACTCTGGAAATTTTAAATCTTTAAATACAGACCAAGTAAATGTACATTATAGCCTAAATCTAGGAAAAAATTTGAAAAGGACCATTAGATATTGTAAAAGATAACAAACCCCAAGTTTTTATTGCCATCTAAAATTGTATCATTTGCATGATCTGTGAATGATAATTTTGGATCGAAACATATGCCTAGGTCTTTTTTATATTCGGCTATTTTCAGAATTATGATAGAAGTACTATTATATGAGAATCAAAACACTTCTTAACATAACTAAAGATATTAAGGGGGTGTTTATTTCGCTGTCGCTACAAATTGTCTAATAAAATCTGGTTTTCTTAAAGTGTCAATTGTCAATATTACCTATTTTTAAGTACATTTTTACGTCATCCGCTTAGCTATTGCAATTTTTGTTACATCATCAATAAAAATATTAAACATCCGCGGGCCCAATACTGAACCTTGTGGTACACCAAATGATCCATAGTGCAAGAGCTCGGAAAGGTATGAATTGAAGGTTCCAGCATGCTTTTTTACCATTTTTTTTCTCTAGGCGGAATTTAAAGAAATATACGAGGTGTAAGATGCCATGCGAATACCCCATAACACCACAGAAGAGCTTTGTAAAACTTACTTAGAGGCGATGGGCACCAGAGTCCAGTCGTACCCCTGCAGCACCTTGGTGACGGCGTCATTGATCTCACTTTTATCTAACTGCTGGACCTGGTCCGAAGAACTAGCACTTTGGGACGCCTGTTGCTCCTGGAGCACCGTGACGGCGCTGGCGGCGACGCTGGCCGCAGCCGACGGCGAGATCGTCACTGCGGAAGGCCGCGGTACCGAACCGGACATCATCGTATCGCAGGATTATTGAAAAAAGAATCCGCGGGTCGCGTAGGACGGACAGTCGGTGTTTGTGAACCCGACGGAACCCTCCAAGTTAAACAAAGAAACTCTTGGATGCACACTGATTACGCTCGGACGTCTTCTACTGCGACGCAAATCAAAGAGTGCTTTGAGATGTCTGAGACGGTTTCCATATACCACGCGTACCTCGCTGAGTAACTCTGCCAGCTCGCGCGTCGCTCTCTGTCGCACCGTTTTGCTGGTGAATGGCGCGAGGAGAGAGAGCCGAGTTGAGTCAGTTTGGTCTTGCGGTGGTAGCGAGGCCAATGGGAGTTGCTGCGGCCGGCTTGAGTCCGCCTTTGACGTCGGATTGGTCTGCGGCTATCGGATTTTTAATCGATTCCGTTTTGACTTTTCGAAGACATGTGACTGGGAGATCGCGTTTGACATTTGATCTTTTCAATTAAATGGATGGGCATCGCACAGAAATTCGCGCCATTGGAAGGTTCCGATAGTGGTGTTATCGTAATTGGGTTATGGGAGTAGATAAGACGAGATTATTATTTTTTTACTCACATATAAACATAAAAAATAGTTATTTACACCATAAAGGAGGTAACTGTTATTTACCAGTCGAGGACGATTTTGCGCCCGAGCAGAGCGAGGGCTGGCAATAGAGTCCGAGACTGGTAAATTATACTTGACTGCTGCGTGGTGTATAACATTTTATCTGCTCCCACAGTCCTTTATGGTTCATGAAATAGAGATTAGGTAATATTTTTTGACTTTTCTTAATCAATTCATTTTCACATTATTCGAAATAAGATTTCCTAATAAGATTTCACAGGTTTTGAAACTAGAACGTCCTGAAACATATACGGGCCATTTATTCCGAAGAACATCGGCAACGTTACTGGCTAATACATCAAAAGACATGGTGGACGGAAATCAGCCACATAGCAGAAAGTTATGTTGCTGACAGTTTAAGTAACAAAAATTAAATAGCCCACAGGACGCCACTGGTTTTGATGCCTAATGATCAGAGATGTTTCTAAGCGTACTATTGTACAAAATTCGTACAATTCACATTCAAAAAGTACGACAGTAGTTTTTTCTTCCACCAGGGATAGAAAATGGAAACTGTACAATTTTTTTCAACAAGGAACTGTATCCTACGGATATAACAATTAGTCGTGAATTTGGACAGAGCGTTGGGCGATCTAAACAAAGACATTTGTGGGTTGTAGTGCCACTTATTTGAAGTAGCAACATCATTCATTAAACACCCATGAAAAAGACTAAATCATTAATATAAGAAACAATGGACTGATTATGAACTAGAAACTAACAATTTGATCTTCGATCGGGTCTCTGAAGGTGGGTTGAAAAATTATACATAAGAATTGGAAGAAGATCGATCTAGAAGAACTTTCAAATACGTCATGTTTGAAAATATTGAAATGTTCTAGTTTTTAGGTAGGTATTCCTCAACTGTGTGCTTTAGGGAAAAAGTCCAATGAATTTATAGCAGTTTTTGTCGAGAATTAGAAACCATAATATGTTCAGAGTAAAAGACAGCTTACAAGCTTTTAGAACAAGAAAAAATATTTTAAAAATAAGCTTTTATTAAAATGCACAAAAAGAAAAAAATAAACCCAAAAAGATCATAAAACCCATAATGTTGTGTAAACCCCAAACCCAGAAAAGGGTTGAATACGGCTGCTTTATAGACGTGTGATTGGTTTTTTTCCCATAACTCGTTTAGTTTTTATGCTATCAAGAACTTCAAAAAACCATTTTGTAGGTTTTTTTTCAAGGGCTATTAGATCAAATAAGTTAAAATTTCTTTCACCACTTATTTTTGTAAGGGTTTGAGCTGAAAGGGCTTGAACAAGTTGCTATTTAGGAACATACACAAACTTCAAACTTAATCTTACTTAATTTTTATCCTACAGAAAAAAAAAACAAAATTTTCAAAAAAGCAAAACTTACAATATTGTACTCTACAAAATTTTGGGTATCATTAATAGTGTTTGAGTTATTTTGAAGAAAAGACAATCTTTTCTAAAAATACAAAAATTCTCTTTTCACTTCAAGCTCAACTTTTTTCAGAACTAAGCACTTTAAACCGGTCAAACTTCTAGAGCATATTACAAGTACAAAAATAAAGAAAATTGTAAAGTGGTAACGATTATTTTCAATTGGGGTTTTTTCAAGCACTTTGAAAATGGTTCTATGAGTATTCCCTGAAAATGCATTGGTTTTTGGTTATTTCACGTTCAATCTTTCAATTTTGGAGTTTGACGAATAAGACCCAACCTTCAACAAGCTATTCCTCCGCTTGTATTGGGTCTACAGACACTATAAACACACCATTCTTTTTGTTTTTTTATAAGCCACATTTTTTATAAGAATGATTTTTATGATAAAATGCTTAGTTTTTGAGTTATTCGCTAAAAACCGTCTAAAAAAATGGTTTTCTCGGTTAAAAAATTTCACTCGCGAATAAGTCGAAAAATATTGACTTTCAGAAAAAACCTTATAGAACAAAAGTTGCTTAGAATTAGTCAATATATCCATTCTCCGAGGAGTTTTTTTCAATTAAACATTTTTCACCCCCAAAAAGGGGTGGCATCCACCCCCAGGGTAAAAGCAACCCCCGGTACAAGGTCAACTTTGAAGTAGAGGGTAAGTAGAACCTAAATCCAAAATTTTTATGAAAATAGGTACTGTTTGGCGAAATTATACGGGAAAATGGTCATTGGACTGGACTATTTGACAAATATCGCGACCCAAGTCTAATTTTACATGCGACCGCCACTAAATCTACGCTTCTTTTCGCCTCGGGATCGTTTAATTACCCGTTCGGGGTGCTAATTTGGCAACGGTCTCGCCGAGATCCACGGATACGACCAGATTAATCCTCCAGATGATATCGCAGATTAAGCGCGTTCTATTTAAATAGCAATTAGCGGAGTAGATGCAGGTAGATAGCTGCCCGACGACATGCGTCACGACGCACGTTCCGCCCCATAAACGTCACATGCGGCGGTCCTACAGATCCCGTCCATTTATTTCAGGTTGTACGTTTGTCAGCCGTACGAGGAGGGATGGCTACCGTGTGACTCCAGAATTCCCTTCTGTCTTCCTTCACGTGATGTATGCGCTCAAGTGCCACGTCGAGTTTCACTCTGCCGCCCTGATTATGATTAATACTCGAAACGGGGGACTGTATCTGAAATGGGATTTAAGTGGAGTAAACATGTGATAGCGTCGCGCCACATCGAAGGCTTGAAACCTCTTTACCAGGTGATTGTGTAATTACCATGTTTTACTAATTGCAGTCCTTCACAGGGAAATTTATGTGTGAAAGCTAAGGATGAAGTACAAGTACGTTGGAATTGTTTGAGCGACAATTTGGAAACCATTCTTCAAAGTAAGAAACCAAAAACCAACCTATAGTTTCTAGTATTACTGCCTGGTTTACTCAAGAGCTTGTCACTGTGAGAGAAAAATTAAATTTCTTAAGAGACGTGCATTGTCAGCATCCAACCCCCACGACCAGGGAAACCTTTTATTCCTATCGCAATAAGTATCGTCTTGAATTATCTAAAGCCAAAAAAAGCGCCAACGACAACTATCCAACAAGTTACCTTCCGAGTTTTTGACTGCCCCGAGATCACAAACGACTTTTAAATTCAGAGAGTTGTCTTTTAATGAAGGAAGAACTATTTTAAATAACTTAAAAGTAAAAAAAAGCAAAGATGCCTACAATTTGAATGTTCCAATCTTGTAAACTCTTAAAAACATTATAATTTTTCCACTATTTAAAATAATTAATCAATGTATTGGCTCCAACGTATTTCCTACAGCTTTCAAGTTATCCAGGGTTATTCCTGTTTTTAAGAAAGGTGAGAAAGATGATGTATCTATCTGTAACTACCGACCAATATCTCTTGTTCCCGTTCTGGCGAAAGTTTTCGAAACTGCCTTAAAATTGCAAATTGCAGAGTATTTTGAAAACAATAATTTATTCCAATCTAGTCAATACGGTTTTACGAACAAAAGCTCAACAACTTTAGCTATTAACCAGTTGACTACGGTTATTTTAAACAATTTCGAATCAAACAATGTTGTCAGTGAAAATTTTTATGATTTGACCAAGGCATTTGACTGTGTGTCCCATAGAATCCTCTTAAATAAACTAAAATTTTACAATTTTGATGACAATAGCGTGTCCCTTATTAAGTCTTATCTATCGAACAGAACTCAGTATGTTTCTTATAATTCTTGTTCTTTACACCTAACAAAAATAGTTCATGGAGTTCCCCAAAGCTCAGTATTGGGCCCTATTCTATTTCTTATCTATATCAATGATTTCCCAAATTGTGATATAACTACTGATTTTATTTTATTTGCCGATGATACTACCGCTTTAAAGTCAAATAATAACTTAATTAAACTCACAGAGGATTCAGTGGATACGCTGCCGCTGATAAAGGACTGGTTTATTGCTAATAATAACTTAAATGTTGACAAAACTCAATATTTGCTTTTTTACACTTCGCCATATCAATACTTGTGATAACTCAAATAGCATTAAATTTCTTGGAGTTTTGGAGAAAAGTTTTTATTTTACTTTTATGATTTTTTTAGGTTAACTCGTCGTTTATGCGTCACAGGAAAAACACACTACCTTTCCTAGAATTTTTTTCCTATGTCACCATATTTTTTGTTTCCAGGTGGTATTTTTTGAAAATTTAACATTAGGCCGTGACAGGTCGATTGAACTGAACCCATGACATTCATTCAATATTTTTTTGAGATTCAAGATAACCATTTTTTTGCGATATTGCAATTATTCTTTAACAGACTAATGATTTAATTTCGACTCGATAAATTTTATGAGAACACTTGATCCAATCTAGAAAACCTCTTTCTAATTTTCTCTCTCATTAATATGATTTTTTGTGTGAGGTTACAGTTAATAGAGACACACTTTCGAATTTTTTTGCGCTCAATAACGTGATTTTCGGTGATTTTACACTATTTATTATTATTATTATTATTATTATTATTATTATTTATTTATTTTATTCACCACCATCACAAGTAGTTGCATCGACAAAGACTACCAGGTAACTTTACCGAAACCAGCCAAACGCTACTTACAAAGTGGCGAATATTAAGAAAAGTCGTCCATCCCCAAGAACTTCAGCCGATAAAACAATTTGCCTAATTGGCCTGCCCACACCGAAACCCTGCAACTAATTATCTCGATTTCAGGAAACAACAAATGTGCGAAGTTCCCGATAGTGGTAAATCACGGACGTAGGGGAACCCACACGACGGTATTTGTCACTTGCGGGCGGTTTCTCTCCTTTGTCGGCGTCTTCTGCCGGTCCCCCAGGTGTAAACAGTCAGGCACGGGTCACCGTCGCCGGAGGAATGCGCATTTGTTTCTCGTATCATTTATATTTCGAGCGTTGACGTCGTGACAGAATGCCAACTCATCGCTCTGAGTATTTAAAATTAATAAAACTCATCGGTATGTTCAGTTCTTGGGCGGTAAACTCGTACTCCACTTCCTATTTTGGTACTTTGGAAATTATTTATGAAAGCGGCTGCACACGATTTATGTCATACGTTTGATTTCTATTCCCATAGCAGTTCCGATACCGCCAGGTGATAGTGCGAGATTTCAATTGCCGTCTGCATGAAAATATATTGAGGTCAAAGATTCATTAGCACTCATTAAATATAATTTTGTTATGTAGGCATTTTATTGTATATTCGAATTTGCCGCTCGTTGTTATGTTGGTAACGAGGTTGGCAGAAATGTAATTCGGGAAGTTGAGACGAAGAGGAAGAGAACAAGGTTATTCAGAGAGAGGTTAACACTGAGATTCCTGTAGTGGATTTAAAAGACTTTATAAGAAGTCATATATTAATTCAGAAATACTAAAACAAAAAATTTCACCTAACTCAACCTCATATTTTATTTGTTTACATTAATCTGCACGTATACGTATATATATTACTAAACTCTGAGGCAAATGTACAAGAGTATAGAGAAAAGACACATATCATAGTTATCAGTCAAATGAAAGCCTCTGTTCTGTTATCAAAAAAAATCTTTATCGATATTGGGGAGAAAACTTTTAAGTACCCCTCGTACATAATCAAACAAACTATGCTAAATGGACTTAGACAGGTCTTACACTAAACTAGGAATATTTATATTATTTAAAATAATTAGCAGGTTGCTTTTAAATAACTTTAAGCATTTGGCGACAGCGCAGATTGAGATTATGTTGACCTCAAAAGTTAGGTTTAAAATTTCGATTGTAACGTCATAATACTAGTCTAAATAATAATCGGTAACCAAGTCTACATCGCTAAAAATTGCCTCAAATGGTGGTGACGTCGCACAATTCAAGTTTAGCAGACTACATTAATTATTGCTGGGGACGTTTTGATGCGCATGCGTATTGCGTTGATATCCGCAGAAAGGCGGGAAAGGACGGCGTCGCCTAAATATGTTTATGTACCTATTTGAGGTTTGGGTTTAACATTAGAACATTTATTTGAAGGTGTTGTAATTAAAGCCATTTAAAACTGTTCGTTAGAACAATAGTTATAATAAAATTATACCTAAGTGAAAATATAGTGTTAATTTTCTTGTCAAACAAGAAGAAAATAACTATATAATTGAATTATTTTTGGCGAAAGAAAATAATTGATATTTAGTTTATGTACATATAAACTAACAGAAGTAATCATAATCTATGGACGTAATGGATCATTCTACCGAAATTTTACCAGGAACTTGTTTCCTCTGTAATAAAAAATTTGCTGACCGCAAATTGAGGAATAGGCATATCAAGCGAGTACATAAAATAGCTGTCTCATTATCCAGGAAAAATAACATTTTATGTCCATTTTGCAAGGAAGAAAATGATGAAATCAACACATATCAAAGTTTGAGAAATCATCTTGAAATAAATCATGAGATAACTATTGAAAAGATTAATTTTGAGTTTTCGAGCACACATGAGTATGAGTTGTGGAAAAATACGGAAAAAATCGAGACCATGTATGCAGTTGATAGAAATAACCAGTATAAGGACCACAAGGAAGTACATTACGTGTGTAACAGAAACAGTACTAGAGGTAGGTATACTTGCTTGAACATCAGATATTACTTTTGTAATATCATTATTTTACCACTGTGATATAATGATAAAATTATTATCTACTGGCATTTTATAAACTGTTGTATCTACTTATATACCTATTGTTTATTAATAGTGCCCGATATTATTAATAATAACTTTTTAAGGGTATCAAGCCAAACAGTTCAAAAGAACTGAGAAAGCAGGAGGGACAATAAAAATACATGGAGTTTGCCCCTCTAAGTTAATTGTTAAAATTTACAGTACAGGAAAAAGTATTGTCAATTTTTGGAAAACACATGCTGGCCATGACGAGAAAGAATTAAGAAGCAAACATTTATCAACAACAGAAAAGAATACGGTGATTGAGAAATTGAAGTGTGGTCTTTCAAAAGCTAGAATTTTAGAAGATGCGAGAAAATTGGAAAAGTCAGAACTGGAAAGGATTAATTTATTGAGCAGTAACGATGTAAATTATTTAGCAAGAAAACACAACATTGAAAAGAAAAGAGACAACAATGACATGGTAGCAGTGGCGTTAAAAGTTGAGGAGTGGAATGCAAATGGCAAAAATTTTGCATTTTTTTTTAAACAGGAGGGTAAGATGGTCAGTTAAGGTTTTTATCTTAATGTTTGTAAAGTATAGGTACTTATAAATTTTTTGAGTTTTTTTTATGCCGCTTATATGTACTTAAATGTTTGTGAGGGTTTGCCTAGGTTTTAGTGTAACTGGTTATTTAGTATACCTACTTATTATATATTTTTCCCTGTAAGGCTTTTAAAGGGGGTTTTATTATGGTGGTGGTTGTATTATTTACGTGGTGATGGTTTTATTGTAGGAGAGACTCATAATGTATTGAAGAAAGAAGATTTTGCTTTAGGTTTTATGAATTCAGTAATGGAAGAAAAACTTCGAAAATTTCAAACGATTATTTGTGTGGATGGCACACACGGTACTAATAGAAAAGGAATGGATTTAACAATTATGCTCATCAAAGACGATAAAAACGCAGGGTTTCCAGTGGCTTTCTTTTTGTCAAATCGTTTAGATCAGCAAGTACAGGAGGTGTTTTTAGATGCGCTGAAGAAAAAGATTCAACAAGAGATAGTGCCAGAATATTTTATGAGTGATGACGATCCAAAATATTACAATGCATGGGTAAAAACGATGGCCAATAAACCAAGGAGACTTCTGTGCACATGGCATGTAGTAAAAAATTGGAATATTCAGGGGAAGAAAAAAATTAAGGATGCCGATTTAAAGAAACAGATGAAATACGAGATGAAGAGGATACTAAATGAAACTAATGAACAGAGATTTTTACAAGTAACTAATACCTATTTTGGAAAAGCTTCAAAAATCAAATGAAGTCGATTTTGTAAATTATCTTTTAAAGTATGTGTGGGTTAATATTTATAATAAAGTTAATTATTGTTGTAATAAGTTATATTAATGTGTTTTGTTTTAAGATATTATTATCAAGATAAAGAGAGAATTCAAATGTGGGCCCATTGCTACAGGAAAAATTCTGGAATTAATACTCCCACTAAACACGAAACGTAAATGAAACGTTGCAAATGAGATGTTTTACTAAACATTTGAAACATTAACTAGAAACGTTTCTGTTAACGTTGCGTTAAACTTTTAGCAAATCGGAAACATAAATAAGAACAAATTTATACTTTATAGACTAATGCCATACAAAGATATAAAAACTATTATCATTTCACTTGCTAACCACAAGTAACATTCTATTATGTGTTTGACAAAATGTAATTATACCTCATATAGCTAGAAGTAATTTTTCTAACATGTCAACATCTTTTTTGAAAACTTTTAAATTGAATTTAGAATTTCCCGCGGATATCAACGCATGCGCATAAAAACGTCCCCAGCAATAATTAGTGTAGTCTAAGGTTAGCTGCGTTGAAGTTTGCGTTTGACGTGTTGATGATAAAAATGTATAAATATGGATTTTTCAATTTTATATTAATATTTAAGAGTTAAATTTACCGAAAAAAGTACAAAATGAGCAGCCGCTACAAATCTACAAATCCTTGGAATAAGAACGTTCAGCAGAAAAAAGCGAAACCGAATGCTTATAACCTAGAAAACTCTTCACCAACCCCTTCTGAAATTAAATTCAAAGAGGCTCATTCGAAATTACAGGCAACAGTTAAAAAACATGTAAAAGATTACGAATCTTCTTCTGAGGAAGAAGAATTAGAATCAAGTGATTTAATTGGTGAGTATACTAGAAAAATAATACCTAGATTATAGTAAAATAATTTGATAAATATTTTAAGAGGATATTTTGAAAAATTATAAGAATACCGGAGCAGAAAATGAGAACCTAGTCCGCACTCAAACTTTTATTGAAGAAGCTTTTCTCTCGGGCGCAGCCACTTGCCTTATCTGCATTTCAAGAGTTAAAAGAGACGATGCGGTTTGTAAAACCAACTGTTCGTTTTCACGTGATATTCACTTTATTCTTTATTGTAGATATGGAGTTGCACAAGTTGTTATGGATTCTTCCATATAATGTGTATCCAAAGATGGTCCAAAGACACGATAACTCAACAGAAACAAGCCTTAGAAATCCCTCTCTTGGACCAGCAGGCTAAACTTTGTTGGTGCTGCCCAAAATGCCGATACGAATACAAGTCGGAAGACATTCCAACTAAATATTTGTGTTTTTGTAAGAAAACCGAAAACCCTAAATTTCAACCGTTCCTGGTCCCTCATTCGTGTGGGGAAATATGCAAAAAGGATCTGATTCCTACTTGTGGACATCAGTGCTTGCTTCTCTGCCATCCAGGTATAAAATACTCTACTCAGGTTTATTAATTAATTAATATTCATCCTCACTTCTAGGCCCGTGCCCACCATGTCCCGTTACCGTAAATGTTTCGTGTTACTGTGGTTCGCAACCGCCTAGAACTCAAAGATGTAGTAAGAAGGAATGGTCCTGCGGTAGTGCATGTGGGAAAACTTTGGGGTGCGGGAAGCACTCTTGTACCGAGCCCTGTCATCCCGGTGAATGTAAACCGTGCCCGAAGAAGAGCATACAGAGATGTTTGTGCAAGTCCCAGCAGAAATTGAGGGACTGCGCCACTCCAACGTGGCAATGTGACAAGGTAAACGATAAAACATAATTATTTTTTAAAATCGGTTCAAGTTTTTATTAGTTTTTTAAAGTACTGTGTTTAGTTTGTGAATTTGGTTTAGACGAACTAAAAAAATAATTACGTCCAGTATTCTATGAAATAAAGTTATTCTAGAAGTCCACGCTCTAGTAATTATCCTGTACCGATATTCTTGAGGGGTTAATGTTGCCATTGTTACACTTTTGCATCACGGTCTTATCTGACATATTCGTACTTGCTAGTCAATTTACTGTACTTTACTAACAACAAAACAGTTGAGAATGTCGACATACACTTGACGAGTAGCGCTTTATAATTTTTCTCTGTCTATGGGCTACATATTTTTTTAAATATCACATTTTTAGGTATGTAATAAACCATTACAGTGCGGGAATCACAAATGTCAAGAAGTGTGCCACGCTGGAAAATGTGACAGCTGCGTTTTAAACAAACCAAGGTCTTGCCCGTGCGGTAAGACAACGTACCAGATGCCTTGCACAGAGGACACCCCGACTTGTCCTGATACGTGCGATAAACTCCTCGAGTGTGGCATACATAAATGTAGTCAGAGATGCCACAAGGACAAATGCGGAGTGGTAAGTTTTTTATTCGTTTGTATTTTTTTTGTAATGTTTAAAATTATATGAATTTTCGCACAAGGGGTTCGACTTCCATTGGACGACAAAACTTGAATAATTAACCCAATTTGACAACTTGCATTACAGTATACAAATTTTTATACAATTTCTGCGTTTCCCTTGAGAAAAGTACGCAATAAAAATTTATTTTCAGTGTCTGGAGACCGTAATAAAATATTGTAGATGCGCCCTACACTCCAAAGAGGTGCAGTGCTACAAGCCGTTTTTCTGCGAGACGAAGTGTAAGAACATGAAGGACTGCAACAAGCACCCCTGCAACAGAAAGGTACTGCCGCCGAAAAAACGGTACAATAATTTAACGGTTATGTTTTTATCATTTCAGTGCTGCGACGGTAACTGTCCGCCGTGCGAGAAACCGTGCGGTCGCACCCTGAACTGCGGCAATCACAAATGCAATTCGGTTTGCCACAGGGGGCCTTGTTATCCGTGCGCCCAGACCGAAGAAGTATTCTGCAGGTGTGGGGCCACCAAAATTACAGTGCCTTGCGGACGGAAAAATAAGACGAAGCCTCCGAAGTGCAACAAGATTTGTTCGTGAGTATCCTTTCGTCTTGAAAATTGGGTCGTTCTTTTGCCTCAATGCAATGGTAGATTTTGAAGTTAAATTTTTTTTTCCTCCTCGTTTAGAAAAGGTTCTCCGTGAAAACTGACGAAATCAAGAGCATTCGTTAGTAGAACCACCAGACGTATACCAATTTCGAACGATTTGGTGGTTTTATTAACACATGGTCTTAGGTATTTAATGTCGGTCAGGGCATTAGTCAGCAGAGTAGTTGTTTCTCGCGATATCATTAGATACATTTTTTTTCCTTATCTGTAGCACGTAGAGTTGACGAAATAGCGATTATAAAAATTTGAATCATTAAAACTCAGTAAAAAGCCCTTGCTACTCTCTTTAACCTGACTATTACTGTACAACTACCTTTTACCAGTGCCAAAAAGGTCCATTCTAAATATCAGGCGCCGTGTTACTCCCCAATAACGCATTTGCTTCCTCCGTGCAGCATCCCGCCGGACTGCCACCACGAAAAGAGAGAAAACCACAAATGCCACTTCGGGGACTGTCCCCCGTGCCGCCAGGTGTGCGACAAGCAGAGATCGACCTGTCCGCATAAGTGCAGCGCTTCGTGTCACTCTGCCGTTCTCGTGAAAATCGAAGCACAGCGAGCCTCCATGCCTTGGGAACAAACCAAACCGCAGGTGGAGAAGAGGGCTCTACCCTGCCCGGACTGCGTGGTTCCGGTGCCCGTAACGTGTTTAGGTGATTAATTTCGGCCTGGTAGGTTTGTACGTTGCGTGAAACGGAAAAAATGTGTTTTAGGTGAACATGAAACTGCCAATTGGCCGTGTCACTTAGCTAAACCATCGAGTTGTCACCGTCCGTGTGGGAGAATGCTTGGATGTGAGAATCATACCTGTTCGTTGCCGTGTCACACCGTCGAATCGGCGCCGGACAAAATAAAGGTGCGTAAATACAATTCTGCTTACCGCGTACATAAAATCCAAATCGCAACTTTAATTTTTGTTGGAAATAGTTCTAAATGTTGTGTGGAATGATAATTGCGATATGCGCCCGCTGGAAAAGTTGTGTGTAATTGTTAGCGCAAGAAAATGTGAAAAAAATTTAAAAAGGTGCATTTTTCTCCCTTCGTTCATGTATAATTCGGAGAATATTGACATTAGAGAAAACAGTCAAAGGAAAAAACGTTTCGTTTTGAGATTCTCTTCAAAATAAAAGTGGTCTGAAATTTTTATGTGCATTATTGTTGCTGCAATACAGTATACACCGAAAAAAAATTCGTGAAAAAATATCGTTTTTTCATGAATTTATTTCGGACCTTGACTTTAGAGCAGCCATATAAAAAATATGGTTCTGAGTATTTCATGATGTGGTAGTATTGCAGAAATTTTTTCATCGAAATCGGCCAGGTAGATTTCGCACAATTGATTTGTTAATTCTTCGAAAAAATACTTATAAACATTTAGAGCTGGAGCTACCATATTTGCATATTCTTCAGTAATTATAGGATGAAGCAGAGGAAGGATTGACGATCAAAATGCACTTTTTTATGAATCGTCATCAAGATATGAATTATTTTAATGAATATGTATCGATATATTTTACTTATTACCTACCTTTAGACTTTTTTATAAACTGGTTTCTAATTTCCTCCGGACAGCCAATACACTTATTTAAATGTTTTTCCATCCCACTGGAATTCTTAAAAATTGTTTTTGAACAGAAGCTGCATTTATAATGATTGTCTCAGTTCAGAAAAATATAACCAAATTGATTATGGCGTCATACTTCATTTACAAACTATTTGCGTTTTAAATATTATATTAAGAATCAACTGATTACTATTTACTAATCGTTAACTTTGCCAAAAAGAATAAAATATGCACATATAAAAGAGAATGAAGTTATATTTTTAAAATGTCAGTTTCAGTTAAACAATTGCCAACAAAATTACAAGAAAATGGCTAAATATCTTTAATTTTATGTGTACCAACCTCAAAAATTTTTTGCGGGAATTATGAATGCGTCAATTAATCAAATCAATTTCAATCTTGAAGTGTCGTTAGGACATGTCCGAAAACGATTTTTTTTTTTAATCGATAGAAGAAAGCAAGACTATTCGAATTTTACAATGTCAATTCAAAAAAATCTTTAAATTTAAATTTATATGCAAAATAAAAAACATTTAAATTTTCAAATTAAAAAAAAAATACAAAGCCTCTATTTTTCAAAAACTACATAGTTTTCGTTGATAAATGACCAAATACGGTTGTTCATATGAAACATTATTCATTAATAATATTAACTGTTATTTTAAATACATACATTGAATATATAAAACTATGTAATTTTTGAAAAATAGAGGCTTTGAATTTTTTTTTAAATTTGAAAATTTAAATGTTTTTTAGTTTGCATATAAATTTAAATTGAAATATTTTTTTTAACCGACATTGTAAGATTCAAATAAATCTCGCTTTCCTCTATCGATTAAAAAAAATCATCTATTTAGCTGTTGTAGAAACTGAAAAAAAGTCGATTGAAGTTGCACGAGTGAATTATCATGAACAAATGAATCAATCAAACACACGATGGGCAAAAAGAAGTTAACAACTACTCTGTGAACTATATGCCCTGTCGAGCATTGAATTATACCCCAATATCAAGTAAACAACTAAAATCTTGGCTATTTACTTGATATTGAGGATATACAATGCTGGTCAAGGTATGTAGTTCCAAGAGTAGTTATTTCCCACGATATCATCAGTTAAAAAATAGAAAATATGTCGCATGATTGTTGAAGCTTCCACTGCTCACCGCGTGTGTTTCTAATGAAGCAAAATTTAACCTCAGGCCGGCACCAACTGCGAACAGTGCGAAAACGACTGCACCAAAGAGAGGCCCGAGGGTTGCCAACATTCCTGCCCCAAGCCCTGCCATCCGGGGCCGTGCCCGCCGTGTAAAAATATGCTGCGCGTCAAATGCCACTGCGGGCTCAATCAGCCTTACATCCGGTGTAGCGACTGGATCGATCCTAAGAAGAGGGAGGAACTGCAGAGCTGCGGCAACCAGTGCCCCAAAAATGTAAGTGCAGAACTCAATATTTTTCAAACTAAAATAAATCGATTTCCCTTTACAGTTTGACTGCGGCCACCGATGTAAAGCCATCTGCCACGCAGGGCCTTGCCCGAACCCGGAACAATGCAAGAAGAAAGTCAAAGTCACTTGTAAATGCAGGAGGATCAAGAAGGAGTTTTCTTGCGAGAGCGTGCGTAAGAATACCGCGGTCGTGGAGTGCGACGAAGCGTGCAAGCAGAAACAAGAAGAGGAGAAGAAAGCGAGGGACTCTCTGAACGAGCAGAAGAAACTGGAAGAGGAGCTGAGAAACAAGAAGGAACTGGAGAAGTACCAGAAGATGTTCGAGGGGAAAAAGAAGGGTAGGGCTAGGAAAGTGTACGAGGAAGAGGACGAGGCCGGTTTTATTACGAAGTACCGGTTTGTTTTGTTGCCTGTTTTCGTTTCGCTTATCGCTTTGCTAGCGTATTTTATCTTTAATTAAGGTAGGGAGAGCATGGTAGTTTAGGAGCAGTGTATTTATTACGACAGGGAAAAATCACGTTTTAGGATGTAAGAAATAGGAAATAAATCCGTTTTGCACCGTAATTTTGGGTTTTAATTCCACGAAACGGGATCATTGCCATTTTGGAGGGCGATTATTGTAGCCCGAGGTTCACACTTCGTTTGAAGACAATTAAAATCAAATGCACAAAACAAATGGGCTACAGCTGTCGTACTGGGTATTTTTATTACATGACCCAATTTTTATGTTCAGTGTGTCTAATATTCTGATATATGTGGCAGATAATGAACAATTTTGATTATTTTGGCAGAAATATGTATCTCAATGGTTCATGTTTTGTTTAGTGTCTAGTAGGCATTGATACGAGCCGCTACGTCTAAAGAAACTTAAAAATGTCTGCAAAGAATAGTAATAAAATGTTTTTGAAACAGTTTTATTGGGCTGGAGAATAAAAGACACATTAAAAATCAAATGCGTAAAACAAATGTACTCCTACAGCTGTCGTACTGGGTATTTTTATTACATAACCCAATTTTTACGTTTGGTGTGACTAATATTCCGATATATGTGGCAGATAATGAGCAATTTTGATTATTTTTGCAGAAATATGTATATCAATGGTTGGTGTTTCGTTTGGTGTCTTAGTAGGCATTGATACGAGCCACTATGTCTAAAGAAAGTTAGAAACGTATTGCAAAGAACAGTAATAAAATGTTTTTGAAACAGTTTTATTGGGCTGGAGAATAAAAGACACATTAAAAATCGAATGCATAGAACAAATGTACTCCTACAGCTGTCGTACTGGGTATTTTTATTACATAACCCAATTTTTATGTTCCGTGTGACTAATATTCCGATATATGTGGCAGATAATGAACAATTTTAATTATTTTTGCAGAAATATGTATATCACTGGTTCGTGTTTCGTTTGGTGTCTAGTAGGCATTGATACGAGCCACTATGTCTAAAGAAAGTTAGAAACGTATTGCAAAGAACAGTAATAAAATATTTTTGAAACAGTTTTATTGGGCTTTAGAATAAAAGACACATTAAAAATCAAATGCATAGAACAAATGTACTCCTACAGCTGTCGTACTGGGTATTTTTATTACATGACCCAATTTTTATGTTCAGTGTGACTAATATTCCGATATATGTGGCAGATAATGAACAATTTTTATTATTTTGGCAGAAATAAGTATCTCAATGGTTCGTGTTTCATTTAGTGTCTAGTAGGCATTGATACGAGCCCCTACGTCTAAAAAAACTTAGAAACGTCTTGCAAAGAACAATAACAAAATGTTTTTGAAACAGTTTTATTGGGCTGAAGAATAAAAGACACATTAAAAGTCAAATGCATAAAACAAATGTACTCCTACAGCTGTCGTACTGGGTATTTTTATTATACGACCCAATTTTTATGTTCATAGAGTCTAATATTCCGATATATGTGGCAGATAATGTATAATTTTTATTATTTTGGCTGAAATATGTATCTCAATGGTTCGTGTTTCATTTAGTGTCTAGTAGGCATTGATACGAGCCTCTACGTCTAAAAAAACTTAGAAACGTCTTGCAAAGAACAATAACAAAATGTTTTTGAAACAGTTTTATTGGGCTGGAGAATAAGACACATTAAAAATTGAATGCATAAAACAAAATGTACTCCTACAGCTGTCGTACTGGGTATTTTTATTAAACGACCCAATTTTTATGTTCAGTGTGTCTAATATTCCGAAATATGTGGCAGATAATGAACAACTTTGATTATTTTGGTAGAAATAAGTATCTCAATGGTTCGTGTTTCATTTAGTGTCTAGTAGGCATTGATACGAGCCCCTACGTCTAAAAAAACTTAGAAACGTCTTGCAAAGAACAGTAATAAAATGTTTTTGAAACAGTTTTATTGGGCTGGAGAATAAAAGACACATTAAAAGTCAAATGCATAAAACAAATGTACTCCTACAGCTGTCGTACTGGGTATTTTTATTATACGACCCAATTTTTATGTTCGGTGTGACTAATATTCCGATATATGTGGCAGATAATGAACAATTTTGATTATTTTGGCAGAAATATGTATCTCCATGGTTCGTGTTTTGTTCAGTGTGTAGTAGGCATTGATACGAGCCACTGCGTCTAAAGAAACTTAGAAATGTCTTGCAAAGAACAGTAATAAAATGTTTTTGAAACAGTTTTATTGGGCTGGAGAATAAAAGACACATTAAAAGTCAAATGAATAAAACAAATGTACTCCTACAGCTGTCGTACTGGGTATTTTTATTATATGGCCCAATTTTTATGTTCGGTGTGACTAATATTCCGATATATGTGGCAGATAATGAACAATTTTTATTATTTTGGTGGAAATATGTATCATAATGGTTCGTATTTATATATTTAGTGTCTAGTAAGCATCGATTCGAGCCAATGCGTCTTAAAAAATTTAGAAATGCCATGTGAGAACAGTAAAAAAGTGTGTTCATAAAATAAATTCATTGTTCATCAAAAGTTCATTAAAACAAATAAATTACAGCTATCGTACTGGGTATCTTTATTACATGATCTAATTTTTATGTTCAATGTGTCATAATATTGCAATAAATGTGACAGATAATGAACAATTTTGATTATTTTGACAGAAATATGTATCTCCATGATTTTTGTTTTGTTTAGTGTCTTGTAGGCATCAATACGAGCCACTACGTCTAAATAAATTTAGAAATTACTTACGAGAACAGTAATAAAATGTATTTTTGAAATGGTTTTATTGGAGCGTAAAACAGCGAAAAAAACATGTTGAAAATCAAATGCATAAAACAAATAGACTCCTACAGCTGTCATACTGGATATTTTTATTAAATGACCTAATTTATATATTCAGTATTGTTGATTGAAATATTCTGAAATTATTTTTGATCCAAACTGAACCGTAACATTTTCTCCACTGAATTAAAAGCAGGCCCCGTACATGCATTTCACTGTGTATGTAAAACGAAAGTAAAAGATATAATCAACAAAAATGTTTATTGTTAGTGCAATAGTACCGCTTAATTTGTGATAATTTTATCAGTTTATCAGGAGACATTGACCTAGAACTTATTTTCTAGTACATCGTTATAAATGTGTATGTTTTTAATATTTTTCACAACTTCAAAAGAAAATGAAAAAATTATAAGATAAGTTAAAAATTTTCTCAAAACAAATTTTAAGGATATGTGTTTGACTAAACCTGTTTCAAATTAGGTAATGTTAACGCATTCCAGAGATAAACAAGATATCGTTTCAAGTGTTTTCTATTTAACTTCCTCGAATTTACTGTGAATTGGTTAGGTATGGAGTAAATTTTAAAGCAGTTAAATAAAAAATAAATAAAATAAAATGGCATATGAGGACTTATTGACTCCAGGAACAGAACTTAGCGAACTCAAATTCACTGGGGTAAGTTAAAGGATCAGTAGATCGTATAAAGCCTTAACTTATGTTATTTAACAATATTTTAGTTCTGGGACTGGTTTATTAACGTGTCCGATATCAGAATCCACTGGAAACACGAACCGACCTACGTAATATCCCAATTTGCTTACTTATTCGGCGGTATAGCCACGTTCGTACACGGTACGTGTTCATTCCAAGTTTTATAAGAAAATATCGATAATAACTCGATTGTAAATTTTCAGCACGCATATGGAAAGGGCGTCTTCCGTACCTGTGGATTTCTGTAGTGCTTCACGGCCTTGTCGTAGAAAGCTTGTCTTACTTCCTGCGTCCACATGTGGACAACTTTTGGCACTCCCAAACCCCCGTAATGTTTTTGGGAGGACGACTGCCGTTGCACATTATATTTCTGTGTAAGTGTAAAATCCGAACGCAAACTTTGAGTGAAGTATATTACTTGTATGAACGTTTTTTTATATACACTTTCAAAAATTGAATTCGGATGGTCAAAATAAGAACATATGTAAAGAGAACCCAAGCCCTTTGCCCAAGTTTCATCACTCTGTACCAGACATCTTCAGAGATATTTCAGGAAACGAGAATTTTGTGCAAACAAAGCGTTTTCGTACCGATTCTTATTTCGACCAACTTAAATTTTTAAATGTAGCCTATAACTACTACTATGTACATTTTCAGATGCTTGTTTTCTGTATAACAGTTCCGTCGCCGTGGCAAAAATGCGTTTGCCGAAATGGTCGGAACCATTCGCCGTGGGTCTAGGCGTGGTACTGATAGATATACCCTACGACATAATATCCGTAAACTTTCTTCACTGGACGTGGCACGATACCGACCCCAACATTTACGACAGACATTATTGGGTACCGTGGAATTCGTATTACTTCCACGCTTGTTTCGCTGCCAGTTTCACGTTTTGGTTTCATTACACAAGAGAGAAGTTGTGCAATAGCGAAGGAAAATGGCTGGCCGATAAACGGTATGCACTCCTCCAACATCAACATCAATTTCTCAATTTTTTTCTAACAAAATTTTTGTTTAGTGTTTCGAGAGAACTACTTTGTTCCGTAATAGCGGCTCTTCTAGGGACACCTGGGGGCGTGCTTCTATTTATACCAATCTACCACCCCCTCCACGATGTTTTCAAAATACACAGCGAAGTAACATTCTCTATACTGTTCGCCATATTTCTGTTGCTTATTTGGTCCGGAGACCGAAAACCGAAAGATAAAGTTTCAAATACGGCAGTTCACAAAACGCATTGGTCAACGTGGATTTTAATCGTTCACTTAATAATACACTACGCTGCTTTTATGATAATGCCGATATTTTTCAATCCCGAGGATGAAATTTCAACTGGTTTAAAAGAGCCGATCGGGCCTTGCGACCAATACGAAGACGTGAAAACTGCATTTGGAATGGTAGGTTGGCATAAAAAGTTTTGTTTATTTTTTAAATGAAAACTGTATATTATTGCATTTTCGGACCCCCCCATCCATTTTACTTGTCTGCGATTTCACCGATATAACGAAGTCTAACAACGATTTTATTCCGCAGACTTTACAGAAAAGGAAATATTTGTGCTCCTCGGACTACGACGAAAAATATTTTGACTGGCATTGCTTGCCCGATGGGAGACCCCCGTCCAGTGGCTCCATCTGGTATACCGCCTGTGGCGTCCCGTTTCCTAATAGAGCGGAATATATCTCGATAACCGCTCTATTTTGCCTGATTGCTGCGGTGGTTTTCAGAAATTTGCACTTCAAATCCTATGGGGACGCAGTTTTTACACAGAAATACGAAAACGTTAAAGATAAAAGTAAAAAAAAGGTTTAGATGATTTAATAAAAGAAGTTTTGTGAAAAAGTTATAAATTTTATAAAATGTTACATAATAAAGTTGTTTTATTTTACTTTAAATTTTCTGTCGATTTACCATGGAAAAGTATCAGGTAAGTGTACAAAAAATGCTTAAGAGGGTCCATCTGGTTGCCGCATACATACTACTATGGTGTCACCGTCTACCATTTCAACATCAGCAGGTGTATCCGTTTCTTTTAACCAGTTCCCGTCATAACGGAATTGGATAACATCCGCACTCAGGCCCTACGAGAGATGGAGACCAAAATTATATCTGCATTTCACATTTTCGGTATTAAACTACCTGCTAAACAAAGCTCCTTTTATACAGATTATCCAGTATCGCACATGCCAAAGTTTACCTTGTTATAAAACTCCACAAAAGAAGAAAAGTGAACTTTTGCCTTTAGTAGATTAAATTATTAGAACAAAATAATAGCCTGGATTTTTCACATATCTTTTGACAAAAGTTTTGGAGCTTCAGCTATTTTTACATAGAAGAAAGGTAAATACCTAGTCTTGAGTACCTCCACTATTTGTACATGTTTAAAATTAAGTAAGTAAGAACACAATATCCTTTCTCTTTAGAAGAAAAAACATTAATTTCCATTTTAACCATTTATTAAATTTTATAGTTTTTCAAATTGCAATTCCAATCTAGTGACCATTGATCAGAGATACAACATAACAAAGAAAAAATTACTCAAATCTTGAGGTAACTGGTACTAGTTAATTAGACCGATTCTAGGCCATGTACTCCAAATTTTTATAAATGAACAAATACAAACAACACGTACTTGTGGGGAAAATATAAATACGTTCGTATTTGTTCTTGCAATTTTATTTAATTGTATTAGTGAAAAAAATCTCTGTATAGGTTTAATTTTAGCACTGAATATATGCACAACATATCAATAACAAAGGGGAAAAATAACACCATACCGCTCAATCATGCACATGCACATTAGCCGTGCTAATCTTCCCTGCTTTTTAATTTATTTTAATATGTATGTAGTGTGCTGTGTGTGCGATGTGGATTTTATTAAACTTATTGATGAAGTCCAATTCACAAGTTCCTTAAGCGTTTTTTAGATCTATCTCTTTCTATATGTACTGCCAAGTACCAACGTAAAATTTTGCTTCCCCTATGTAACATAATTTTTATTTATATTTATTTATTCTAAGCCCTTGCTTTTTTTTTAATTACTTGTAGGGTTGACAATAGCCATCTATTATTCTGTTCATGTTACGACGAATTAAAATCTTTCAATCAAGGTAGGTAGGTACTTGAAAACCAAATATAAAATTTTCAAATAAGCCCAAAATATATAATCAAACGAGAATTTTAATAAATATTTGAAATATAATAAAAAATATATAAAAGTACTACTCACGGCGTGCTGACAGTACACTGCCACCAATTTCCTTAGGGGCGTGTGCCTTTTTATTTTAAATTGCACGACAACATTGTTTTGCCCCAGTAGTTTAAGATTAATATGTTCGGTTTGGTTTGACTGAAGGAAAAATAATTGGGTTAATAAGTAAAATGCGTAAAAAATAGGAAGGATGGTGTACTGTGGTTCATTAGACATTTAAAATTCATGTTTACCTTTGTCTCATCACCCATTTTACTAAAATTGGTGCAAATTTCTTTTTACCAACAATTTGTCTGCGAAACAAAACAAAACCAGTTGTAACGAATGAAATGCCACAGCTGTGATGGCCATCTGTTTTAATTTGTATCATTCATTCATAAGGACATCAAAGACGGTCTACATAAGTGAGATCTGCGAATGCATCGAGAATATCAAGATTCAAGAGATCGTTGACCACAGAATAAAGTAAAAAGTAACAATTATTGTGTCGTTGACGTTAATGGTCGTAGTGCTCATAGACTAGAGCAATCCAGCAGGCTCACTCTCCCGATGTTGACAGATCTACATTTTAGTAAGAGAACGCGTCGTATGGCGCGCTTAAGATTTAATAATTCAAACACAAAATACAATTTAACCTGAACCTGCTTTCAATGTTCAATAATCAAAAGAAAGCTTTGCATTGTTCATACGTGAATCGACGAATTAGTACTATAGATTGCGTTTAATAAAAATAATTTTATTTTTTTTTGCTATCAATCCAGCATAAGTTTCCATCCAGATAGATCTTATTTTAAAATTTCTCAGGAACTATGATTACCTGGCAGGCTTCGATGCGCTTTGAAAAGGATTGACGATTAAGTTTAATAGAAAGAAAATTTTGAATAATTAATCATCACCACTTAACATGAAAAAAAGTTGCAAGCGCTTTTATTTTTGAAGTTATCAACAAATCTGCTTGAAATGACTATCCCGGACACCACTGACTTTTAGCAAAACGTTTATAATACAAAAAATTTTTTGTGTGCTATCTACGAGGTTCATTCGAGAAGTCCTGGGCCTAATGAAGGTGGCACAAGTATAACGATGGCGATTTGATATTTAGATTTTAATTAAGGAAGATATTAGCCAAAAATATGATTATATGCATTGTCATAAGTTTCCTTCCCTCGTTTCTAAGATCGCTGCCAGAAAAATCGTTCGTTCTACTCAACGTTTCGACAGAGAACTTTTTGCAAACCCTTGTATATGGATATGAAACACATTTTAAAGTTAGGTATTTCTTTTTCCAAGATATAAGCGGGAGAGTTTTAACAGAACACTCTGTAAATAAAAGAAGTCGTTACTCACTTACGTTTACACTTACCTGCACCTTCTTTTGTAAAATTAGACGATTTAATAAAAGAAGTATTACGAAAAAAGTTTTATATTTTAAATTGTTACAAAATCAGACCTAACAAAAAGGTGAATTTTGATACAAGAAACAAAATTTACATTTAGTCCTTCCTGTTTAATAGCCTAAAAATAAAAAAAATAATATTAGAGTTAACTTAGGTTTATTTTACATAAAACTACTTTAATTTTATATTGACGATATTATGGAGTAATTAATATTAGGGTAGTGTACATTTTAAAAATAACGCTTAACAAAATCCACCAGTCTGCTGCTGGTATACTTCAATGGTGTCACCTTCTTCCATGTCTAGGGTAGTGGGTGTGTCTGTTTCGTTTATGGGATTCCCGTCAAAGCGGAATCTGACAACCTGCGTACTGATACCCTGAGAGAGAAAGAGAGAAAAATTATGCCTGCACTTCAACTTTTTAGTCGTTAACTACGTGCTAAATTTGACAAGGATTCGGAAACTTACAAACTAAATTCATCCTATCTAAATTCCTCTTCGTCTAGGAAACTTTTAGATAATAGCCAAATCCAAAAAGATATCTCTTATTTTAATCCCAAAATCAATTTCAAGTCATTTTCTTTTATCTCAAATAAGCTTCATAAACAAATTTTAGAAATTCTTTGTTCAAAACATGTACCCTTATAAATTTTACTCTGAAACCACATATTTGCATTTAGGGCTTGTGCAAGATATTGCAACTTTTTTAAATATGTTAAATTTAGCTCAAATTAAATATCACTGATGATGACCATTTCCATTTTATTCAGCAAATTGAAAAAAATAACGACTCAAATCTTTCATGTCACACAAAAAGTGTACCGACTTAAGACCGAAATATGTGCTAAATTTCAAATAAATATATCTACAATCACCACAGCTATAAATAAAAATCATTTTCTAAATTTTAATTTTGACACCCTATATTTTGAAAATGGGGATCAAAATTAAAAGTGGCATAAAAAAACTCCCATTATATTAGTCCAAAGAATATGTGGTTAACTGCTTGACCTATTAATTTATAACACCCTGTATGTAAAAATCAATGTTAGTGTGTGACGGTTATAGACATACAGAACATCACTCGATCGATTGAACTTAAATCTACGGATTATATGAGAAAGTAGTTTGAGAAATTTTCAATAGGTGGCGCTGTGTATTTTTACAGACTTCTAACATGTAGATTTATTCAACTTCTTTCAAATTAAAAATAACTGGAAAATGGTTCATGTTTCAGGTGATACGATGTCATGGAAATACTATTTGGAGTTAAAAGCATTTATCCGTTTCCAAAATATTCAGTGGCGTAGAAATTCTATGGTTATTAGTGATAGTTATATTCAACGTTACTTCTAGACTTAGCGGGTAGAGTTTAGTTGCAGAGTTAAAACGTGATTATGTACTTTTACAGTAGAAATTAGAGAAAAAATGACCTCTTAATAAAAAAGATACTATTGGAAATGCGATAGCGTAGCCTTTGGTTTTATAAGCCAAGTTATTGTAAATTTGATAGAATTTTTTATAAGGGGTACACAAATAATCGACCATTACATTTATTCAACATTAGCTTCATTACTTTTTATGACAAAACAATTTGCTGCATCATTGTCACCCATTATAATACTAAATGTTAACGCAAAATGAGGGCAAAGAAAGTTATCAATACCACAAAACTAAAAGTCCACCATATCTTTTAACGATTTATATAAATATTCAAAAAAAGTTTATTTATCTCGTTATTACTCTAATCTTGCCGATAAAACACTCACTGTAATTCGTAACAATCAAAATCTTAACACCATATCAAAATAACACTTATTTCGTTAATAGACGGATATTACATCTCTTGTTACGAAAATCAATAAATACATTTTTTATAACAGAACAAATTATTTTAATTAAAAACATATGAACGTCACAGTTCGCTTTGGTTTCGAGATACCAGGTGTTGAAATTAGGAAAAAAATCATTTTCTCAATATGACTGAGGATTTTTGATGTATTCTAAACGTGAACCACCGATTTATATAACTAGAAGTAAAAATTCGCTAAATTCAGAACTCAGAACTCAACGCCAATTTTGTAAGTTTGATTAATTCAGATAAACAATAACAAGAACAATTATTACTGAATACGGTAAACAAACTTGAAATATTGATATGACTCGGTTCATTCAATGTAATATATTCGAATTTATGATTCATGTTACGTAGAATAAGAACATTTCAATGATTACAACTCGACTACATTCACAAAAATTCTATTAGAACTATTACGATAGTCAAAATAATAATTTTTTTTATAAAAAATTCTTTAAATACACGCAGTCACTAATTATTTTCGTAAACAAATTTAGAAAATAAAACAATTTCTCATTTTATCAAAACAAGGCTTTTCGATAATGCATATACTCAAAAAACACAATACAAACTTACAAACGAACTAAAAATATACAAACAAATGAGGTACTAAACTGGGACACTTCACACGTAAATAACGAAAAATGTACAAAAACTTACAGCACGCTCGCAGTACGCCGTCATCAATTTCCTTAGGGGTGTGTGCCTTTTTATTTTAAATTGTACGACAGCGTTGTCTTGGCCCAGTACTTTGAGATTAATGTGTTCGGCTTCGTTTGACTGAAAATCGGGGAAACATAAGTACATGGGTAAAATATAGCGAAGATGCTATGTCACTATGGTTAGAAATCTAAAATTAATGTTTACCTTTTTTTCATCGCCCATTTTACTGAAATTTGTTGAAACTACTTTTCGTCAACAACAATTTGCTATCTGCTATCACGGCAGCGTCACAAAAGAAAACTAGTTCTAAGGACAACGTCTTTACAAACACCACAGCTTACCGCTGCAAAATAATGATGGCCGGCTCGTTAAAGTAGCGGCAAAGCGGCATAGGAAGGTACCGCGCTAGTCATATCATGAGCGGACAATTACACTTCCGGTTCGCGTACAAAGTTCTATGTATAATTAACGCTACGATGAAATGTATTTTGTAGAAAAAGTTGATGTGGTAGTGATAAAAAAGTTGATAATCTATTTATCATTCACCTTCTTAATACGACACGATTCATATTTTTATTAATTTGAAATTTTGTTGCTAACTTCATGAAATTCGATTGAAAAGCGATAACATAAGGAAGGTTTAATTTTTGGTATTCTATTTTGGAAACTACATGGTACTAATTTAATTATCATCTGTATTTACATATTCGTACTACTATTAAATTTATCGTTTTAAATTAAATTTTAAAACGTCAGTTTATGAGAAAATTAGTTGTCCGCTTCTAAGTTCTATTCTATTCTAGTCTATTCTATCTGGGAAAAAAACTTGCGTAGATATTATCATTATGTATTCTCATTGTTTAAATATTATACAATATTTGAACGATGGTATTATTATAATATAGGTATGCGAATATGCAATATAGATTTTTTTCTTAGTGGTAGTATTGTTAGTTAAAAATGTTTATAGATGTTTACACTTCTTTCTCTAGATGTTCTGTGGTCAGTAATGTCTCAAAAATGTCGATTGTCTATTGTCAATTTACTAAAGTGTCGTGATTTTGGACAAGTTGTGGCGGCTAAAAAATTTAAGTTTCTAGAAAATATAATTTATTTTGTACATTCATATCTTTTGAATTGAGCTTGTTACAAATAGCAGGTATAATACGTACCTCATCTGTAAGTAATTTATTAACAGTTTACATTTTTCAGCCAACAATGATCATTCCAGTCCGCTGTTTTACATGTGGAAAAGTGATTGGAAATAAATGGGAGGCGTATTTAGGTCTTCTACAAGCAGAATATACGGAGGGTGATGCTTTAGATGCTCTCGGACTTAAACGATATTGTTGTCGGAGAATGCTCTTAGGACATGTCGATCTCATCGAGAAACTTCTCAATTATGCTCCTCTGGAGAAATAATTCGCAAATGTGGTTGTCACTATTGAAGTAATAGTTCGATGTTTTATGTAAGTTTAGATTTAACATAATGAGGTTTTAGTGTTTATTGATTGGTACTATATTAAATTAGTGTTTCATATATTTTTTTTTTTTCACCCTTTGCAGTATTGGTTTATTTGTAAAACGCATTGAAGTAGAAAACTTTTTCATCACTTTAAAAGAGATTTAAAATGAAACTGATTTATAAAAATGAAGTTTATTATACATATAAATTGAATATCTTCATTTTCATGTAAATAATTTTTACAGATTTAAGACAAGTGAACCCAATTAGTAAGATATTAATTAACCAGTCTTCGCACTCTAAGTTAACGGATTAGAATTATTAAAGTTATACTTTGTTAATAAAACCACCAACTAGTAGGACGTAAGTAAAAATATTTTAATTTGTTATAATTTAAATTTGATAATAGTAACTATGAGAAATATAGCAGCCTATAATTACACAAAATCGTAAATATATGTATATCACAATGCACGAGAAGCACAACAAATCAATCGTAGGGGAAGGCAACTACAAGGAGAAGAACTTTAGAAACGCCGAGGGTGGTACGGGGCTGGGGGGAGTTATTCCCCCGGCTTCCTGGAGCCTTGCCCGATACTCCGGACACTGATCCGCGATGCAGGGGTGTCCTAGCGACCGCCAGAACAGGCAGCGGCAGTAGCGACACAGCGATAGCATCTCCGCGTATTGTCTGTCTTCGTTTAATCCAAAAGTCCTGAGAACAGAAAACGTTTTATCAAACCAATAAGTATTTCAAAATCTTCTAAAAATGCACTTAAAACTGTTAAGGCTTTGGATATGGATAATGCGCCGAGGTCCACATTGCATTTTGCGAGGGTTGTATTATCCTATAGCACCCTTGCAGCCTTCAACGTTTAATGTGCTATTAATCACAATTTAATTTAAATTTTTTTACATATAGCTGATATGTTTCTAGTAATTTATAAAAGACTAAACGACATTTATCGAATAAAATAGATAACTTACTTTTTCAACGTGTGATATATATTTTTCCAGTCAATTTTCTCATTATCCTTTGGTAACACTAAGTCTATTTGTTGAGGAGTAAAATGGAATTTAGTCAGCTCTCTCCATACCCTCTGTTCTCCGACAATGGACGCCATCTGTTCGCAGCTTTGAGCGCTCGAGATAAGATCTCTGTGGTCGGACAGACGCAGGATTATTTCGCGTATGCACTCTTCGGGCAACTGCAACAATTTCGGCTGCATGTCCGGACTGGGTTCCCGGATTTGCATCTGAGCGGCCATATTTAATATCCTCTCGATTTTAACCGTATGCTGGTGCCACAGCAACTGAGACCCTAGCGGACCTCCCCAACATGCGGATCTTTCCGCCGCCCTTAAGGCCCTCAGATTGTTAAGTAGCTGCCGGAAACCTCTCGGATTGTGTTGACTAGTCGTCGCGTGACTCGCGACCTCTTCTAACATAGCTAGGAGTACTTTTTGGGCACAGCCCGATAGTGCCGTCATTTGCTGGCCTATCAGGAGGTCTAGCAGAGCACATATGTAATTAAACCTACGGACGTCTCTTACGGCGCTCCTGAAATCTAGTCGTTTCACGGCTTCGTCTAATTCGTTAAAGCCGGCAATCTGTAACATAGATTTCAGAAATTGAAATCCAAATAGAGTGTCAAAGTTAAATAGTCTGCAGAGCTTTGCATTGTGGGAAAGACATAACCTATAAAGTTAGTGTCATGTCACTGGTGGTCAATGCCTACTGGTACAAAGTACCTACTGTCAAATAGTGACCTACTGTAGATGCTATGAAAAAATGAGTTATTTTGATGCTAGGCGAAAATTTAACTAAGGAAAATAGCTATTCTGTTTTGTACTGTTCTAATTTGTATTATTTCATTTACCTCTTTCGTGGATTTTATCGTTATATGACAGTGAGGCTGGATGGCAGTCTCTGAATTTTCAGTTTCTTCACAGTTATCGCTTCTTTCTCTGGAAAAAAAATATTAACAAATTAACAACAAAAACAAAGTTTAATTTTTTTAAATAAACCCTAAAGTGCTCTTCAAAATTGCAAGTCCTAAACTCGGCCACAATCTTTGTAGGCATTATTTTCTGAAAAATGCTCTTTCACACAAATGATGAAACTGGATAAATAGACCAGGCAAAAAAAAACTTTAGAGTTTAATAAAACAACACACCAAATTTCATTAAAACCGGTTCTGTAGTTATCGCAAAATAATTTTTTGAAAAAGATTTTGAAAAAAATTTTTGAATTTTCAAAATGTTGCACAGCCTCAAATAAAGCATCTAGATACTTGAAACTTTTTTCCCATAGAAAAGACCGCTCAGCCTTTCAAATGGTTTTTGAAAAATTGAAATCGGTTGATTAGGACGGCTGCAGTAAATTTTTAAAGTTAACACTCTTTTTTTAATTTTTAAACAATTAGATCACATTTATGAATTTGCAATTTAGTTTTTTCAAAAATTATAATTTTAAAGCACTATTTTTTCTTAATTGTATCTGTATTTAACAAAAAAATTAATTTCCAAATAATTTTTTTTTAAATTTGTTTAAAGAAACGTCTTTCGGAGTACTTTAAAATTATAATTTTTGAAAAAAACTAAATTGCAAATTCATAAATGTGAACTAATTGTTTAAAAATTAAAAAAAGAGTGTTAACTTTAAAAATTTACTGCAGCCGTCTTAATCAACCGATTTCAATTTTTCAAAAATCATTTGAAAGGCTAAGCGGTCTTTTCTATGTGAAAAAATTTGCAAGTATCTAGATGCTTTATTTGAGGCTGTGCAATATTTTCAAAATTCGAAAAACATTTTTCAAAATTAAAAAAAAAATAAATTGTTTTGAAAAAACTATCTAACCGATTTTAATAAAATTTCGTGTGTTGTTTTATTATACTCTAAAGTTTTTTTTTACCAAAATTAGAATGCCCTCGGAACAATCAAAATATTTTTAAAAAATTATCCAAAAAAACGTGATTATTTTGCCTTTTTTCATCAATTATTGCTATTTTGCAACATCGGTAATAAATTTAAACAATTTTAACTTCCAGTATATCGTGTAAAATTCAATTCTAAAACTTTTTCTCCTCTTCAATATTCTTCCAAAATGCAAAGGTTCCAAGATATAAGTAAAAAACTTCCAGCAAAAATGAGCTTGCCCCCTCTTACATCCAAGAGTGGGATATTTCAGATGTATGTGGCGTAGAATTAGGATTTAAATTTTCTAAAAATCGCAACAAGCTTATAAATGTATTCTTGGCGTCTATTTCATCAATAATACTTGACCTTCGTTTATTACGTTAATAGCCAAGTTTCTCATTATTTTTAATAATGTTCGGAAAATTAAATTTAACTGATATAATGAATGGTATGAATGCATAGAAGTAATCGTTAAAATATTTCGAGCTACAGCAGAATATATACAATTCTCTTGGAAACAGCATAAATATATATAAACATATATCAACCGCGTATTTTTCACTTTGTCAAATTACTGAATTATTTATCGAAAAAGCATTGTCTTTCTATGAATTATTAAAACTCCGATAATGGCTTGATTGAACGCCGTACCTAAATATATTGTGTACACACTAAAGTAAATGTTTAAGTGGAGTTATTTATTATCGTTAGTTTTGATGTAAATATATTTGTCTCTCTAGCAACTACCACATTAATTTTGAAAGAGAACTTTTGCAGGAGGTAATTATAGTTTGGGATCCGAGTAAGAAACAGGATGAACCAAATAAAGGTTGCGTTAAAGTCAAGTATAAAATCATGCGATTCTTTGAGAAACCGCTAAGTGATATCTGATGAAACGACTGTTTTGGTTATATTTTTTTCTACTATGAAGCTATGAATTCTGGTATCAAAAAATCTCACGATTTTGAGATTCCATTTATTAAAAAAAGTTAAATACTTGAATTACACATTTAAATTTTTATTAAGAGTGGACTCGATTGTATAAATCCAAAACTTGAAGGGTTTCCATCAAGACAATTTACCAGTAAAGCTTTGCAAGAGACACTCTGTTTGTGATATAAAACTACCCACATTTTTTTAATTATTTACTTTATTATTACCCTTTCCATATCCAGCGACAGTAAAGGTATTATTAAATATGTCATTTAAAAAATTATTCTTTTAAATATTTAATAGGCAACATTAACTTTGACTGACAAATCACGTACACGTACAAAATTATAAAATCTTTAATAAAGCGACGATACCTGTAGTGAAACTGGTTTTACCATGCTTCCTGGTTATTTGGTGGTGACTGCTGTTTTAATAATCAGTTTTCAAAACTCGCATCAACTACCGGCCTTCTCTAACACACCTGAATGTTTTCCTAATGCGGATATATGGAAAATTTACTCGAAACATTTCACTTTTGCTACCACCATTACGCTAAAAATCCTGACCGTCCGCAATCACAAAAAAAGCGAAATTAAAGACGCAACAACTGACATTATAAACGGCCTTGTATCGTTTACAGCAAAAACTGTAGAGGTTCAAAACAGAGATATAGAAGCAAATGCCAATGTTAATTGGACGACTATGCCTTGTGAGATTCAAAGGAACGAAGTGGTACATAATTTACCCCCGTCAAATACGTATAAAATCCTACGGTCTTTCTCAGATCCAGAGGAAGTATATTTGATAGTCGCATGGAATCAACAAGTTATTTACCAACACCTACAAGAAAATCACAAATTTGTGTTTCCCAAGTCCAGAGCACTGTATGTGGTTTTGTTGATGTTTGAACAAGCTTGTGGTGACGAAGAAATCGGGTACATGCTGAAGATGATGTGGGAAAAATTTGACACGCTCAATATTATTGTGCAGGTACCGTGCTCCAGCAACTCGGACGATATATACATTTACAAACCTTTCAAAGTAATGGGAGGATTGGTGAAAATTAGTAAAATAGAGGAAGTATTAGCTAACGAGTATCTGATAATCAACCAGTTGCGAAGCATGAACGGTGCTCCTCTCAAAATTTCTTTATTTGAAAGGCAGCTAACTTCGACATCGGTGGTACCGAAAAGCATGGAAGACTATTCGATTTATAAATTCGTGAAAAATACCACAGGTATGTAAAGTATTTAGAAGCAAAATAAAAAAGGTTAAAAAAAATAGTTTTCACGACAGAATTTAAGCAAACAAACTTCTTGTTTCTAAAGATCGTAAGTAATCTTCGTGTAAATATGACCCTCGTTCAAATATACACCCTGTATAATACAATTTTTGTTGAAATAGTATTATCAACACATTTATTGCATAAAACCGATATTTTAGGTTACTACGGTTTTGATGCCAGTGTTCTAGCCGAGATGTCGAATATTCTGAATTTCAAAATTAAACTGGTCCACGGACAATACAGCGACTACGGAAGAGTCTTAAAAAATGGCTATGTAACGGGCAGTTTAGGAAAAGTGGTGCGTAGAGAAACCCATCTTTCTGCCAACGGCAGATTTATTAGTGATTATGGCACCCACCATATAGAATTCACCAGGCCTTTTAAAAGTGAACAAATATGCTTTATTGTGCCGAAGTCAAAGATGAAACCTCATTGGATGTCCATTCTTTACTGCTTGAAAATGTCGGTCTGGTTACTCATAATGGCGGTACTATTATTTGCGATTAGCGTTTGGTATTTGTACCAGATGAGTGTTACTAGAAAACAGGACTTGTCCAAGATTTGCTTACAAATATGTTCGATATGTTTCTCGGTTCCAATTAAAATTTCTACCAACGGAGCAGGAAGGTTGTTCTTGGGATCATTAATGATATTTAATATAGTTTTTAACGGTATATTTCAAGGCAATCTAGTCATGTCCTTCAGCAAATCCGTTTATTTTCCTGATATCAACAGTCTCGAACAGCTCGCAGATAGCAATTTGAAAATTTCGACCAGTTTAAGTCTGTTTGAAGACACCACGTTTAAACTATTCAAGGTGCTTCAAGAGAAAGTTGTGCAGCCTAAAGACGATGACATGACCTCTATGGACAAAACTGCTTACTTGAGAATCTGGGCTGCTGTAGAGAGAAAATCGGAAGCGAGAGTGATTTTGGAAACAAAATATACGAATGAAGAAGGAGAGCCCCTCTTGCATATGATTAACGATTGTCCACGTGTTGAATTTCTCGCTTACATAGTACCAAAAGGGTCGCCGCTTTTGCCAAAATTTAATTCCATCATACAAATGTTCTTAGAAGCGGGATTTATAGAAAAATGGAATGTAGACATTGCGGATGCCGTTATTGTTCAGAAACGCTTAAACACGAAAAGCAGACAAAATATACCGAGAAAACTTACTGTGACCGATTTTCAAGCGGCTTTTTTCATATTAATCGGTGGTTATGCTGTGGCATCAATTATTTTTTCCATTGAAATTTCTTTACATATGTATAGGAGGAAATACTTAGAAGCCACGGAGACAAAATTATGTTTTACATAAAGATGAGCAACTTTTAAAAAATTGAGTACCTAATTCTTCAATTTTTGTGCACTTCGGGCACAGCTATGCTCTAATTTGCAGATCATTGACACATACATTAATTAGCTTGAAAATATGTCTACCACTGATAAGAAACGAGACAGATATGTTTTAATCGATATGGTTGCAATTTTGAAGGCATATATACTTACGTTTGTCTTTTGCTGATATTTTTAAAATAAAGTTTTTGTGCGTCTTCAGTTTTTTTGTTTAAAATCAAGAAAACTCTATTTCAGCATTGTGGTTTTATTAACGATTTATCGTTGTGTCCAGATTTAGACATCTTAATCGACCTTAACTATTTTGTAGCTTATAAAAACAAAAACAATGCTTTAGACCAGGGCGAGATCTGGGCGAGGTCCGGAACATTTTCAAAATTGCAAAACTGTTTAAAAAATTAAAAAAATACATATTTTATCTGAGTTTTTTACTTATATCTTGGAAAGTATGCATTTTGGAAGAATATTGAAGAGGAAAAAAAGGTTTAGAATTGATAATTTATTATTTTTATTTTGTAATAAAACAACACACCAAATTTCATTAAAATCACCAAATTTCATTTATTGTGGCCGTTCTAATCAACCGATTTAAATTTTTCAAAAACTATTTGAAAGGTTGAGCGGTCTTTTCTATGAGAAAACATTTTTAAATATCTAGATGCTTTATTTGAGATTGTGCAACATTTTGAAAATTCGAAATTCTTTTGAGCGGTCTTTTCTATGCGAAAACATTTTTAAATATCTAGATGCTTTATTTGAGATTGTGCAAAATTTTGAAAATTCGAAATTTTTTTCAAAAAATTATTTTGCGAAAACTATAGAACCTATTTTAAGTTATATTAGTTTAGTTTAGTAGATATTAGTTTATATTTCGGAATTATGTGCTCCAATAACCAAGTATTAACCCGAACTAAAAATACCAACAAAAATTCCTTTTAACAAAAGATTTTCCTATATTTTGGGAGATTTCTAAGAAGTTAACAGATGAGAGCGATGTACCCGCACACACCACTTAAATTTAGTCCGAACCCAGTTAAAGTTTGTTGAATTTATACTATAAATACTTCTTGACTCAAACATACAAGTACTTCTAAATTTAAATACATTTTTCAACAAGAACAAATCAGGCAAACGGTATGTAATCAGGGACGTACTAGGGGGGCCAGGGCAGGTTGTGACCTGTTTAAGAGAACATTTTTTTAGTCTAGATGCCTGCAGGCGATACAAGGAAATATACATCCACAAATATTACGCGATCAAAATATACCAAAGATCCAGGTAACAATCACGTTTTTTTTTACCTAAATTTATTTTGTAATGTCCAAGTCATATATGCCTTAAAAACATGAGCGCCGTTAACTCGAAATCCAAGGGTAAATTTAGGCAAATTTAAAATATCAACAAACGACAATGAAATACACGACCAACCTCCCTCAGCAAAAAAAGACAGGACAGGCATTGGGATGCCGCTAGATCGTGTTCGAATAAATTGATCGATGCGAAGCTTCCTCTAGTAATAATAAATACTGTTTAAATTTAGTTAGATTGAAAAATGACTTGGTTTTATCGCAGTTATCACGGTACAGACATATCTGGATCAGGATACAAGATATCAGTGGCGTTTTTTATTTGTTGTACTTCCCGTAAGGACGCCACTGGCGACAAAAAATACTTTTTAATAAATAAATAAACGCGCGAATATCTCACCTTATCAGTATCGTAGGTCTCACTTAAATAACAAAAATAATGATTCATATTCAGGTAATGTGATTACTTTGTGAATTTAATATTAAGATTTAGACAGAGATAAAGCGTTTATCAGTCTTTTTCCTAAAAATGTCTACTATTACGCAGAGAAAAAAATCGCCTTACATATAAAAAATTAGCCTACCTACTTAAAACACTGGAATAATTATTAAAATGCATTAGAAAACTTCGATAAAAATCTGTATAGTGAAAGATTAAAAAAGTTGCAAGCCTTGACATATGAAACGATGCGTATCTGAAATATATTAACGTAATAAATAAATAACAATTAATTTATTAATCTATTTGGATCACGGATTTGATTTTTTTTTTTTATACATGTATATTTAATAAGGTGTTATCTGAAGTTTTGATGAATTTAAATTTAGATAAATGATTTTGTCTGTAATTATCTAAATAGATGAGTAGACACTTAAAATTGGTTTTTGTAAAGGATCCCAATACAACAAAAAAGGGGGAGTTTACATATAAAATTATGGAAAGGGCAGGTTTATATGAATCTCGAGATGAACTCGATCTCAAATAAATATTTTATTTTTTACAGAAAATCTAATCCAGAAATTTGAAAACTTAACATATCGTTAACATATAACCTAAACAATAAAGGCCCCAGAATAGTCCTTTGTGGTAATCCATATTGTTTTCTACCTATATAATCCTTTATTTCAAATCTGATACTAACTTATAGTGTCTTACGAATTTCAATTTCGATTTTCAACAACTTTTCGAAAACATTGTACAGTAAAGGCATTCGTTTTTCAAAATCTACGTCAATTTATTTCACCACATACCGTTGACTCATTTTTTAGTATAAAATTCCCAGAAAATAAGTATTTATTGTAATTAAATAAGCTCTTTAGCAACGTGATGATTAAAAATATAAAAATGCAAGTCTTACAGACTTACTGGTTTATCTGCAGAAAACATCTTTTATCTCTGCTGATAAATTTTGTGTACCTGTTCCACAGGTTCAATGCGGTTATTTTTAAAACGATTTTAAAAATATTAATCGACCTTGCTTGCATTCAGCCTTGCAAGCTTGAAAATGTTATGCCCGTTATTTCCTGAAACCGAATAGCCGCTATTTTAAACATTTACATTGTCTTTTTTTTGTACATATATCTAAAATTTAATCTATTACAGTGGTACAGACAGTAATCATGACTATCATGATATGCAATATTCCCAAAGTGTTAAATAGAGCGCGAGGAAACTCACTTTCGCCAGCAATTAAACAGTATTGCGTTGCAATTTAATTTTTATGAAAACACATTAATCTTGAAGAGGATCTTCTAAAATTGATCACTTAAAAATATGTTTCTAATGTTTGTAAACAACAAAAAAAATGTTTCGCAATAGTCACTTATTATAAGTAGGTCGCAATTAATTATTCCTCGCTTTCCGTTGCTGTGAGGTTTCGAATTAATAAATACACAGCACTACCGAATAATCGTGTACCTCGTTAAGAATTAAGACTGAAATAACAGGACATACGAGAACAAAGAAACCACATCGACATCGCGATCGATCGCTGCGTTATAACGTGGAAATATTTAATTAGGTACTCACTTAATGGTTCTGCAATGTTCGAGCACCTTCTTCTTCTGCCAGCCCTCCTGGGTCTTGACCCAAGCCTCCCCCGGTGATCGCCAGTCTTTGGAGATGAAGGGCATTCTTCGGAGACGAGTTTCAAATAAACAGCTGATATAAACATACACAGAAATCGTAATCGTACGCACTTCCCTGCTCGGTAGACAGGCGGCGCAATCGCAGTCAGCTGATTGGGACCCCATGGCCGTAGGCGAGGGGCTACGTACGCGGATATTCACATGTCGAGAATTTTAAGGAGAATCTAAAATCTCAGTGCCTGTATCCGATTATTTTTAAACTATGAAAGTAGTACAACTCGCATAATAAAAGTAAAAGTGTAGATCCCTAGATCTGGGCGAGGTCCGGAACATTTTCAAAATTGCAGAAATGTTTAAAAAATTTAAAGAGATACCTATTTTAACTGAGTTTTTTACTTATCTGGGAATTTATGCATTTTGGAAGAATATTGAAGAGGAAAAAAGTTTTAGAATTGAATTTTGCACAATATACTGTAAGTTAAAAATGTTTAAATTTATTACCGATGTTGCACAATAGCAATAATTGATGAAAAAAAGGTAAAATAATCAAACATTTTTAACTTACAGTATATTATGCAAAATTCAATTTTAAAACTTTTTTCCTCTTAAATATTCTTCAAAAATGCATTGGTTCCAAGATATCAGTAAAAACTCAGATAAAATATGTATTTTTTAAATGTTTTAAACATTTTTGCAAATTTGGGATATTTTTGTTGGTATACATATTCAATTTCGTCCAAAAAAACAACGCACATCCGAGATTATTCATATTATTTGAAAATAATAAATGAGCTACCCTATTCGAATGCATTAAATAGGAAATAGTCCTTCCAATATGTGATGATCTAAAATTACCACAGCAGTGCCACTAATTGCCAAATTTTTCATATGAAGACATTTTCAATCTTAGAAACGAGTCGATTTGCATAATATCTGACTTTTTTAATAATAAAACGCGTTTACAGTTAAGTAAATCTAAAACAACTTGAAACTGTTCTATAAAAAATGTATGGAAATATACTTTTAAACACAATGTTATGTTAAAAAAATCCTTGTTTTAGAAATTTTTAAGTTTCTAAGGGTCCTAAAATAATATCAAATCTCTGCTCGATGCGATACACCAACTAAACTACATTTTTTGTCGGTTAATTTTCCTTCATTCCCCTTTACCGACGTTCATGGACTACGTCGCGCATGTACCATTTACAAAACTGTTCCGTTCCATGTGTTTCATGTTTTGATTGCGTCTTGTTGGATCCAAACAGCGAAACCCAAGTTCATTTACCTTCATTTTTGTATGTTGGTTGAGGAGTTATTTTCGTAATATATCAAGTAGTCGTGTTGGAAATTTTTTTTGCTGCGATTAAGGACTACTTCTCAGTGATGATGGTTTGTCGCCTGTATGCAAGATGATGTCTGTAAGTAGTGTGATCAAAACTCAAAACGATTCTAATCTGTGATTTTCATAGATTGTCTAAACTAAATTGAGTTCCTCAAATATTATTAGATAAGTATCATTAAATCAACTAATTTGTATAGAGTTGAGTGAACTTAAAGAACCAGTATGTGAAATCACCAACACACTCAACTCCTACGTTTTACAATATAACGCAGCTAATTAAAATTAAAATAATTTGAAAATTTGTCTTTGTAATTTTGTTGATAATTTGAAATATGATTTTATCAAGGTATCAATCGAAATAAACTGTTATGTCTCATGTTATTTTTTCCAACTAAATTTAGTAGATACTGGCTAACTTGATTTGCATAGGATATATGCTTAAAGATAGCCGGCAAACATTGTCAAATTTGTCATCAAATATTGTGATAAAAAGATACCTTTTCTTAAATTATATGACCAAAAACAAATTCTCAAAATATTACTATATGAAACAAGTTTAAAAACTAAATACAAATTAAATTTTTGACTACGTGAGCAACATATTTGCAGTTTTCAATCATTTCTGGCGAGGTTTATTACATCAATGAACTTTAAGCTTTGGCATCCTTCTGAGAGATGGCGCCTCTACTGCTTAATATTGATGTTAAAAATTCTCGTTACAGTAAACTGTAAAATGTGATGTGTATGTACAAAGCAGCCCAAAGAGAAGAAAATAGATGTCCCGATAAACACTAATGTAGAGGACGATTTCAGCTCTCTAAATGAGGCTAGCGTCTAAACAGTAAGAGTTAAAAACCTGTTCATTTTGGCATAAATTACTCTTATCAACTTTTTTTTTTTTCAAATGACCCATATTAATTGTCATGGGTGAATGCAAAATTGAAAAAAGTTTTTCAACACGTAAGATTATTATTAAACGTAGGTCTCAGTATTTCCGAGTCTGAATAACGTAAAAGTTTTGCTTACAGATGACAAGATAGGGTAATTTATGCCCAAACGAACTGTTAAACATTTAAAAAAACATGTACATTTAATAAACTCTACCTAATATTAACCAAGGAATTAAAAAACGCAATAATATAAATAACAAAGTTATGTAGCGCCCCCGCGAAATGGAACACCCTGTAAAGCTGAAAATATTTTCTTTACATGGCCCATATGATTCCAGCCAACGTTTATCAAAACCATTTTTTTATAGATTGTACAGTTGCTGAGTTACAGAAGAATCCCTCTTGGGATGAACATCCTGTATTATATCCAATAGGACAAACAGTAATAAATCGAGAAACTATTTAGATTTTTTTTTTATATTCACACACTTGGCATTTATAACACATGTTTACACAGTTCATTGAAATTGATATTTAGTCTTGAATAACGTAGTCAGAGTTTTCCTCGATCCAGTCCAGGAAGCTGGTAACCCTGACGAACACCGTTGGGAACCCAGGTGGGCAACCTGCGCGTCCGTAAGACACGATACCGATTTGAAGGTTGCCATGAACCAGAGGACCGCCAGAGTCTCCATTGCAGGCCCCCACACCCCCAGCCCCTGAGGTACAAATCTCGTTTTCTCGGAAGATATTGAAAACCGCCCTGCAATTGGGGTTGGGGAGGACGGTGCTGTTGACTGCCAATAAGACGTTTGATCTGCTACCGCCGCCAACTGTCAGACCCCATCCGCTCACCCTGGAGTTTGCATCTGCCAGAAAATAAATGACTTGTATAAACTGATCTAAATGTTCGAAATAGTAAGTTAGCAACAGTACTTTTTTATTAATCTACAGTGGCGATGAATGGATTGACGCGGCATTAGTATACGGGGAATGTTAACAAAACGCTGATGCAGCATCGCATTTGTTTGCCGATTAAGGATAAATGGAAGATGATCAGTATTTTATATGAGCAGATCGATCACTGGCTTAGATTCATATTCAAGAAGTTCATAATCCATGAGGTGGAAGAATTTAGACTAACATTATTCATAACATACCTTCAAATAATTCACCCACGTATTTACGACCTGGTAATTTGATTACATCGACGAAATTACTCAGTTCCACTTCCTGTTCAAGGTCAATGAGACCAATGTCTTGGGAAATAGTGCCAGAGTCATAGTCTGGGTGATTGATTAATCTTGTGGCTACCAATATAATTCTTCCTGGTTCTTCAACTGAAATGTCGTGGGCTCCAATGTATACCTCGACTAGTCCAGCCCTGGAAATTTAAAATCTCGTCAAATCCCATAACCGATGGCGAATTACTCAGATTTACATTTTTCTTCTGTAAGTGATAAGTGTTATAAGCATATGAACTCACCCAGCATTACAATGCGCAGCAGTAAGGACGAATCTCTTGGTGATCAGAGTACCACCGCAGGTCCAACCACCAGATCCAGGGAACAGCCTGAAGATTAGCCATACTTGGGAGGGTATCGAGTTGGGTTCCACTTCCCGTCCGTTTATAATCCTGGGTCCAACTCCTGGGTTGTAACTTGAATCGTCAACGACTCCGTTGCCATCTACGGACATGCGTCTCATTGGGAAATCTTCCCAGTTGATCTGAAAGATCGGAACGAACATTACAGAAATGTGAAATCAATTTTTTTCTTATAGAACAATTGTGTGTTGTTGTGCCATGCCACTACAGATTTGTAGGTCGCTCTGTGCCAGCAATGCTTTATAAGTAAGTAATAAGAAGTAGTAGTAATGACATATGACATTGCTTTATAGGTTATATCTTGCCCACACTAATACGTTCATATTGAGTATAGATTTAAAACTGTATGGGATGACAGAAATAACAGGAAATTAGTTGGTATGGTACAATATTTGTCACCTAATAAAGTTAAGCTTAGGTAACTAGGAAACTAGGGTCTGGTACTAAAATATTTTACCTTAGACAGGCCGGCCTGTGGCAAAGCCCACACCGCTGCGAAAAGTGCCACGAATACGAATGCTGCTCGCATTTTGCAGGAAGCAACTACTAACTGATTTTTCTATCGGAATTAACCAATTTATATATATTGTAAGGGAGGGGACACTACTTTATCAGTAGTGCTTGCCATAAATATAAGACTTTTCTGACAGTGGAAATTAATTTATCTATTAAGGAATTATCTGAATAATGGTTTTATTACTAGTTTCCTTGTTTTGGTTATAACTGAACATTTTGCCTAAATAAAATTTAATTTCACTTGCAGGTATGTTAGTTGGAAGTAATAATTATCTAAATAATTTTAAACTTTTAAAATATTTCCACATATGAAGTTGTGATCGATGATTCGATGGTGATAACTAGGCGAAATGTTTGTCAAAATTAAAAATAGTTCCCTTGAATTGCTTAATTCTATTATTGATATATAAATTAATATTTTGTAAGCAATTGTACCAGTCATTGCAGCAGCTTTGAATATTTTCATAATGAAATTCGTGATGCTAAGCGAGTGTGATACAATACTGCGCATATCTTCGGTCACGCTATGACGTCACTTGGAGAGTAAATAGCGACTTGTGGATATTGTCCGTGTGGCAGTACCAATCAAAGCCATTATAGGTAGAAATAGGTACAGTGAATTAATTTTTTTTTAGAAATATTTTCAATAAAACCTAAAAAAACAGGAAAAAATATAAATAACTAAAAAAATAAGGAAATTCAACGAAAATTATGAAATATATAAAATTGGTGCGTTGCATAATATGTATAGCTTTATAGTCCAATCAATAGGTAGAAGAACTTACAAAAAATACCACCTAGAAACAAAAAAATATGGTGATATAGGAAAAAAATTCTAAGAAAGATAATGTTTTTTCCTGTGGCGCATAATCGGTGAAGTTATTCTAAAAAATGTATAAAATTAAAAAAAAACGGTTTTTCACTAATAAAAAAACCTTGAACTCGATTTGAAAAAAGTTAAATAAGAAAGTTATAGCTATTTAAAAAACCTATCGATTCATACTTTTAAAAATCGACTTTTTTTAATTTTTGCAGTATCTCTTGCATATTAAGGTTTTGAAACTTGTTACTTGCTGTAAATGTAGACCTCGGCAAGCAAAAAAGTGCCTTTTTTAAAATTAAAAAATATTACAAATTTTTCGAAAAGGTCATCTCGAAAATGGGCTCTTCTTGCTCGACGAATAGTCGCGGAGAAACGAATCAGGGCTCATTTTTTTCCTTAAGAATTGTACAATAATGGTAAAAAAGAGTGATAACGATTTTATTCATGTCAAGTGTCCAAAAAATTACTGAAAAAAGCAAAACATTTTTTGGTCGCGTTTTTCTTGAATATCTTTTTCAATTTTCATTTCTCGATAATGTCTATTACAGGAATCGATTGCTGGCATTTTTACATTAATTAAAAAATGCTACAGCATCCATTCTTACAGAGATTGAAGTTGATAATAAGGATATTCATTTATTTATTATTTCCTTTGCGAATTAATACACTTTTTCGTGAAATTTGTTTATTATATGGAGATTTAGAAACTGCTAATCAGACAGTGGCAAAATTTTACAAAATCTATTTAATCTTTATTACACGAAAAATCAAACAATAAAAGTATTGAGGTTATATTTCGAAATATCGGGATTTACGGTGAGTATAAAGATGAAGCAATATAAAACCATTCGATATGAATTTTTGATTCCTTATTACAAATTTAATCTTAAGTTTTCCAGGTAAGATAAAGTAGGTAATAACGTTTTTACGCCAACTAATTAGATCATGTCCTTTAAATTAAAATGGCTGTGTTTATCATTTCTTAAATATCTACCTTTAAAAGATTATGTTAGTTGTAAAAACGAAACATAATTTCAGGAACATTTACTTTTGGCATTTAATTCGGTTAAGTCCAGTAGGCTTTAGATGTCTAGAGACGATCCCGATATTTTTCTCTTATAAGCTAATCAAATAAAGTGACCCCATCTTGACAACAATGAGAATTCCCACATTTTATTGTTGATCCCATTATTTTAATCCTTTAAATTTAATACGTAATTGCGCAAGTATTATTTCTAGTAGGAATTAGTGGCTAGGATTATATCAAATTTGAAAAAGCTGCTTAATATATTTTTTATTAGCCTTCTTTTCTACCTTGAGTTCTTTTATAAATATGGAAAAGAAACTCAAACTGATCTCTCTTTGTAGAGTAGAAAAACATAAGGTCAGTGACGACAAGAAGCATAAATTATCAGGTATCAATTTGCTATAATTATTATAAATCATTTCCTGTTTAAAATATTTCTATAAAGCCGATAATGTACTTTACTGTAATTTATTATCCAACAATATTTATTTGTTTGTCCTGTAATCCTTAAGGGCTTAATAATACTTGGCTTTTTCAAGAGCATAAGAGACTGATAAGACCATGAGATAACTATGTCTCAAGTTTTTAATCCTAATTTATGGAAAATCGTTATAGCCGGAGTTAAAAGTGACTTTTTTAAATGAGTGTCAACATAATTTGTTGAATATTAGAAACCATGGATTAAAATATAATAAAACATGTTATTTTTTATCGTATAACGTCTAGATATTTGTGATGAAGCAGTCGTATAGGCGGAAGTCCGGATTTATAGTCTTACGAGAAAATTTAAATTTAGCAACAGTCTTTTTCTTGAGAATCAGATGTGTTGTTATTTATACACTATGCACAGAATTTAAGGGATATTAAAAAAATTCCAAAATTTGGGTGATTTTCAAAGAGCTGTAACTTGGAGCGAAATGGTCGTAGAGATGATAAAAAAAAGGAAATTGAAGCTTCAAGTGGCTAGTTTTCGGATCTGGAGTTTAAAATTTTCTAGCGTCAGCAGTTTTTAAGTAATCATAAGAAAATCAACGAAAAAAAATTCTTTAAAAAGGCACATGGACTTCAAAAATTTTTTTTGGTAATTTCACCATAAAGCTCTTAGATAATCTAATTCTCTTCAATTTGAGCGGTTTCGGGACCTTGTACGGTAATTTGTCGCTGATTTATCATCCATCAAAGCAAAAAAATCATTTTTGACTTTGGCAATAAACTACTCGGGAAATAATGGTCGTACAGAAAATCCAAGCAGGGTTTTGAAAATTGCGACGTATTCTCTACAAGTCGTAATTATTGGTATTGATAAAAAAAATTTTTTGTGAAAGTGAAAATGTTGGTTAGAAAAAAGGTAAAAAATTGTATAATTAGGGATATTTGAATAACTTGGCATTACTTTGCAAATAACGAATAAACTAAATATATTGACTGTAACTATTCAACCTCAAAGTGTTTTAAAGAAACCCTGATAATTTCAAAACGCGCAATAGACTGTCAACTTTGAAAGCCCATAACTCCGCTGTTTATTAACGAATCGTGAGGAATTTTTTTTCAAATTTTTTTATGCTCTTTTAGTATACGTAATAAAATACTAAAAAATATATAAATTAAGGGCGTGTTTGATTTTGCAAGTAAGGACATTTTTTAAATAATTTCCCTTCGCTATAAAAATGCATTTTTTTGAGAAAAAACAATGGAACTCGATAGCTTTTTGTTAAATGTACCAACAAAAAAATTGGCGCGACCGGGTTAATTTGTTTATAACTCGCGAAATAATCCGCTTACGGATTTCAGTTTTCGCATAAATTATTTGTCTGCAGTGAGCAATGATTGAATGTTATTCGAAGAAGCCTCTGTGATAATATCGCGATTTGTTATTGTTTATTTAAAATGGCATAATTGGCGGTTTTTTGCCAGTAACTTTTGATCGGATTGATATTCTTTGACGCTTAAAACGTGGTTTTGTAGATCTTTTAAAGACGAACAAAAAAGTATTTTACCATTTCTCTGTAGGAAAAAAGTCAGAAAAAACGTTACAGGCGAAAAACGCGAATTTCTAATGGTTGATCAACTTTTAAACAATGTCGCCATTTTCGGTTTAGATTTCCTGGTCTAATATATCAATATTTGTGGTAGAAACAATACGGGAAACAATTAATAAAATGGATTCGATGAGACAAACAACATAATAAAACGAAAAACTACGTAGTCATTTATATTTATTCATTTTTTTGTGTTGAATACATATATATTCGCACAGTTCAATGATAATGAAATTTAGTCTTCAATAACGTAATCGGAGTTGCTTGCGATCCACTCCAGGAAGCTGGTGACTCTGGCGAACACCGATGGGGATCCAGGGGGGCAACCCGAAAAGCCATAGGACACGATACCGATTTCGACGTCTCCGTAGATTAAAGGACCTCCAGAGTCTCCGTTACAAGAACCTACGCCTCCTTCCCCTGATATGCAAATCTCGGATTCCTCGAATATACTAATTACTGATCTGCACACTGCATTGCCTAGGACAGTGCTGTTGACTGCCAATAGGACGTTGGATAAGCTGCCTCCGCCGCTGGTAAGACCCCACCCGCTTACCCTGGAGTTCGCACCTGTAAGAAAATAAAATAAATTAATGGAAATTTAATAAATCAGGTGCAAATGACACTAAATGGTATGGATTATAATGTTGTGACCAAGCAGTCATACTATTCAGATGATGGCCTTTGCTGAAGACAGTGTCATATTGACGAGGACAAAAGGTAATTTACTGCAAAATATATGATGACCAGGACCAGGTAAATTAGATGGATGATGCTGGAGTTACAGTAACTGATAACGGTGAACGGAAAAATGAAATTCATAACTGATAGTAGCAGTAGCAGTAGTAGTAGTAAGGTACAAAGAATAAGGTGGTTGGGGCATGTGCAAGATTACCGGGTTAGGCCGTCAAAACTAGTTTTCACAAGGTGAATAGTAGGTAGAAGGAAAAGAGGTTTCAGAAGGTGGACGGAAGTCTAGAACAAATGGACGTAAGGAGAAGAAGAACAAGAAATATAACAGAATGGAGAAGAATATGCAACCAAGCTAAGTGTTCCAACTTCTGACACCACTAGTTGCCACACGAATAACAAATTGCGTATAAAATTGTGTTGTTTGTGGGTAACTAAGTCAGTTGTTAGTAGTTAAACAGTGAGAGAATGAAGCCACTTCAAGGTCACTCCAGGCTGCCACCGGGCTGCCGCCATCCGGAGCTGGCACCAGGTCTCCAGCAGCAGCTCCAAGGTCACGCTGAAGAAGTGTCAGTGGGGTGCGGGGGTGAGGGATCTGGATTGCAGAAGAAGAAGCCGGGGTCCGTCATCGGCAATGACCACCAGGAGGTCTGCATCGAGGAGCGTGACGTCAGAGGCGGCACCAGGTGCGTGCATGAGCAGCGGCGGGGGGCAGCGGGGTGCAGGTGCGGAATGCAGAAGAAGAAGCCGGGGTCCGTCATCGGCAATGACCACCAAGAGGCCGTCACCGTTGCCACCGCCGCCCCCGCAGCCCGCTGCCGGCTTCCAGCATCGTAGGCCGTATCTGACCGCCTGCTCCCCCCTATGACGCGGGCATCCCGCTGCCGGAAGCCGGCATCACGCTGCTACCCCACACGCCGGCACCCCGCTGCCGCCCCAGGCGCCTGCCCCCCGCTGCCCACCCGCCGCTGCTCATGCATGCACCTGCTGCCGCCTCTGACGTCACGCTCCTCGATGCCGACCTCCTGGTGGTCATTGCCGATGACGGACCCCGGCTTCTTCTTCTGCATTCCGCACCTGCACCCCGCTGCCCCCCGCCGCTGCTCATGCACACACCTGGTGCCGCCTCTGACGTCACGCTCCTCGATGCAGACCTCCTTGTGGTCATTGCCGATGACGGACCCCGGCTTCTTCTTCTGCAATCCAGATCCCCCACCCCCGCACCCCACTGACACTTCTTCAGCGTGACCTTGGAGCTGATGCTGGAGACCTGGTGCCAGCTCCGGATGGCGGCAGCCCGGTGGCAGCCTGGAGTGACCTTGAAGTGGCTTAATTCTCTCACTGTTTAACTACTGTTGTTCAGAAAATTGTACTCTCTTCAAATTAATTGTTACGTTTAACATTACTTTCTGCAGCTAGGGACATTCACAATACTATTAACGCATAAAGCGCAAAGACATACCTTCAAATAGTTGGCCTAGGTACCTGCGACTTGGGAGTTTGATTACGTTGATGAACTCGCTGAGCTTTACTTCTTGTTCGAGGTCGATGAGACCGACGTCGTTAGAGATAGTGCCAGAATTGTAGTTTGGATGAGCGATGAGCTTTGTGGCTACCAATATAATTCTGCCGGGCTCTTCAACAGTACGGTCGTGAGCTCCAAGGTACACTTCAGCTAGTCCAGCCCTGTAAAAATAGAGCAATAGCAATTGATTTGTCTGTACTAATCAACAAAAAAGTTCTTATAATGTGTGTTGTATAAGGGTAACTTACCCGACTACACAATGCGCAGCAGTGAGAACGAATGTTTTGGTGATCAAAGTACCTCCACAACTCCAACCGCTGGATCCTGGGAAGAGCCTGAGGATCAGCCAGGCTTGGGAGGGTATCGAGTGGGGTTCGACTTCATGTCCATTTAATATCCTGGATCCAACGCCAGGGCTCAATGTCGAATCGACGACGACGCCATTGTCGTCCACGTACATGCGCTTCATCGGGAAGTCCTCCCAATTAACCTAAAAGAAAGGAGTAAACATTGCAAATCAAAGATATTGGGAGTATAATTCAATGCTGGACGGGGCATGCGTCCGCAGAGTAGTTTCCCATAATTTTCTTAGTTAACCCCTAGTCCATCAGAACTCTTTGTGTCAATTTTAACCAAGAAAGATCCTATGGAAGAATAGTAATAAGTTTTTTCTAACACACTTTTTCTACAATTATAACTCATTCACTTTTCTATCCGTATCTGTAAAAATTGTGTAAAATATTACCCGAGGAAAGATACTTGTGGAATTGTTTAAAAAAAATTAACTAATATTGTTTCAAACAACTGCTCTGCGGACTACAGTTCCGTCCAGCATTGATTTACACACGCAGCGTCAAAACTCCACACTCAAAAAATGTATTCCTTTTGAACTATAAAAAGGGCATATTTTTTTGTTTGGCACCTTGAAATACAACAAAGTAATGGTTGTATGTTATCAGATGGCTTATCATAAAGTTAAAATTGTTACAAATCTAAAATAATTGACCTGTAAAAGCTAAACTATTGCAGTTATCGGCATAGATGCATATTATTTTGAACATATATAATATTCAAACAAAAACGTTTTCGTAGACATATTTTTTTTTTAACTGTATGAAACAAGTATAAATATAAAAATATGTTACTTTGGATGGTTGGTTCGTTTGTGGTACACCCCACACTGCCGCGAGAAACGCCACAAATACCAGAGCTACCTTCATTTTGTAGCAAGTATTTACTAACTGATTTTTTCAGTTAGACTTGGCCAATTTATATATCTTCCAAGGGACGGAACATTTTATCATCGGTAATACTTATGTCAGAATAAAGCTTCTCTGACAGTAGGAATTACATTATCTTTATCCAGGCATAATTTTACTGTGTAGTCGAAATAAAGTTTGTACAAAAAATATTCACTTTGTACGTCCAATCGAATAAAATGACGCTGCGTATGTGGTGGATGCCTTATAATTTTAGGGGAAGGTGTTGTTTTCAAAATAGAGCTATTACTATCAGTGAAAAGTTGCTTTCCTTTTGAACAAACCAAAGAAAGTACAATTTAGATTTTAAAACTCTATTGAAGGAAATATTACTTTAATTTCTTTAGTCATCTTAACATACTTTTACATCGGTTAAATAAAGGAAAAAATGAGATCGTCATTGATAACTTTTAGCTCAAATAGTTTGAAATATTAAATATCATTTCCTGCTTAACGTGTCTGATAAAAATGCTGTTGCATTACATTGTCTACAAATATTATATTTATTTGTTTTTTAATCTTTGAGGTATTATAGTTTCACTGGAAAGATACTATTTTATTTACTTGGCTTTTTTGGAACATGTTCATAATTTTAAACGGATTATCTGTTTGGAAAGATTATCAGATAATTTTACGTTGTTGAACTATGGACAAAATACAACGAGAAATATGAATTGTCATTGCATGTGTCTACGACAATTTGCCAGAGAACGCAGTCATATAGCCAGGCCCAATTTAGCTTTGTCTGATGATTCTGAGTGATGATTTTAAATGCCAAATAGAATTTGCTAGACACTTTCGGGTTTGGTATTTTCACTGTGTTGCAAAACTACTTCTCTGTCCACATGTCCATTTTATTTATATTACTGAACTACATAATCCGAATTTTCCACAATCCAGTCCAAAAAACTGGTAACTCTGGCGAAGAACGATGGATACCCGTAGACACAGTCCCTTGTCCCGTAGGACACGACACCGATTTGGACATCTCCTGCTACGAGGGGGCCACCTGAATCTCCGTCGCAAATACCCTCGCCCCCAGATCCCAAAATGCAGATTTCACTGTCCTGGAAGATGCTAAAGACGGCTTTACAGTCGGTGTTGGCAAGCACAGTACCGTTGACTGCCAAAAGGACGTCAGAACTGTTGCCGTCTCCAGCGGTTTTACCCCATCCACTCACTCTGGCGTTCTCACCTATTCAAGGAAATATACTTCCAGAGAAATATGAACATAGAAACGTACGTACTCGTATGAGAAAACAGAAAAAAAGTACCTTCGTACAATTCATTTAAATCTCCTAGACCGGGCAATTTGACTACGTCGATGAATTTGTTGAGTTCAATTTCTTGTTCAAGGTCAATAACGCCCACGTCGTTGGTGATATTGGTAGGATTGTAGTCCGGATGACCAGTGAGTTTTTTAGTGGTTACTATGATCCTGTTAGTTTCGTCACTTGAAATGTTGTGGACGCCGAGGTACACTTCTGCTAGCCCAGCCCTGTAACACGCCAACGAAAGTATAATCCAAAAGCTGGACTCAAAAGACCATCGACTTGATGAGACTATAAATATAATCTGCAATCAAAAGCAATAGAAGACATAAGTACAAGTCTCTGGGGAAACACTGGGAAAGTTTCCATCCAATGTGTTCTTAAACCAAGCTTACCAAAGTATACAATGTGCGGCAGTAAGAACAAATCTTCTTGTAATCAAGGAACCTCCACAACCCCAACCGCCAGCTCCTGGAGTCATTCTGAAAATTATCCAGACTTGATAGGGTATTTGGTGAGGGCTAACCTCGTACCCATTTACTATCCTAAGACCTGGATCAAATTTTGGGCTGTCAAGGTTATCGGGTTCTATGAATATCCGTCTCAAAGAGAAGTCCTGCCAATCGCTCTGAAATAGCTAAATAAAAGTAATGACAGACGAAAATTATAATTCACTTTTTGTATCTGTACCATTTCCTCTAATAAAGTTAAACTCAAATGAATTTGTCCGTTGCGAATGCGTCATTTTTTACTTTTATGAACTTTAAATTAAAACTACTGACTCGTGCTTTGAGGATAAGTGTATGTTTGGTTAATTTTATTTTTTTTATAGATGGGGAAATAATAAGTAGACAATATTCAAATACGACGACATAAATTGGGAAAGTAAAGGACCCAAGACCGATCCCTGTGGAACACCATATCTAACTTCTAAGGTATTTGATTTTATATTATCGTTTCTAGTTTCTTATTAAGATTATGAACCAAAAATATTCACAGTACGTGAACAGAAAAGTTATCTATTTATATTTAAAACTGATAAGTTTTGAAAAGTTTCTTTTATATACGATGACTTTTTGTTGTTGCTATTAACTGTTCATAACGTTCCATTAGGGACAATGAAAAACTATTTTATGGTAAAGTAAAAATGTACCTTAGTCTGTGGATAAGCCCATATCACAGCAGGTAATGCGAGGAAAACGAAAATTGGTTTCATTTTGGAAAAAAGACTACCATTCATTTCAAACATACAATAGTCTTAATATGTAGATGGATGGATTGAAGATAATCAGCTATCAAGCGCTAGAAATCTTTTCAGATAGCACGTATCTATTTTTATATACTTATCTGATTTGCGAATGGAGACGGGAAAGTATCTAATTATTCGTATTTCGTTTTACTTCAAAATTATGACTTTATCTCTGATAATCTGAAGGATTGTTGGTTTGGAAATGAGATAATTTCTAATGTTTAAAATTATATATATTCTACACTAGAATCAGTACAGTATTTGAGAGATTTTGAACTTATATCTATTATAGTTGGTGGAATATGATTTTTTAACTCTCGATTTCACTAACTCCCTGATGTAAATAACTAAACATCGGATGATGCGGAAAATGACAGCTATTGTCAGCAATGTATTATTATTGCAACTCCTTGAGGATTTAAAAAAGAAAAGAATGTGGGGAAATATAAATAATGAAGTATGAACATTTTGGGACATAGTTGGGGATAATTGAGGGGGATAATTGAGGGGGATAATTGAGGAGGATAATTTGGGGTAAGGAATTCAGATCACAGGAAATAATTCATCAGACACTGTAGAATTTAATCATTGATGTATTGAACATTCATAAATAATTTATTACAAATACATGGCATTCGATAACCCTATATAATTCAATACATATACACAAAACGACATTCTGTAACGCTCATATAATATTTACATTCAGTCCATCGAACATACAACGACATAAAGTGTATCAATAAATCTGATATGCAGTTATTTCAGATCCATTAGAGTTATATGTCATGTAGGTAATTCAATAATTACATAGAAATATATAAAAATGTTGAATATATAAAAAACTTTGTATTCTTACGTTAAATTATACATAAATAAACGATCTACGGTATGCTTAGCTTAAAACGAGGGCAAACGATAAACATGCGCGCTACTCAAAAAAACATTGTAATGCCATTGTGTCGACTTCGATGATAAAGAGTACAATCGATAAGTAAACAAAAGTTATATACAGCTATTTGGTATTCTGATTACATAAAAAATTTTTACAAACAAAATGCACAACGATGCCTTATACTTATGTTATGACACATAAAAGGTCTATGACTTTTACGACTATGGATGGAACAATAATAATTCACTAAAGCTAAATACTCAATGAATGGAATTAAGAAGACTGTGGTATTCTTCTTCCGTGAGAAGGGCATCTTCAGCTCTGCAAATGAAAGATTACTGTTTAGTTTACTGTCAAACAGTTGTCAAAGTGCTTTTTTACATGTTGCAATAAACCGACCAGTTTTTACAATTAATTACTAAAAAATTTATAATAAAAATGAATAATTAGTTGATTTATTGGGGGAAACATTGGTAAATGTTCTTTCAGCAAAACAAACGTCTCGATATGTTAAAAAAATGACTACTTTGTTTCAATGGAAAGCTGTGGATTCAAACGTTTCCTGTGATGTTAACAGTTTTCTTTCCATTTGTATAATCATTCGAGCAAGCCAGCGCTACGTGGGACATCAGACACCTAAGGACAAATCGGTTAAATATTAACCGAAGTGCAATCTCGTTGAGGGGGTTCGCAACGTAAAGCGTGCGTAAAGACCGATCAAAAGAGGTAATTTCGCATGCATACCTTAATCACCTGCTAGTTATCCCAGATCTTTAGTTTCTACACAGACAGCTACGGGCCTTTTCGAGTGGCTCACACTCGGCTACGTCAGATTTGAATTATACAGAGCAAGCGGGATGTCATTAATGCCGATTCAAAACTTGTGTAACATCGCACGGTTGTTCTAAAACTATCTAATGCGCTTATCGTTTTACTATTATAAAGAATCAAACGCGATCTATGACACATAAGTGGCTACATCGAAGGGCAAGCTCGGGATGTTCTGGGCGTTCGGAGTTTTAAACTTTAAAATTATAGTTGTTCCAAAGTTGGGGTGATTATATGACGAGGTTTAAGTAGTTGTTGGAAGATATTAAAGAAAGTTTTCTGTGCCTTTTACTTAATCATCTGCAAAACTTAGGACTTCGATTCAACTAAAGTCGGTAAAGGACTTGGCGGATTTTTTTTCGAAAACTTGGGTTTTAATACACCGAAATGGCGTACTTTGCCGTTTGCTTCCAGTAAAAACACGTTCTCATTGTTAACACTTCTGTTTTCGTGCCAATGTTTAAAATCTTTGTATCTTTAATAATTGCGCTGGGCGCAGGAGTGGTCCGATCGGAGATTTGAGATTTTGGTGAGTTGGTGATAATTTAAGAGTCAATATAAATAACATTTAAACGATTTCTTTAACTTTTGAACAATGAAAAACATTTTCGCCAAAGATGCAATAATAACGAACTTGAGGACGTGATTTTAATTTATGTACAAGCAAGAAAAATGGTCAAATTCACGACCACTGCAACTTTCTTGATCTTTAGTAATCGCGATCGCTGGGCGCAGGAGTGGTTCGATCGGAGTGATTTTGGGGTTGTTGTGTAGGTTGGACCTTTCTGCTAATATACATAGTTACCTGGTATCCAAATTCCTCCGTCTCCTCTGAACAAACAGCTCGCTGGTGGCCTCGATACACAGCAGTATGAGGCGCTTGTCGCACGTATGAGGCGACTGTTCCAACAGCGTCGGCCCCCTCAGGCTGCCCGCCAGTCCCACCTTGTCCCGCGAGGAGGCGTGCCAGGCGTCGCAAGACGTGTCCAGCGCCCTCTCGCCGTTCACCAGGGCGCCGTGCCACACGGCCTTGTGAGGCCACGAGAGGTCCGTGAGGACGTTCTTGCCGTTGAAGGAGTAGATACGCGGGGGGTGCGGGAACGGGGCTCCGTCGCCGTTGAACATCTCAGCCCAGGAGTTGAACAGCACCTCGCCCCTCAAGTTGGACACAGGCAGCTTGCGGTCGGCCATGCGGACTATGGAGTCGACGTTCTGGACACGCGAGGAGAGGAAGGCGCGGAAGGTGCCCCGCAGGCCAGCTCGTCGCGCTTCCCTGTAGCAGGCGTAGTCGGCCCCGCGGACTCCGTGTACGTCGCCGGTGTAGGCCTCGTTCAGGGCCGCCATACGGAGCTAAAAAGAATAACACCTTTAATGAAACACACCAAAAATGATTGAGGGGTCCAAGTGTCCAAATAAGGACAAAAATAAACTAGATTTTGCCCTGACTTCACGCAGAAAAAGGCAGAATTCTAAACGCCAAGGGGGATCCGGACCCCCTAAACCCCCCCTCATATACCCCCATGGGTAACACAACAAGAAATTGGAAAAAATTAAATCCAGTAAAACTGTTACGAATTCACTTTTTTATATACATTATAATGAACTTATTTTCTTATTTTTATGGGTAGAATAATTTCTCTAAATAGTGAAGCATAATTGTTGAACACCCTGTATTTCTTTCCTATACAGGCTTTTACAAATTCGCTTCTCACTAGAGAGATCTCGGAAACGGTAAGAGTACTAGCTTAAATGGGGGCAAAGTTGCGTAATCAGGGGACCAACGTTATGCCCCTAAAAAATCAAGGCTAATATGGTTAGTTTTCGAAATATTTGAAAAAAAACGAAATTTTGGAAATCCATTTTTGTTTAATTTCAGTTTGAGGTAAAAAAGAAGAACACTTTCTCATTGCCACTTTTTGCCCTCTATCGAATGGCATAATCAATTTTTATGTATGTACCGTTTCGTTCCTCCAGGACCATCATCAACTTCATTTTTTTAAATACGACCCTGTAAATTTTATTACATTTTTTGCAAGCCTTCATGACCCCCAAGACTGTACTGCCTCAGCCCGAACCAGATTCAGACGTTTTGTGCTTAATTATGCCTGTACTTGATAGTAATAATTTCGAATCCGACCAAACCAAATGATAGTTAGGCCACGTTAAGTAAAGGCATTTTTTTCCTCGTAAAAGGATATAGCTTTAATATTACGGTATACCAAGCTCATTCTCCAGATTATATTGGTCGTAATTTCTAAACTATCTACTTGCATTTCTTCAGTGGGCCATTAAAATGATTTATTGTGATGGTTAAATTTAATTCGGCCATAATAATATATAATACGTTAAACAAAATGGAGTATTAAAGATATGTTATAAAACTAGATGTTTTAAGTTAACGTTGTTTTTAGAACTAATTTGCTGCTGTAACTGGTACGGATACTTTTTTAACATAGTTTTATTTTCAACATAAAATATTAATGTTAACTATAAAAAAATTAACTAGTTCCGGTTAGTTTTCAAAATATTTCATTCCTTTAAATTTGGCCTCATTGAATAAGACAGTAAAAGTTGCATTAAACAAAAAACTAATATTTCAAATTTAATTACAAATAACTGCTAGCAGTCTATGATTGCATATCAGCATCAGTTAGAAAAATCCTCGGAAAAATCGTTAATAATATCATAATTATCAAAAATGCAGACATAAATAAAAATAAATGACCTTTTGCAGTTAAGGTAAGTTATTTATTACAAAAGTTATAAAGAGATAAAGAGGTATACAGTTTTCACGTCAAGGCAAGTGTTTCTTTTCATTTTGAAATTTGAAATTTAAATCGCTTTATTACGCAATAAATCGCTAATAAATCTCAATTAAAGTTATCCTATATCTATACAATCTTCTTTCGATCTGTGCTACAGGTTGAATATGTTCTGTAAATGTAAAGTTTTTCTGTATTGTAAAATTCTAGTCTTTAAAGTTTAAAGTAAAACTCCTCCTAAAACAATTTAATTATATTAATAAAAGTTAGCGCTATAAATAACTTCACTAATTAATGCAATTCTTGATTAGGACTATGTAACGAGCGTTCAAATAAAAACGTGGTCAAGTTGGTTCTGAAAATTTGGACGTAGGGCGTAGCGTATAGCAAATGAACTTAAACGTAATCTGTCAAAGCGCTGTATCGCCGCTTTGTTATTGAAACTGACAGCTGCTATACAGCTCGTTGAGAAATGAGGTTAAGTTGGTCGCTATAAGCTACGCCCTACGTCCAATGTGTCAAAGCCAACTTCGACCACGTTTTTATTTGAACGCTTGTTATAACCAACAGCAATCCTTTTGTAAATTTTATTATATTTTTATCATGAGTGAGAGCTGGCAAACTTTGAAATATTCGGTACGGTTCCGCAACCAGTGATACTACACTGCGTGTTGAGAGTTCTCTAACGTGTTGCTCCGCAAACTAGCAAATGAGGTTTTCCAGTTAAGAACTATAGTTTCTGAGTCATTGTGGGCGCCCATCCTATTGAATTTTTCACATCCTGCTTATCTGTCTCATAACTGTTAATCTTACGCCTCTGTAATATATATTTCTTTTGTTCATTTATGGTTAACTCATGCTGAAGTAATGGCAGTCAAACCTCTTCCACCCTGTAGACAGAATACCTCCCGAGACGTCAGAATTTTTTTGAATATACCAAATGCCTTCTCGTGCATGAAAAATGCACGGACGTTATAATAGATTTTCCGGGGGATTACAATTGCTTTGAAGTGTTGTGGTGAATTGCGCGCTCCGTTATATTTCGCGATTTTCTATTGCTTTTCGGTATAAATTGGAACCGGTGAAATATAATGTGCAAGTAGCAGGGAAACGCCATTGAAAACGAAATAGATATCGTGCGTGGAACTTGTCACTTACACAATTGTAAATTCATATGTTTTTCAGTCATTCTCTTAAGTCTATGATTGTGCTTTACCTACAGACAAAAAAACTCGAATGAAACAAAGTATACATGTCTGTAACTGCGCCACTGAACCGTTGTACATTCCCGAGGCATCAATATAGAGCTATCTCAATCATCCCTGAACTTGCACTAGAGTTACCGCCCACGTATAGACTCTTGTAACTATTATTCAAAACATTTTATAAGTATGTCGGAGTCCTGCCAGGAATTTTTATATTCCGGTACAAGAGATATTTTTGCGAGATATGAAAAGTTCGTAAATATCGCCACAACGCGCTTTATTGCAAATAATACTGCGCCACAATTTATTGTTGATATTGAAGACGTTTCAGGTTGCTTACTAGTTTATATACTTACCATTTTTGGGTACCACTGTAACAAAAAGAAATATACGTTAGAAATTAATTACAAACTATTAAGTTAAGTTTTAATTTCTAAAGCTGCTTCTTATAAAAATGAACTAGGTCCAAATAAAGTAGTATCACTTACTTTCAATGTTATACAATTTGTAATATTAGTCCAATCAATATATTTAAAAATAGGAATCGATAGGTTTTTTTAATAGCTACAACCTTCTCATTTAACTTTTTTCGATTGCAGTTCAAGTATTTTTTATTAGCGAAACACCGTCTTTTTTGACTTTTATGAATTTTTTAAGTTAACTTCTTTTTTAGATTTTTTTCCTCTATCACCATTTTTTGTTTCCAGGTGGTATTTTTTGTAAGCGCTTCTGCCTATTGATTGAACTATACTTCGGGAAATAAAAAAATACAAATGAATTCTTTTATGTAGTAAATAAAGTATTGCACAGACAATAAATTTTTATACGACTGTCGGGTTCATATAGTCCATAAAATAAAATGTCCTCCCTGCTTTGCTTATACGGCGGAAAAGGAAGTAGTTTGTTAAAAATAAAAGGAATGTCCAACGTAAAAATAAAAATAAAGTGTCGATAAACCAAAGGGAAGCTCAGGAAATTTGCAGTTGTGCGAACTTCGTTGGGGTGACTGAAAAATGATGCTTTAAAAATTTGCAATGGAGAATTCAAGTTTTCTTTTTGGGTTTATCATTTGAATTGATTCAAAAATCATTTAATCCGCCGTAGAAAAATTCTGAAAGGATTTGAAGAATAAAACTGAACGGCAAATTGTGGGGAATAAATTTGACATATTGGATATTGTTTGGAGCCAGATGAGACATGAAATTATTATTTTTTTACAGTACATTTTAGGAAGAACAGTTCACTTAAATCACCCATATCGAATGAAATTCAATAATATACTGATATTTATTTTTAAGGAACTTTCTATCGAATAAGTAAAAGCAAACATGTTTCCCATATTTTTTTATGCTGATTTATCCAAATGCTCAAAGATAAACAACAACATGAACTTGTGTATATAACTCGGAATCATTCTGGATATTTGCTTTGACAACAAAAACAGGAAGTGTACTCAAAGCCAAACTGAAAATTATATGTTTACAACACAAAATTATTTATTTAGTTTTTTGCGAATAGAAGCCCGAAATTATGTAATTCAAAGTATTTGCAAGCAATTTCTATTTGCACTGTACATTCAGATCCAATTTTAAAATTTTCTCTACACAGAACGTTTGGTACCAAGTTGAACAGCAAATATAAACATTTAAATAAAAATGTTTATTTTGAGATACTGTTTCGAATTATAACGGACTTGAAGGACCTTAAACATTGAAGGTATCACGGGTGTTATAGGATAATAATGACCTCGGTATCAAGGGTGTTGTAGGGTAATAACCTCGGTCTAAACACACTGTTGACATTTTCCGAAAATACAAGAATCTGATATGTACAGTACAATTTTGTCGTATAGAGTAGAAATTCATAATTAATATTTTAATTACGGTGATATATAGAATCTCCCCTATAACTTTTAATATCTGGCGGACTTGGTAGTTTCGTTGCAACCAGTAAAGTACGATTTCCGTTCGGTTGTCGAAAAACCATGACAGACCCGGAGAAATCGACCGATTGGTAACCCTGGCCGGATCATATCCATTTAACTTAATGACTTCGACTTAATGCACACACAGTTGGAGGGTCAGAGATAGTATGTACTTACATTGGAAACATCAGCAGGTTTGGATATGTGATTAATAAGATTGCTCGATTCGAACGGCGGTCTCAATTGCTGTGGGCTGCTCGTCGTAGGTGGCGCTGGAGTCGTCACTGGTAATAGCGATCCCAACTGGAAAGGATAATACATCTTTTATTTTCATTACAACCGCAAAGTCCAACGCGAAGTATAAAAAGCAAATTGGTTTTGTGACGCTATCATTGAATGAAAATTTGAAAACATTAATGCAGGAATAAGTTAATGATGCGCAGTGGCAACGGCAGAGCACATTTTCTGCCTTGCAGTTAAGTTGAGTTTGGTCAAGCGAAATATAATACACATATACAGAGTGATTGGTCTTTGTGATTTATCACCGAATTAGATATATTTTTTGTCGATGTTCTGTCTTTATTAGGCCTTCTTTGTACGTGGTTAAAATGAATGACATGACTGAATCATTCAAATGGAAGCATTCAAGACTGCATTCAATTTAACCATCACCGGTGATTAGCGGCTACGACCTAGACAAAAAAAAAAACATTCCCCGACCCTCGTTACCCGGCAATGGTATGCAAACGTCTCAGCAATTAGCTGGATCGGCCTGACAGCATAAACGTACACTAACTTTGTTAACAATACACGTAGGAGGCCGTGGAACTCACCGCAATGTACTGCCAGCCATTGTTAACCCTCACAAGAAGGGCTTCTTCCTCGATGACGTAGGCCAGCGTCCCCACGGGACTTGCGGACGACATTTTCGTCATGGCATCGCGATCTTGGAAAGTTACCGCTCCCGGCACAATACGGGCCGTGGAAAGTTCTTGCTCCGGAGCTGACGGAATAGGCGGGCTCGTGGTGGCTCTTCCTGGAATTAGATTGAATTAGTCTGGCGGTAGTTCGGACTAGTTGGGTTGGTATTCGTGGGTTTTTGCGGGGGTTCTATTAAGGGTCAGCGTGTTTTTGGTGTGTGAATGTGGGGGGCGGGGGAGTGTCTCCAGAAAGTGCGAAGAACAGGTTCTCTTGTTCCCGACGTCCAACAATGGGCTCGTTCGGTGATATTTAATTTATATCTTGCTCCTATATTCGCTATAAGAACCCCGTGAATATATGGTGAAAAAATCAGGTCGATATCTTTAATATTAATCGAGAATTCGTAATATGTTTGACTACCAAAACTTGACTCACCCTGTATATACTTTTTTACAGCAATTAGTAAAAGTCAAAAACCCACTTAACTATTTTTAAACAATTCTTTGGGAAGTCCTACAAAAATCCAAAGGATACAAATGTTAAAGTTGGAAATAGTTTAACTATATAAAAAAGTTTCCCTCCTACATCAGTTGGCCTTTTTTGCAATTTAAATATTTAATTCACTTCTAACTTCAGTCTCACTAGGTATCTACAATTTATTCAAATTTTACAAGACCGACACTGTAAAAAAATCGGTGTGAGTGAATACACTGAGTGAAATTATTGAATACATTTCCACTCAATCAAAATGCTCAATATTTTAATAATTTTACTAATTTGTGACAATATTTGAACTAAAACTGAGGTAACCGTTAAATAAATTCTGCAGATAAACTCGTATTTCATACACTTGTAGCTAAATCGAAGTAAATGTCCTCATTGAGTGACCCCACCCCATTCTATGGTTGTCGTGCGTTGTCTTTGTTTATCCCCATCCTCCCCATCATCTCGTAAATCCGGTTATTTTGGTGAAAATTATGTTTAAATGCAGTGGTTTGATATTTCAAATTTTTGTTTTGTTTTCATCAATTTAAACGTTATTAGTAAAAATGTGAGAAAAACTCAAACAAATTTTTTTTTCGCGCTATTTAGAATTGCATTCTAAAAAATTTCTACCGATAGATCTAAAAACTAGAATCTTAGAGCTTCAAAACGCTTTTTTTAATTCCCAATGCGGCCATTTTTTACCTAAATACAATCTGTCAAAAATAATGGAAAAATTTTGGAAATTTTTTTGATCCTTTATTTTTTGCATTAGTTTATGTCAACCAATGTTCTTTTTTGAGAAAAGATATTTGAATTCAAATACTGCACACAAATTTTTAGTGTTTTATCATAATAACTTATCGAAATTGAACTATTTTCGAGGGAAGAAAAAATGCAAGCGAAAATTGCTTTAGTTTACCCCTCGAACTACACCCTGTAGATAAGAAACTATGGAAGATATGTAACACGGTCGTGGGCAATTAAAAAATGAGGCTAAGTGCCAAATTTGAATTAAATTTCTTCAGTTGTTTTCCTGAAATTAAAAAAAAAGATTTTCATAAACTGTAACATTTGAAAAAAACTCATGTTTCTAGAAACACTTTTCGTTAATTTGTTACATAAAGACCACCTATAGAGTTTGGGCAAGCATTTTAATTGCTAATATACAGGGTGTCCCGGTACTTGATACAAAAAAGTCGCATACAAATGGATGCGGTCAAAATAATATTATTAACCGATATTATTTTGACCTCGTCTTTTTTGTATCAAGTACCGGGACACCTTGTATATATAAGACTTATTTACATATTACTTGGAATTTTTTTTTATGTATTTTAACAATTTAGAAGATTTTCTTCAATTTGTCTAGATGTATAATGCATAAATCTAATGTGGTGCTCTTTAGAAACAAAATAGCAGCAGTTGTGTTTTGGAAATCAACTTCTCTGCTCCCAGAACAAATTTTCACAATTCGTTGTTCATCCGGATCCTTACATATCGTTTATTAAAGGTATGTTAATTAACATGGTTTTCCTTTCGTCAAATCATTTCTAATCTCACCACATTTCAAATGTCGAGAAATTTCAAGTCAGTGAAGTCAGAGACTTAAAACAACCCTTTGTTGTCTTCATGGAAATAGATTTCGTGTATTTAATAATACAAATCTTGAATGCTTTACATCCACGTAAAATATGCTTTTTGTCGATTTTTAGTAATTATATTTTAATTTCCATGCTCTTGATTAATTTTTTTGTAACAGTTAAACATTCGTTATTTTTTTGTACTGCCTGAAACTTGCTCGAAACTCCAGAATATCCGAATGAACCAGCAGAAATAGGACCTTCCTGAAATAGGACTGAATAACTTGTAGAAGTTCAACTTTTCAGTTGGTTTTTTAAGTTTTACTCGAAAATCAGGCTTTTTTAAAAAAACATAAGAGAGTAGATTTGTAGAAAATAGAAAGACAAATCCGAAAATATCATGGTTGTTACCATAAAGCAGTGGCGTACTATTTTATTTAGAAAAAATATGCACCGACGATGGAGCATGTAAATTTTAGGATAGCCCTCAGATTTTGGACAATGTTTACATAAATACATGTGCCCAATTTCAAATTATTTCACTCACTAGTTTTTAATTATTTAAAAAAATTAAAAATATCTTTTGAAGTTTAACTTTATAGGAAAGACTCTCCTTAAAATTCACCAAAGAATACGAGGTTTCATTTTTGGTCACCATTTCTGAATCACCCTGTATACTACTGAGTTTTTTACGTAAGTATCCTTTTATTATCTTTGAGGAAACATGCAAATTTGTATGCTATAAGACTTTTATTACCTCGAAACTATAAATCTAAGTATTTGGATATAAAAGTAGGCATTATCGTCTGTGGATATTAAAGCTGAAGTGGTCCGTACCCTGAATTAAATCTTATTTTATGTGAACCGTAAATAAAATATTTTTTCAACTTTCATCCCCATTAGCTTTACTGCAGAATTTCATCGTAGATTAAATATATTTTAAAAGTTCAAATATAACCAGGCGCTTTGCACTAACAGCAAAATATTTTTCGATGGATTTTGTCCGAGGTAGTTTTTTGCAGCGTTTTAGTTTTTAAATTAAAACGCTATTACGTAAATCCTTTTTTTTAATGGAAGTATAGACAACAAAAAACATATTTTCATGAAAAGCCCTGTTTGAAACAATCAAAATATAGCATTTTCAATTACTCCAAAAAGAAAAAAAGCGAATGGGTATTGATTCTAGCTCTCGGTTGTTATGGTTCACGACAATTTTTTCCAGAGCAGGGGTTATATTTGTGAGAAAACAAAAGAAATATAGTGGGACAGGTGCAGTGCGTACGAGAAAAATTATGGAAAACGTGAAGCGCTCTTATACGATACTGGGGGTTGTGAATAGGAAAGGAAATATCGAGAATAAGGATTAATATACATCTACATTTACAAGACGGCGACGCGACGCTAGTAAAATGATGCATGTGGATTTATATTGAGATTTAGTGTATTTAGAAGCGAATGAAAGGCAACAAATAATAATTTTGGTTCATTTATAGGTATATCAAGTAATTTTTTTATCGCTAGCTAGGGTTAAGGAGATGAAATGTAAAATTAGTACTTGACGACACCCATCGACCCCTCTACTTCCTTCCCCACGTGATTAATAAATAACTACGTTACACAAAGCAGTTGGTATTTGTATACATTACCTGTTTTTAAATCCTTTAGTTCTTTTAATTCCTTCAAAGCCTTCTGTTCCTCCGAGCTGCTTTTCGTTCCTTTTCCGCAGCAGGAAAACATAATGAATTATTTACACACAACACAATTTTTAATTAAAGAGGATTAGGAAATGCCGTCGCCGTGATTTCCTGCAGGCATGAAGGTAAATAAATGAGGGGAAATAACATCATCGAACTGTCGCGAGACGATAGGTGAACATTTCAATATTTAATATGGAGGTGGGCAAGCAAACCTCCATCGGATTTTTTTACATTTGAATGCAAAAAAAACAACCGCAGTGATTTATTAATCTAAAGTTTGGGATCGTTCAACAGGGTGAGTCACGTTAAACAAATCAGCATCCTTGGGTCAAAACTAAGCATGTACAGGGTGTTGGAAGCTTGACTGCCTCAATTTTAACAGACGACAGAATACATTAAAATAAACAAAAAACTTTATATAACATGTTATGTGAAGTTATTTTCAAAAATATCTATTTTTTTTTGGATTTAAAAATATTTTTTTCAATCAAAACGTGTAATATTTGCAATAATATGCATTCTAAACCGCTTAATCTTGTATACTATATCGTTAGCACATAAAAAATGTAAATTGTAGAAGGATTACCTTTAATTTTAAATCTCGTGAGAAATTCATCAGTTTTTGTACTGATTTTTGTTTTGGAAAAAGCGAATTAACAGTTTTATTTTGATCATAACTGTTAATTTTTATGCTAATGACTTAAAATAAAATTCATTTTAAAGATTTTTTAAAGTACTTTAAAAAATGTTCTGTGCATTTTCTTGAAAAATTGATTTTTTTTAGTTATTTTACGTTAACTGCTTCCAATTTAATTTCTGGCGGACATGAAATTGTCTTCAACCAGCTGTATCTTACCACCTATTGAGGATTATTTTCCAGCATCATGAAATACACAAAATCTAACTCATGTCTCTGGTACAGAAATTATTTTGTGGGGCTGCGTTATCTGTGACTGTTAATTAAGATGCATTATCCTCATCAAAGAGGATTAAACTAGAGAAGACACTCGATCCTGGTTGGTATAATTCCTCCTCTTTGTATTTTCCAAACAGATATTTGATGTATGAATTAAATCACGGATTTGCCAACGCCAATCATATTTGGCATTTATTGGTACGTATTTCATAACGAATTTATTAATGTTTCACAGAAAACAGCATTGTGTGCACAAGGGTATTTAAGCTACTGTAATAATCTGATTAGGATAGAATAGAGGATAAATCAATATTCAGAATATGATTATGAAATACAGAATCCGATAATAATTGGTTTTTCATAAATCGCTTAAATTTAGTTGCCATTTTGTTATTTACAAAAATATATCATTGAACATTTATTTTAAAGAGTACTATTATTACTATGATTACTATACTATATACAAGCAATATTCAGATTTCCCGTTTATAAAAGAACCTTTGACTTCTTCTAACCCATTACTGTCGTGCAGAAAAGAAAATAATGTAATATTTTCAATCACTAGGTAATTAAATTCATTGCTTTTTAAGGAAACAGGGGTGCTGAGTATATTTTTTTATTGTATTGGATTGTTGAGATTCGTCTTCACCTTACAGTGGCATTTTAATTTGATATTTTTCGACTGAAAATTAATTTATTTAGGTCTCTTTCTTCAGCTCGGTTGTTGTTTGAAGGAAACTGATCGAATCCCGATTTATTTGTAAATGTAGAGCATCTCAAGAGATGTTTAAATTTATCTCGTAAAAGCGCAGTATTTTATCAGAGGTAAAAATTGTATCATTTTTCTATACGGAGTTTTTTTAAAAAGTTATAAACATTATTCCATACATATTTGGCACCCTGTATTTTTTTGCCAATACGCTCAATCCCGAACTCATAAACCTTAAGCAAAAAACCCTAAGCCCATAAACCTATAAACCAGTACCAGAGGCAATCGAGAAATTTGGACCACGGACTCGGATTTCAGCGCACCAAAATCCTTTTGGAAAAGTATACTCGCGCTGTTGTCTTAAAATCCTGCGAGCTTGCGTAATTATTTAAAGTTCCCGGGATATTTTAAAGAAAACGGAAACTTCCCGTCTCCATGCGCAATATTCAAGCGCGGATTGGAACGAGGCATGTACGGCCCTAACGAAATGTAAACTGCCAAACCGAAATAACACGGTTAGGGGGGATTTGTCAACACTTACCTGGTCGGAGATAGCGCGTCTCGCCGTAGGCCACGGGGTTGCCGGGCTCCCCTTTGGGTCCTGTTATGGACAGCCCTGGCATGCCCGGGGGACCGGGCGGTCCAGGGGGGCCAGGCACCGGGATGTAGCGCACTGTCTCTTCGGCGGAAATCTTGGGCCCCGGAGGACCCGGTTGGCCGTCTCGGCCAGGGGTGCCGTCGTGGCCTCGGTCGCCCCTGTCGCCCTTGTCGCCTTTGTCGCCTGGAAGCTGAAACAACACATGAGAAGTTGTGACGTAATTTCGTTGTTTCATTAAAGTTGCATCAATTTGTTTTATTCGCAGTGTACGGGGTGGCCCGCGTGCAAACTAAATTTAATTTTAAGATTTTTTTTTTAATTCTAGTCAAAAATCTCAAGTAGGCGTATGTATAGTCCAGTCATTAAAGGTAAAATACGGCGTTACCAAGGACATTTAAAATAAAGGGGACTATGCATGTCACTGTCTATCTCATATGTTGGGTGAAGCTAGACAAGGGGAAAGCAGAGGGCTTTATTTTCATCCAACTAATGTGCGCGATTACATCTCCATTGCCGTACATTTTGGATGGGTCAAAATAAAATATTTTATAGTCCTAAGTCAATATATTTCAACAGTTACTCAGTATTTTTATAATAAATATATATAATATTTTTATAACTTCTTGGAATCCCAATAACTGTAACCATTTCTTTCTTGTTGCACCATCCCCAAGCATCCTAAAAACGTTCACATTTCACTTTTAGAATACTGAGGCAAATTTTCAGTGAGACATAAAAATATATTCCCAAAGGAGAACATCAAATGGTTGAATGAATGCAACTTTCAGTTGATTGCATCTTCGGTATTTTTATGTATAAGTGAACCACCACCATATTTTTGCTGTTGTATTTATTCAGTTTTTATGCTCGTGCATTTAGTAAAATTGTAAATATATTTTTGAAAAGGTTTTTGTCGTAGAGGAAAATGAAAATGATGAATGATTAAAATTTGTAATGTTGGGTATAAGGGATAACATTGAAATACCTATAAATATATTAAATATAAATAATGTCTGTAACTTATTTGTGGTGCAGCATTTTCCTTTGATTTTAATGGCCAAACGTGGTTCATATTATTGTTTTCTTACTATTTCAGCAAAAATTTTAAAAAAATACCAAGTCAGTTTTATAAAATTTTACCGTTATTCAAATAAAAGTTACCCACACGCACGACAATGGCCACAGTTGCATATACATTCCAAAGTCACCTTCAAGCACGCTTACCTGTGGAAGGATAGCTGATGTGGATGTTTATAATCCAATTTCTTACAAATTCTGCACTGTCTAACCATATTCACACCTTAAAAGTTTATCCAAAATACATGTATAAACACTAATCACGTTTCACTTACTAAAATCACAACTATTTTCTAACAAGAGACGCCATATTCTGCCAACCACGGCAGAACGAACGAGGAACACGCTACAAATTATTGCGTAGTTGCCAAGTCTTCAAACATGGCAAATATGAAAAATGAAAAATAGTTTAATATGTACAGAATTTAACAATATTGTATGCATAACTTAATAATACTATCCTATAATAATAATTTTCACAATTGTGATGAAAATTGCGATAAAAATATTAAGTACATTTCCAGTATAATTATACAGCTGACAACAATGATACAATTAGACTGTGAATAGACCAGGCTTCATCTAGAAATGTAAATAAATAAGTCCCCTTTATTTAAATGTCCTTGGGCGTTGCTGTATAATTTTCCCAAACAGCACCGATTTGCACCAAAATTTGGATTTAGGTTCTTACTTACCCTCTACTTCAAAGTTGACCCTGTGCCGGGGGTTGCTTTTTATTTTGTAGGGGTGAAAACTTCCCCTATTCGAAAATAATTGTAGAATTGTATATTCGAGCGTGTAATAGGTTGAAATCATCTTTAAATAGGTTATTATGACGAATTGAAAATCGTCAATCCCTAAAAACCACCCCCTATGACAGTAATTATTAAAAAATAATGTTGAAAAATATTGTTCAGCAACTTGAAATAATTTAATCGTATAGTGATATTAAATTAAGACTTCTTTACTGTTTTAATTTTTTATTAATTATTTATTTATAAGTTTCAACCCTTATAAAAACCACCCCTGCAAAAAAAGTCGAACAATTGGGGTAAATCTAGGAGAGATGACGCACATTTTTTAAAATAATTATAAAACATATGTGAAATTGAAAATAAAGAGCAAAACTTCAGATTGCGTTAAAAGAGCTTAATAAGTTATAATATATGACTTCAAATATGTCAAAATGTCAGAGATTTTGGTAAAAACTAACTTTTTTTTTCTTATGACTGCGTCATCTCACCTTAGGTATCGAGCAGAGATAACGCAGTATGTTAAACGATCGCACATTTTTATTTTTTTCATAAATTTGTATTAAAACTTCATATAATTTACTTTTGATTCATTTTGAAATAATATTAAATATAAATACTCATTTATTATTGTGGTTAGACAAAGAAGCATATATTCTGAACGAAAACGTAATTATTTTCGTATTGTTCTTTATTTCTTCTTAAAAAAAAAATCTAACCATGCATACATAGCCTGCCTTGCTCTCGTCTTCCTTTTCTATTCTATATCTAAAATTCCTATTTCTATTCCTAAAATATAGCTATAATGTGTATTCATCAATGCTTCAATATACATGTTCTGATATCTGCAAAAATATGTGATTGGTTTTTTACCCATAACTCGCTTAGTTTTTATGCTATCAAGCCCTTCAAAAAAAACATTTTGTAGATTTTTTTTCAAGGGCTATACGATCAAAAAAGTTAAATTTTCTTTCAGCCCTTATTTTTGTAAGGGTTTGAGCTGAAAGGGCTTGAACAAGTTGCTGTTTACGAACATATGCAAACTCTAAACGGCATATCTTACTTAATTTTTATCCTACAGAAAAAAAACAAAATTTTCAAAAAACTGAAACTTACAATTTTGTACTCTACAAAATTTTGCGTATCATTAATAGTTTTTGAGTTATTTCGAGGAAAAGACAATCTTTTCCAAAAATACAAAAATTCTCTTTCCACTTCAAGCTCAACTTTTTTCAAAACTAAGCACTTTAAACCGGTCAAACTTCTAGAGCATACAAGTACATAAATAAAGTAAATTGTAAAGTGGTAAAGATTATTTTCAATTGGGGTGGTAGTTAGGGGGTGATTTACACGTTTTTGTCGTCGAAAAAAATACGGACCAACTTTATTTTCATCATTAACTCGCTTAGATTTGATACTAGGGACTTTTATAAAAAAAATATAAATACAGGTTTTTTGAAGCACTTTAAAAAAGGTTCTATGAGTATTCCCTGAAAATGCATTGGTTTTTGGTTATTTCACGATCAAACTTTCAATTTTGGCGTTTGACGAATAGGAACCAACGTTCAACAAGCTATTATTCCGCTTGTGTTGGGTCTACAGACACCATAAACACAATTCTTTTTGTTTTTTATAAGCTAAATTTTTTATAAAAATGATTTTTTTTTTTGATAAAATACCTTTTGAATTATTCGCGAAAAACCGTCTGAAAAGGTTAAAAAATTTTCACTCGCGAATAAGTCGAAAAGTATTTTATCAAAAAAAAAAATCTTTATAGAACAAAAGTTGCTTAGAATCAGTCAATATATCTATTCCCATAGAAAATCGTCAAATAAACAAAAAATAAAGAATTATTTAGGGCTAACTTTCAACGTTACAGGGAAAACTATGTTGAAAAACTGGTCATTTTCGTTCTTTTTTGTATGTTTGTTGTTCCCCTGAATTTAGCAATGTTTTTTTGGAATAGACAAACTCGGATTCTTATTCTACATAATATTTGGGATTTTTCTGTACAACAAAATAGATGACTTCAAGCACAAACCCCAAAGCCTACTTTTACTGGTCTGTCGCCTGGACTATAAAGCGCAGCGCCGAAGCAAGTATACGGCGTAGCACACGTCGCAAGGAATAAGTAACTGCTGAGATTTTACGACGCCTAAACTGCTCAATTTGCACGTTAATCCACTCCACGATTGGAAGACAATAGGCGTTTTGGAACTATTAATCAAGACGCGTTTCAACTAAGTTGTAAAGGGTAACTAAAACTCACGAGCCGACTGATATTTGAATAGCACGTAGCTGATTTGCACTTCTAGTTTACTTGTTCCCGCTCCAGATTTGGGGTAGGTCGTGCATTGTAGCGGCTTATAACGGACCTGCCGGTTTGGTCGTGCTTGCTTAATAAGGGTTGGAAAGTTTATAGTTACGCTGGCGCTTCTGCTACGAAAAATCAGGTCCTTATATCGTTAAGAAATGGATCCGAGCATTTATGTTTCCCTTAAAGACGGGGAAATGTCCGATTGGACCGATTTCTTCTTGAGTGTATTTGGTAGATGATATCAATTTTTGTTGTGTTATTCTAGCAAAGCTTTTACACACTTGCAAAATCAATCACTTTTTCGGTCTACAGTTTACATTTTCTTTTAATCTTGAACTTGTTTCATAAAAATAAATATTTTGTCGCAAAAGCTGATTATAAAGTGGTTGTTGATAAACTAGGAAAAAATAATCTTACTATTGTTAAATTTTTCAAAGAAAATTGTACAAAATAAAACTTACCCCTCCAAAATCTCCCTTTTCTCCTTTCACCCCTGGAACGCCTGGTATGCCTGGTCGACCCTGTGAAAAATTAAAAACTTGTAGCATATTATTTCACTCAAGTTTTGATGTATTTTTTTAGAATTAAGATTGTTTTTTTAAAGCATAAAAACAGTTTTTGTTATGTATAGCGTAACAAAAGTCCCAAATTTCAAATTAAATAATGGTTCATCCACACATTGTGGCACTACAGAAACAAGTATCTTTTCCAGGATTTGATCTAATTAGTAAAGTAATGAACTGCAAAACCTCATAAATTACAAGATATTTCATTAAGAATCACATGTAATAAACATGTTACAGTTAGAGAGATGAACGAGTGAAGAATGTGAAAATTTATTACAAATACGGAGAGTGTGTAGCTGAGATTGGGCGCAAAGTATGTGGAAATTTCGGTGGAAGAACATCTGTGGAAAGATTAGTTGCAGACAATAAAAAAACAAGCAAAAAACAAGAATTATTTGTTGTTATAATCCATAATGATATAGTTTAATAAGTTAAGAAGTTAAAGAACATTTTTAACCAATTAGAAAATTTGTACCAAGAGCTTTATTGAAACACCGAAACATCTCGCAGCTTTGAAAAACCTCATGCGATCTTCATTCCGATAAAAGTAATATACCCGAATCGAACCGTAATTTTCGTGACATACTGATTTCAATAACACCCACTTCTGTATTTTTATCCAGATGAATGTGTGCCGCATATAGCTCGAGCCCAGAGATACAAAAAAATTAATAGTGAACCTCGGTTATATTGGCTGCAAATCCGACAGTTATCTTAAAAAAAAACACTCGCGGTTCGTCAACAAATATTGATTTCGGCGGTATAGAAAAGGTTCACAAGTTAAATACACATGTTTACGTTGTTTGCTCAAGGAAATTCAAATTTATATTGATACGACTCGACAAATACAACTGGAATCGATTTTGTCTGTAAACTTTGTTTGTGCTTGTACAGGTTAACTTTTAATAAACAGTATCGAGAGTTGAAGTTTGGCAAACGATGCTAAATTTGTAATCGACGCTGTTAAAAATCTTTGCTGTCATGAAAGTAAATCAAAGTTTCTAAGAGATATACGAGGTTTGAAAAAAAGTAACGGGAATTTGTCCATTTTTTCTGGACTTGAATTTCTTAAATAGGACGGTATATTAAATTTGACAGACAGAATTGTCCTTTCATTTTATTAACGTATATTAGAGTCCATTTTTTATAGTTCGCGAGATATTTTTTTTTGTTATTAACTTTTACATTAAATAATGACTAAACAACATTTTCAGTTTATTTTCTATTGAAAATTCCATTGTTATGTGGCATTCATGTGTTAATGAGGAAATATATAAAAAACTGCCGATCACTCGCAAATTCCATTAAAAAAATTAAAGTAGCCCACAAGGTAACTAATGGAAATAGACATTGAATAAATTTAAATTTACATGTACCAGTTTGTTGGTTCTAATTAAATAATAAATGGAAAATTTTGCTTAATTCTCATCAATTAAATTGTACATTTTATAGTGTATGTTCAATAATACATAATAGGACAATTGTTTCACGAAATTTTAATATAACATTTACAAATATTCGAATAATTTAAACATTTTATGAATATCAATGTATGGCTATGACATATGAAAATATATTTAAAATAAATCGATATACATAGTTTCTATTTTACTTGAACATATTTTTCTGTCATGCAGCTAGAGTGGCCCGATTATTCTGAGGTCCATGTACACCGTTTGTATACAAGGCGGGTCAGGTAAATCGTGAAATACATAAAATGTAATGGAAATAGAAAAAGTCTATAAAGGAACAGTGAGACTTTATTTGTTAGTATAAAAGTTCGCTACTACTGGTTGTCCAAGTTTTTTTTTACTTTATTTTAGTTTCCTTATTATAACTATTCACTTTTCATGCGACAATGTTTGATGTTTTCATCATTCTAAGAACAACCTTACAACAATACAGATCGATTACGTTATGTTTTAAGAACAATCGAAAATAAAACTTTCCCGTGGCTTCGGATATCGCCTCATATATCGCGTCATAATGGAGTACTTGGACCCGAGAGACGCACAGACTTTTTAAACCCCCTGGTGGTCTCATTTACTTCACGCTGGACTTTTTGTCGGTTTTCCTCGGCCATACTTTCATAAATCAGTCTCGTAAAACAAACTGCCGTCTATTTAATACACAGCAAATTAGGTTTTTAAACTTTTTTTTGGACCTCTGCGTCGCAGTTTGCGGATTATCTTTTCTGCGTTCAGATTACGAAATTAATAGTCGGAATATTCCGTATTCCCTAGGTAGCCACAGGTTACAGTCCAGGCGATAGAGCAGTAAAAATAGGTTTTGGCGTTTGTGTTTGAAGTAATCTATTTTGTTGTCCACAAATATCCCAAATATGTAGAATAAGAATCCGAGTTTGCCTATTTCAAAAAACTATTGCTAAATTCAGGGGAACAACAAACATACCCGTTTTTCGACATATATTTCCCTGTAACATAGAAAGTAAGCTCTAAATTTGGGACCATTAACGACCAACAAATTTAGAACAAAACTTCGTAATCTTTTTAAAGATTAGTGTACGGACAAGTAATTAAAAAGTAAAAGTTAAACAAGCGTAATATAATTTATGAAAGCATGTTGACGTTATGAGTTGAAAATATAAAACAGCAAAGACAGGGCCTCTCTTATTTTATCTTTATCATGTCTGACCTGGAACATTTACTTCTTTTACGAACTAAAATTATTTACGAAATAAACATGTTTCTCTCGCAGCTGTCCTGTTCCAGTACATTATCGAGTTTAACGTCTCAGGTTTATCTGTGCAACAGATTTGTTCGTTTTTATTCAACCTCTTGGAAAAAGGGCGCTGCTTCTCATTTAGCTCGAGAAGGGATTATCTGAATGGTATTAAAATTTTATAAGGTCAGAAGGCTCCAGATGTTTTCTGCTAAAAGATAACAGAAATGTTTTAACTGATAAAAGAAAGATATATTTTAAATTTTTTTATTCAAAATACAACTGCAAACGTTTTTGTTGACACACGAATGATGAAATATTGATAAACTTTGTCGCTTGTGGCAGTGTTGGGAACAACTTCGTTCTACAATGAAAATGAGAGACTCAACGAAAAAATCTCTTACTGATTAAGGCCTTAAAAAAATTAACGAAAGTTGAAAGGAACTCGGCACTGTAAAAAGGGAGATACTTCATTTGTGTACAGACGTGACATTATTAAGGAATAATACCGACTCTTCAACGAGATCTGAGGGCTTTCAAAGAATTATTCCCATTTTGCTTTGTAACCTTTCCATTCGACTTGTGAGCAACCGGGAAACTCCACCATATTTTTGCGGAACACGGTGTTTTTGTTTCTGGTGCACTGTGGAGTCGTTAATGTTTTGTTTGAAATTTAAATAAGTTTCATGGGTACTTGCGTTTACAGGAAAGCTTGTTCCAAAATTTACCCATTCCCCGTTAAAAAAATGTACGCGTTGGACTGTTTAAAAGGGGATTTTAATTCAGACGATTTTTTGCTTTTGTCTAGGACAAAGATGCGCATGGAAGTACAATTTTTTTCTTCACTCGTTGTTTGTTGAGTGTTCACCTATGTATAGTGTTTTGTTATGTGGAAAAGTTTGTTGTATTTTCGTAGAATAGGTACTAATTCTTTTACAAATATCTTAAAAGCATATCTCTCTTTAACAAAAAGGTACAACCAGAATAAGGCTTTCGTAGTTTTTATTAAATTTAAAAACACTATTGCCATTACAAATTAGAAATAATCACACTGTCAAACTGAGATTAAAAGTGTGTTAGTGTCATTCACAAAACACAAAGTTATAATCATAATCAAAGTGTAAGGTTTTCTTGCACAGACTGTGTCAAAAATTAATACCAAATTTTTAACCCTGGTAATTATGTAAAATACTGCAAATTTTGACATAGTTGATAATAGTTGATATTGCAAGGAAAATCCAAGGAAATTATAGCTGTTCCTTACAAGAAGAGACATCTGTAACTTGTGCAAATTCTTCACAAACTTCGACAGATGTTATGCCTTCCGAAAAGATGGCAATAATTCTACAAGGGTTGTTATTAACAGAAAGGAAGTTAAATGTGATAAAACCAAAAACGAAATGTCTATTACTATAAAATGTAAATGTTAATGTTAATAAATAAATTAATTAAATTAGATTTATTATAGGTTTATTATTTTTTCATTATTCAACTAGTGAAATAAAGTTACTTTATTCCACTAGTGGATAAAGTATCACTTTATACGTTTCATATGTGTGGATAAAAGTCCGGTTATAAGGTGGTTGTGGATAAATTTGTTTTAATCAACGATTACTTTATTAAGGTTGATTAATTCATTTGGGTATAAATATTAATATCAATTTTATGGATATAGACAAAATAAATATTGGGATTGTCATCATAGAAATGTCAAACTCAAAGAAATAATGCATTGCCTTTATAAAAAAAAAATCACTCAAAACAGGTCAAAAGTGTCTTACCTTAGTGTTCTGCTTCCGAAAAGTAATGGAAAAAGATATTGCGTTAGTTTTAATTATACAGGGCGATCGTAATTGTTTCTTGATATCTCCAGGGTACATAATACATATAAAAAATAAGGATATCTTTTTCTATAAACTACAAAAGTTTATACGAAAAGGTATCCTTAAATTTTTGCGATTTATTCGCCCTGAAAATTACAAGAGAAAAAAGGGAACTTGCATGAAACTTTAACTTCTTTTATCACTGCATACGTTTACAATTTATAACCGACAACAACTAACGGTGTACAAGTTAATTATAGATGTTTAAAATTGTGTAAAAATTAAAATTCCTCATTGTGACGTCATTTAGTGTGATCGAGGACACAACCAGCTTCTCGACCGTCCAGAAACGCACAAGAAAGTGTTTCCAGACTATTGTTACTTACTGAAACCGTCCTCTCTCTATATCTCGATCGCACTAAATGACGTCACGAATTCGCGCGGCAGCAAACACTCGTTTAAAACACTTATTGTGCTTGCTAAACTTTAATAATTAATTAATTAATTAATTAATTTTTAATACAACGTAAGGTTATATGTAGATTATTTCTAGACATTTATAATAAGGATAAGAGAAACATACCCTCCAACCAGGTAATCCTATCTCGCCGCCTTTCCCCGGCGGTCCTGGCGGTCCCATTGGCCCAGGTTTTCCCCTCCTACCTCTTTTACCCATGTCACCTTTCTCGCCCTGCGAACAAATCAAACGTACTGTTAAACAAATCGCGATGTTCCTCAACGCATCCACTGTCAATGTCTTACCTTCACCGTTACTATGTGCTCGCTGCCTTCTGGCATGATCACGGCACCTGGTGGGCCTCTTTCGCCGCGTTCTCCTTTAGATCCTGGAGGACCGACGGGACCAATCGCTCCTTCTGTACCCAAATCACCCTTTTCACCTTTGGCGCCCGGTGTACCCGGCGTACCCGGCACTCCTGGGATGCCTGGCTCGCCATCTACGCCTCTGTCTCCTAAGAGAAAGAAATTGTTTGAAATTGACTTAAAATAATTCGAATAATTCGTTATACTTATTTTCTACAAACGTTATTCAATCATTTTTGTATTTGTATCGTATAATTTGATTCAGTATCTTTAAATTTTGAGTAGTTGCATATTGTATTTAGACAGGCGTGCATAGTTATTAGCTATTTGATTTATTGATAATTAAAAGCGTAAATTTGAATCAATTTGAAGATAAGTAGAGTAAATGATGCGTCAGTCTCTCAAAATATGACCTCATTGCCTTGACATAGACCTAGAGTCTATGTGAACTGTACTACGATCACTTTACATATTCCAACGAAGTAAACAATTACATGTTGTCACGGTTTGATCATAATATTAGACAGGGACACATTTAGGAAAGTTAAAACGGGTACTACTATAAAGTTTTAAAATTCTAAACAAAATACAATATATTTTTTTATTCAACCACTTCATGAACTTAATCGTTGCTAGGCATCTTAAATTAATCCAATTCTGTGCTGTTCTTATGAAACTAATTTGTACTGTTAATCACTGTATATTACTATACGCTTTTATACGCAAATATCGTTAGGAAACTGTAGTTTAATTTTTATAAATTATACACGCAGCACCCTGTATAGCGCGTTCGAGCCGTAGACACCAATTTTGCTGACAACAGTCACTTGATACGCCATATCCACGGGCGGGAATGTGTAAAGGGATACTTGTTCTAAACCTTTTATCTGCCGGTTATAAATTTCGGAGCCCCTAGTGTTTGCCGGTACGCGTGATACATTGGAAATGCTACGGGCGACTCCTGCGTAGGAAACGCGAGTCCACGCTTCCATTCCATTCGAGTCCTTTAAATAATATCTAAGGATGTCACGTATTTTTTCCGTGACCCAAAACATTGAGCCTTATTCTTTCGAGGATGAGTATTTCCTAAATGCAGCCCTCATCTGAATAACTTCCCCAACGAAATATTGCCGGATGCGGGGAATATCTGATCAGGTTTCTGTTATCCTGCCTGTCTTTATGGGCATTCGCGAGGTAAGAGTTGAAATGGTTTAAATGTAAGCTGGTCACTTGTAAAATAACGTTAAAGTTTAGTTAAAAATAACGTGGAGTAACGGGACAGTTCAGTGATTATTTAACTGAAAGTAAAAGTATTAAAAAACGTTAAACTCTATCAATAAAACTGAAGAAACAGCATGGATTCACCATTATCTCCAGATTTAAGAGTTCAAGAAGAAGATCTTGGAGATAATAACTCTAAAGTCAAAGCTTTAGGTGACGTTCATGATATATTTTTCGTATAGTCTAATGAATGTAACAGAAGGATTCCTGAACCACATTAGTGGAATATATCCGGAAATCGGATTCTCATGAAGTTGTCTATTATTCTACGACCTTCTGGATGTGATATCATTACTATCCTGTAAAAAAAGAGGTCACGCTCAATGAACATAGATATGTATGAATATTTTAAAAGGTCGGTTTCTAAAGCTTCGTTTCAATAGAATTTACTATCTTACTGAAGGAGCAGCCAAGCAACATGCTTTTCGAGTCTACTTGCAAGTACAAAAATGGTTAAGAAACGACAATGACGTAACTATATGGGGATGCAAACTGATGAAAAATGCTCATACCAGTATATACTGAGGAACCGTTAATACCAGGGGAAATATTAAAAAATATATCATGTAACTGCGTCAAAGGTTGCAAAAATAAAGTCTGTGGTTGTAAAAAAATTGTTTGAAATGTATAAAATATAGGAAACGAAACCATGGAAGAAGAAGAAAATGAANATTGATGGGTCGAATTATGTGGAAAATTAAGTTGATTGCGTGGAAAATACAGAAAACGAAACGATGGAAGAAGAAAATGAATCACAATCGAGTGAATTGAAGAGAAGTAGAATTCAAACATAAGCTGTGAAAATAAAAAATGTAATCGACGAATATTTTCATACCACGTAATTTTCTGTACGATAATAATAATAATTAAATAAATATTTTGTAATCTTTTATAATAAAAAGATATAATTACCATGAAACGCTGTGTTACTTTATTTCATAAATAATTATTAAATATTTATTGAAATGTTAACAAGAGGTGATAGAATTTTAGACTAAAGGAAAATTACATTTCTCAAAGGTAATTACACTTTTGAGGCCGTCGTAAAAGTCATGTTTTGGTTTATCTCGTCGAGCTACCCCAGATAGAAATACAAAAGGATTTTTGTACGTGGTCCAGAAGTCGAGATAATGAAGATTTTGAGAGTAAGGGCGTTTTTGAACGCGTGAATTCAGTTTTCGGAGCGGCCGAGTAGTGTTACCCCCACTCCGCCACCCGCTACAGTTAGCTCGCGCCGCGCTCGAATGCCTCGGTTTGACGCACAATTAAAAATATGGCTAAAACAAACCACAGTATTTTTTTGTTGAAAATATAAGTCTTCAACTTCAATCTCTGTAAAAATGGACGCTGTAGCACTTAAATAGTGGCTTGTGGAATTAAAAAAAAAATAAAAAATTCTCGGCTCCAAAAAGTCGTAGAGCAACGTTTCCTTTATTTAAGTTCGCGTAAAAATGCCAGCAATCGATTCCTGTAATAGACATTATCCAGAAATGAAAATCGAAAACGATATTCAAGAAAGACGCGACAAAAAAATTTTTACTTTTTTCAAGGTCATTTTTGGACACTTAAAATGAATAAAATCGTTATCACTCTTTTTTACCATGAAAGTACAACACTTTAGGAAAAAAATGAGCCCTAATTCGTTTCTCTACGACTATTCGTCGAGCAAGAAGAGCCAATTTTCGAAATGACCTTTTTCTCGAAAAATCGATATAACTAGAAAATGTTTTAATGTTTTTTAAATTAAAAAAAAGAGACACTTTTTTGCTTGCCGAGGGCTACATTTACAGCAAGTAACAAGTTTAAAAACCTTAATTTGCAAGAGATACAACAAAAACAAAAAAATGACGATTTTTGACTGCTTTTTCGATATATCTCGAAAAGTAATATAGCAATAGATATATTGAAAAATACAAATCGATAGATTTTTGTAATGGCTACAACTTTCTCATTTAAATTTTTTCGATTGGAGTTCAATTTTTTTTTTATTAGCGAAAAACCATTTTTTACATTTATAAATTTTTTTAGGTTAACAGGAAAAAAACTATCTTTCTTAGAATTTTTTCCCTATATCACCATATTTTTTGTTTCCAGTTGGTATTTCTTCTTCTTCTGCTTCTCCTCCTCCTCCTCCTCCTCCTCCTCCCTCTTCTTCTTCTTCTTCTTCTACCTATTAATTGGACTCACCTTTCGGTCCCTTATCTCCGGGTTCCCCCTTCTGCCCCGGAACTCCCGGCAGGAAATCCGCCCCCTCGTTGGTGGCACTAACAGCCATTCCAGGAGGCCCGGGAAGACCCGGCACACCCGCGTCCCCCTTCTCCCCTCTGTCCCCTTGCTTCCCAAAAACTCCCGGTGTTCCAGGGATACCATCGAGTCCGGGTGTTCCTGTTTCACCTTTCGTGCCCTGAGCGCCTTTCTCGCCGGGCAAACCTCTGTCTCCACGTTCGCCCTTGGTCCCGGCATCGCCCAGGGACCCCTTCGGGCCTGCAGGGCCCCGTTCTCCCCTGGGACCGGAGGGGCCTTGTTTTCCGGGTTCGCCTTTGGGGCCCGGCACTCCTGGGCGTACCATCGAACCGCCCAGAACTGTGTCCTGGAAAATTTTGAACTGGTTTATTTAAGCTTGTGGCTAAATAGGGTTGATTTTAGTGTTACTTTATATTGTTATAGGATGATTCACGCAAATCTTCAAAGTGACAACAAATTTATGGATAAACGTGTTTATACAGGATGTTTACAAACTTGGAGAGGATTTTTTCATAGTAGGTATCAGTAACAAACGTTTTCAATAATCAGAACCTTGAAACCACAAAATGGTATCTACTTAAAATTCATAATAATCAAAATTGTTTAAACTTATTGAGGACTTCTGGAATCGTTCCCTACTTACATACTACATAAAAAGTGGTCAATAGTTGTGGTCGCAGATAACGCGCCGCTTGCTTTGTGTTTATTACTGAACAAATGTTTAAATTTTAAAACAGTTTGTCTAGGGTGTATTTGTTTGTGTTTAATAAGTGCTAATAAACATATTAACATGGCTCGAGATTACAATGTAAACAGTTTAGAGCCTGCAGGGCTATCGGTTGAGTCAGTGGTTCCAAAAATGTTTTATTTTCATCTAACTTTTATAAAACAGAAAATAAATGGCTTTTCCGTGAGCTTACAGTTTCGTATAAGCGGATGTAACTGAATTCTAGACAGACTACTAATGAAACTGAGTGGAGCAAGGTTTTAATTGGACACCCAGTCTACCGGCAGAGGCAAATCGCAATCAAAATCCAATTCAGCTATAAGATGGCAAGTAGTGCAACCAAACCTCGCCTCTTGTGAATTGCAACACATCTAAATCTACTCGTAGACGGCCTTTGTAAGCGTTGGATTATATTCAACCCTGATCTTTGATGCCCCTCGACCTGATATTGGCGTTTTCACAAGGGCTCATATGGTTAAGTACAATGAAACAGATTCTAACACAAGTGTTTTTCATTGTTTTATTTCCATTTTTTTTTAAACTTAATTTTACATTCCTCAGAAATCCAGAATAACGATTTACAACTGACAATTTGCGTTAGCAGTTTTAAAAATATAACCACCCTATGGAATTTAAATCGGTACGGAATAGTTTCCGTGACTGACCAACGAAAGAGATCAGAGGCACGCAGGAGGTTGCTTTTCAGCCAAATTATAATTTGACGTGTGACGACGGTATCGGAACTAACTTCTTCGATTGATTACATCATTTCCCTATTACTATATAAGTTCTAGGACTCTCGAAAACTTTTAGGAATGCTGAAATTCGAACCAAGCTACGGAATGAATTTTGTTAAATTGCGCTTTAGTAAAATTCTAATGCATTTATTAAATAAATAAAGGTATTTACAAACTTAGACAGTAAATACATCGATGTACCAAAACTTGATTGGCAGGAATATTTCTTGCAAATACAATATTTCGTTTCAATAACTACTGCCTTACCACAATAATACAAAGAAACATTTTTGGAACCGCTTCGAGTCCATTGACTGGTAGAAATATTTTTTGCAAATAGAATATTTTATTTTAATATCTACCGCCTTTTCACATTAATAAGGAGAAACATTTTTGGAACCGCTGATTCCCTCGACAGCTCACGTGTTTGTACAAATCGCTTTACATAAAAAGGTCCATTAATTCATTTTTACATGCACATTTCCTAGATAAACTTTCATTTCATATAAGTCAACCACTGTTAACAATAAAGATCCAGAAAAAAAAATTACATACATATTTTCACTCATCTAGTAATTACACTTTCATTTTTTTTGCTTAATGTTTTTGAGAACTTGTCGGAAATATTTGTAGCATTTAATTCACTTCAAATTGAAAGTTTTACAAAACTGTTTTTTTTTTAATTTGATACCCGCACACTATGTTAGGCATCTACGTGATAGATTAACGTTTTTAGTGAGACATCTAAAAGGTTGGATTAACCTTTCCCAGAAGCAACTGCTACATATGACAAAATCATTCCCATTATCAGTCCAATGAGAAAAATTGGCACACTTACGGAAAAAGGCGTCGCGATTTGTTTTATTGAAACAGTTCCATATGTTTAGAAAGGCGGCTATATTTCAAACGAATCACTCAATATCGCCAGGAAAAACTGGGAATAAGCTGAAAGTGTGTAATAATTGTAACAGTTTTGATGTATTGCTCAATCATTAAACAGGATTTTTTAAGAACTGATTTAATTTCTTGTATCTAAAACATACTGAACAGATCACCGGGAAATCTATCCGTACAATGACGTTTATTGGAAGCTAACGACATAAAGCAAATCAATTAAGCTTATTAGCAAATAAAGGCTTTATCCTGAGCCGATATCTTCCCGAATAGATTTCCCGGCAATCCATTAATTAACTTGGACGACTTGGTCTGATACATCAAACGACCTTTCTTTATAAAATACGCTTTTGAAATACTTCCAGGACGTTTCAGGGACCTACCACCATAACATCCTTGCAGAAAGAAGGATTTTGTTTGTAGAGATGTTGAATAAGCGAGATGAAACAAAATTTAAATGAAATTAAAATTAATTCTTGACTATTCAGCTAGAAGTGTGGTACGGACTTAATAAAATTTCATTTTAGTTCCACATTGCAAAATATGAAAAAAGAGACAGTAACTAATGTTGGAGTTTTTCGTTTCTATTTGAATATAGTACTGTATTTTCATACCACGACTATGAAAGAGAATTGCAAGGCCTATAATTAAAACCACGAAAATTTGATGGACGGGATCGATCGTGAGACATAATTGTTGTATTTATTACCATCTGCCTTCGTGTAGGAAGCTACTGAGCTATAAAAGTGTAGGTTTATAAATATACCCGGAGCTAGAGGAATGTTTGAAGCTATTTATCTTTGAGCTTTATTTGAATGTAAATAAGATAGTCCTTTAATATCAAGTTAGAGCTTCAGGTTATGCTAAACGTAGGTCGAGCTCCGACAGTTTAATGAAAAAACTGCTTCGTGTCTTATTAACGTTAAAAATATACGTACAGTGTCAATAAGGAATGTAATCTTAAACATAATTACTGCTCGGGAAACTTGGACCAAAAAATGAATTATACCTGGTATTTATCAAAAGAAATTAAATGATGATACAAAATTAAATTGCAGCGATCAACAATATTTAACTTTTGAGAATCTCAGTTTTATTTTGATGTCTATTTGCAGTTGATTTGAAAAACAGATGCTGTTGTCCAAAAAATAAGGTGAATTTGTCTAAAAAATAAATAGTTATTTATTGTATAAGTGTTTTAGTAGCATTTTATACATAATCACATCACAATCATATTTGTGGAGTCAGAATTACTGGAATTTAATAAAAAACATTGGCACGACTTGATATTTCTTACTAGTATCCAATGAAACGTTTTTTCCAACTCTCGAAACAGTCTGAAAAATCCTTTTCCGGTATGCCTGTTCGTCCTTAACGCTTTATCTGCCTTCTTTAAAGTCTTTGCACCGCTTGTAAATATTTTTTTTGCGACATAACCTCGTCATTAAAGGCCTTCTGCAACATCCACCTTATTTTTTGGACAAAGTAGATCTAATGTTATTATAATTAATTACTCAGAGTTCTAACAAAGGTCAACTGCATATAGATAAACAGATTTCATTAAAAAGAATTAAGCCTTCTTTATGTTTTAGTCACTCAAGTTAATGTATATTAATCTTTTCGTAAACAAATGAAGCTTCTAGAAAACAGTGCTTTTAAATTTAGTAAATTTAGTAGTTGGTTAGTAAAAAATATGTCATAAAACAAGGAATACCTTTCTATATGATCTTTTGATGGTAACTGGAATACCTACATAATTCGACTCCGTCCGTACCTTGCAAAGTATCGTTAATTCCTGAGGTGCAAAGTGTGCAAAATTTGATAAATAATGAAGGGCTTGGGTCCCCGACCCTCAGCGATCAATCAATGGATAGTCTTTAATATATATATTTAATATTTTTCCGACATTGCTATGGAAATATATTTCATTTGCGTATTCGAAATACATTCTTAATTACTAATTCATTAGCGAATGAATAATTTGTAGAAATTGTTACATACTTCAGAGCTAAATGGATACGTAGCACGTTTTACAATTCAACACTTTAAATAAAACAGAATATGCACAGATTAGACGTACGTATTTGTGCATTAAACAACAATGTATAACATTGTGACAATATCCGCGAGTCTGCCGAACGCCACCTTTATCAAAACGTTGGAAAACTTTAAATTCGCTTCCATGCATATTTATAGGTCTATAAATTTTAATAGCAATAAAGAAGACGCGGCCTATATAAAGTACAAACTCTGTTTTAAGTCGCAATCTGGTGATTTATGTACTAATGTATCAGCAAATTTTCGTCACAGCCGCTCCAGGGATAGCTTGCGGGTGTTGGACGACCGCTTTGGTATTATTTATAGCGGTGAAAGAATTGCTGCGGATTTATTATATTTTGTGTACAGGAGAAAGAGTTGTCGAGATGTTTCGGGTTCGATTTTCGAGAAAAATCGATAAGCGAAAACCGCATCTCGATATCTTGATTGGCTTTTTTATTTTTGGTTGTTTTTTTTTATGACGTTGCATAACTTTTTTCTAACAATTACAAAGAAATAATTTTTGTAGTTATGCCGTCAATATTTTTTGTATGTACTAATATTGAGGGCATTCCATTTAAAAAAGACATAAGTTTGGGTATAACTCGAAAGTAAATTTAAAAAAAACGTAAATAAAAAGTTGTTGGGTAAAACAAAAGGTGGCCAAATGTGAAAAACGCCCTGTACATTTTTTAACCTCTGTGTATCTTCTACAGAAAGACAATAAGGCCCTCAAAAATGCAGAATTTGTTACATCTGGCACATATTTACCTTGAAATAACAAATTAACTTTTTAAATTTTTTAAATATTTTTCTTTTTTCTATAGTTTTTACTTAAATATATTGCTAAGTGCTTAGAACGCATAGACCAACTGAAACGGGAAGAAACGCAGAAAAAACGCATTCGATTAGAAGGAATAAGACGTGAGCCTTTTTTGGGGTAGCGGATATACGAATACACTAACTGGAGCCTTTCCGGTCGTACTTGCGAGCGGAGTTACTCAGACGCAAACTTAATTGTTTTGTATCTCTCAAACTTAACAGTTTCTTCAGATGACAGCGGTAGTATTACTACTAATTTTTTTCAATTTATAAAATATTTTCTGAAAATTAAACACAAACATGTACAGCGAGTGAAGCAATATTGTTCATTTAATTAATTACCTTAAATTGTCCTCTGGGTTTCCAGCTAGGCTATAAAGCAGCAGCATTAAACATAAAGTATTAATATTAAATTCTAGTCAGATTTTTATCAATGTACGTTTTACGTTAATGCTTCAGTTTAAATGACAAAGAACGATGGTCGAATACTGTGTTTTATATAAACTAATGCATTGGGATGTGTGGACTTGTAAAACAGTGTATCCTAACAATAAAAAGCAGTACTGTATCACCGATTTAGTTTTCTAAATGGAAAACACATTTCTTGTAGTCTCTGAAAAACAGTTTTCGTTTTCATCGTATAAATATCAAAAAAGAAAAGGACACTATGAAAATCATTTAAAAATATACCTACTGGAATTTGATGAACTAATATAGTCGATTAAATGAAAAAGATTTAATTCCCCCTATTGCTACATGACTTAAAACAAATGTTAATTATATCTCACAGTGTTCGACCAAAGAATTTGAACATTTTCCACGTTTAGTTATGTTTTTCTTTTGAACAAGGTTTGAAAACTGCAGTCATAGTTTTTTTTTTTTAAATTCTACTTTGCATTATTACGTATCGCAAAAAGATACCCAGTACTTTAGAGGTAACGAAAATATCAACCATTAACCCCAATAACTTAAAAAGGGTGAGAAAAATACAAACAGTGCAATCCAAATCGCATAGGAAACGTCTCGACGTACACTCGTGACGCTATGGCAGCATTTTGATAACATTCCCTGTATACTAAACGACGAAATTATCAGAGCATTGTTTAAAATCCAGATCACCATTTCTCCTCGCTACAAGACTTGGCTACCGGTACAAGACAAAAAAGAAAATACAAGACCTTAATTTATTGTTGGACTTTCAGCTGTAATATAGAAATTGAGTATAGTGATAACACTTTTCACATGCATGTATTGGAAACCTACATTTAGCGAGAATCAGGAAAGAACGACATCCACGTAGCAGGATTCTGTTCTCTTTAAAGTGCTTGGTTAACGTGAGTTCTCACGATTTATTGTTTGATCAACGTGAGTGGGGGACTCACTCAACCAAAAGGAAATTAGAATGCAAGAGAAACTCTTTAGTCAAAGTATACAGTATTGAGTGTTAATAAGATGAGTGACAACCTCACATGTATGCAAAAATTCCTTTTTTGCGCTTCTGAAGGTTCTGACGTGGTAAGATTCGGATTCAGGACGAAAAAATAGATTAGCAAATACTATTAGACTCAAAACAGCCGAATAGTGTTGTGTAGTGTACTCAGTCTCACAAATTTTCAAAAAATGTCACCACTGCAGGTTCCAAACCTTTCAATGAACCCATTTGTGTGAATCATCCTGTGGAGGGAGACGAATATGTCCCTACTTACGTCTACGTTTTCGAATTCTACCGGCCCGGGGGGTCCCGATGGGCCGGGAGGTCCTGGTTGTCCCGGTAGACCGTCCTTTCCCGGCTCCCCTCTAGGCCCCTGCAGTCCAGTAGGGCCCATGGGACCCCTTTCCCCTCTCTCCCCCTTGTCCCCTCTTGGCCCAATGGGCCCCCTCTCCCCCGAGGGGCCTGGTTGTCCGGGTATTCCCGGAAGTCCTGTTTTACCCTCAACGCCATGGGCGGGCGTAAAGGGGAAGTTGTTGTTTGCTCCCAAGGAACTTAAGATCGAGGTAAGGTTGCAAGTGCATACGGCCTGGAAATAAAAAAACAGTTTTATTGGGATGATTACATACTATGTGTTATTTAAATTTAAAAAAAAATCCTTTTTTCCTTTAATAGCGTAAAGACGCGTAAGGTTTTTAATAGAATTGTTGCTTCGTGTTACAAGTATTTGTAACAAAAGAGGTCTGGAAACCTTTCAACAGGAAACGGATATGCTAATATTAAAAAAAACTGTGGTAGGTTAAATATGGCAAAAGAAATAAATATTTTGCTTGAAAATTGAAAAATGATACATGTGTAAGTTCAGAAATACATTTTTCAGGACTTTAGGAATTAATATTTATGAGACTTTCAAAACTGTGTGAATAGAATCAAATTGTAGCGGTAGGCGTATGAATTTGTTTGTTGCTCAGTGTGTTACAACTGTTACAAGTATTTATAACAGAATAGCTCTTCGGTACTATGGGAATAACATTATAAATAATATGATTATATTTACTGTCAAACACATATAAATGCCTATTTTTATCTTATCCATTACTTAATCTTTACTTTAATTTAAGACATATGAGGCTCTTAATAAAATTATTGCTTCATGTATTAAAGTATTTGTAACATAATAGCTCTTCGGAACTATAGGAATAACATTATAAATAATATGATTATATTTACTGTGAAACACATGTAAATGCCTATTTTTATCTTATCCATTACTTAATCTTTACTTTCATTTAAGGCTCTTAATAAAATTATTGCTTCATGTATTACAAGCATTTGTAACAAAATAGCTCTGGGAAACTCTGGGAATAATATAAATTATTTTGTCTCTCTTTCACAACTGTTATTTGAATGATCCCAATACTCATTTTAGGACTTGGAAAGCGGCATTGTTTTGATGAAATACCGTTTTGAAGTATATCACGATACGTATAACAAAAGGAACTTATTCGTAACTCGTTTTATTAAAAAATATAATAAAATTAATCTAATTAAAAATTATTTAAATTACATTTTGAACACATAAAATTCTTAGTAAATGTACAATCTTTATACACAAATAAAACCGCCGATCGATAAAGATAATTGTTCCATTGTACGAGTACTTTTACGTTGTAATTTACTTGGATGACTGGTATGTACTGTGTTTGAAATCGTCCTGTTTAATTATGTAAATTTCCTTTTATTTAAATTTCCGACAATGACGGAAGATATTGCTTTAACTAATTTTCAAATAGCATTCTAAACAAACTCACTTGGGGGCTCCCTATCTATTTCACTTGAAAGAAGTAAAAGTTACATGTAGGAAATTATTAAATACCTACTTATTTTTGTATTTTTTTTATAAATGGTAAAAGCTTTGCAAATTAAATAAGCAATGGTAAAAGTATGTCACAATTGTTTTGTAACAAGATCAAAGATAGAACTAGCTTCTAAAAACAAACTTATAGAACTGTTTTATATACTTTTACTTAGGTTAGTTATTTTGTGCACTGTATTTGTAAATTTTAGCTATTATCTAGCATGCCTCTACAGTTTCATTCGAAGAGTGCTCTTACTTTTAACAAAGGAAAAAGTCAAGTATTCATGTAACACAAGAAATAATGACTCGTGTGCCTAACTTGAAAATTTCCTTTATAGAATTTTGCGTATTGTTCTACTAACCTTTAAAATTTTCTATCACTATGTCGATCTTTAAAATAAATTTTCCAAAGGAGTACCTAAGTAAAAGTACATATTTGAAGAACAGTCATCTACGTAAAGTATATTATTTTACACTTACTAGCATTTTAAAACTTACAACATGAAATTTACTATAATTACAGAGAATTACTATAATTACAAGAATTTTCTAATTACATTAATATTTACAATAAGTTGTATTTCTTTCAGCGCAATATCAACTTCAAACAATACAGGAGCCTATTGCTTTCTAGTGTATGAAATATTCATATATTTTTTCTAAAATGGAGCGAGCTATTTCATCAAGTTCCCAATCGCCCTAATAATTGGAAAAAGAATTACAAATTCATAGAATTTTACCTCCGAAAAGATTTTCTATGGAGGAAAGTTCCTACAATTAATTAAAAGTTTTTACCCAGCTCCACAGCAAAAAATTTACATGTAGAAGTTCGTGAAATATATAACTACCAGTACCACAAAAAACTTAAGCTTTAGCAAAATGTAAAAGTTGGGTAAGGTACGACAAATTAGTGGCTTGAAAAAGTGTCATAAGCCTTGATTAAAGTAATAATGCTAGCTAGTTATTTATTACTGCTGAGGGTAATTTAATTTAATGTAACAGGAATAGCACAACTCCAACTGCTATTAAAATATTTATTTTTTAAATGATGAATAAAATCAAACGGGAACGAATTCGTCCATTCTGGTTTCTACATAACCAGAATTAACATCGTATCTGTGCGTATCAATCGCGGTTCAATTTTGTGTCGTGTTATGTTGGTTTGGATTAATCTAAGATATGTAGGCATAGATTCGATTGATGAAGAAAATAAGAAGAAAACAAGTAGAGGCAATTTATTTTGTGTGGAATTTTATAAAAAATAGTAACAAATACTTTCTAGGTATTAAAAATTCGAATTTTTATATTTTAATTTAACAGTGGAGTGAAAAATAGTATAGGAAAATATTTCATACACAGGAACCAACTTTATTGATGTACCTGTTTCATTAAATATGTATTTCTGTGAAAAGATAAATGTGTTCTATTGTTTTCCGTAAGAATTTACCGGCACCCTCGTCATTTTGTTCAATTGCAAACGTGAACGTTTCTGACATATAATAACACACATACAGCTATCTGAATGTAATACATATAAATTGAAATTATACCCTTGAATACAGTTGAATATATTAGTTGCCCCGTTCTTAGCAATATAATATAGAACCGTTGTTCTGCTGACATTATGCACGATACCTAAAACGTACGTACGAATGTATAACTGATATCATTTTGAATTCGCGCGGATGAATATGTTACTTCGGCATTTAATATCGAAATATATTCAAGAAAGACTCATTTCTGTTCAGTAAACAAGACACAAAAAACAATACCGAATATCTGATAGGGTTAATCAAAAATCAGTTTACCGAAACTGCTTTGAATTCGTTTTGTCTGCAAACTTGGATACCCCCCGGAGAAAAATGGGAGAAAGTTAGAATCCGATTTGTTTTTTATTGGCAATAGAATTGATTTTGTATCGTATTAAGTTAAAGTTCTGTATTGAATTAATGGTAAAGTTTTCTGTTAGCGTTTTTTAAGACTACGTTAATTTCTCAATATATCTGTTGCCAAACATATTTTTTAATGAAAAATACACTTTCTTGTGTTCCAAATAGAACATTTGGCAATGGAAAGTTATTACTGTAAAATGGAATATTGTTGCTGAAACATATGGTGTGTTTTATATTATTTAGTATAGTTATATACAATACGGCGTCCGTATATCCGATAAATGATATTTTTTTGGGAGTATATTACTCTACGAAGCTTAGGTCTTTTTCTTCAGAATCTTTAGTGTTTAAAGATTTAGAAATGGAGGTTTTTCTGGTTGTTATGACGTAAAAATTTTTTATATACCTAACTTGTCCGTGTTTTATATTATTTACATAGCTATATACAATACGGCGTCCGTATATTCGATAAATGATATTTTTTTAGGAGTATATATATATATACGAAGCTTAGGTCTTTTTCCTCAGAATCTTTTGTGTTTAAAGATTTAGAGATGGGTGTTTTTCTGGTTGTTATGGCGTGCAAATTTTTTATATTTCTTCTCTGTGTTGGTATAAAACTTATACCTAAGTACATAAGTCTGTCTTGAATTTCTACTTGTTATATATTTGCCCTATTAGATTTAGATGTCTACTTTGACAGGTGATTGAAGCAATATAAAATATTTATATTTACAGTTAGATAAATAAACATAAACACGTTGATTGAAGTACTGGTGTGCATTGTATTTCAAGTTTTGAACTTCAGACACCGAGTTCCATGCACTCCACTACCTTCGAACGACATATCTGAATTAGTGAACCATAGAACATCAATAGCAGTTACGTATAATCGGAGCAACGTCACTTTTCGACCTTATTTATTGCTTTTCTAAGCACAGCATTATTAGACTACGTAGAATTCCCCCAACGTTTATTTAACCGTATTTGTACGATATTATGTAGTTCTCCGTTTTTATTTCTACCCGGATTTCGACAATGGCGAATGCCACTGGTTATTTCAATAACGCCGAACCGAACTCCTTTTTATTATTGCGATATGAATAGGACGCCGCGGTGGATCATTAATCCTCTACACAATGTTATTGACTGAAGTGCAGCCTTGACCCAAAAGGCCCCACTGTAGTCTGTACAGGTCAATATGTCGATATCAGCGTCGGATGAGAATGTTTGTCTCGAGAATATTAATTTTCCGTCAGTAAAGTTATTAATGATATTGTGGGGAACAGCTACTCTGCGGACTAATGCCCCGACCAGCATTGAACTACACTGGTGATTGTGGATAAAAGTGATTTTATTTTGTTCGTGGGAATAAAATGTCACTTTTCACACTTATATCATAAATAACTGTTCCGTTCAAACTGACTGAGCGACTCGTGAAACATATTTAAAATGTCAATACTCAATTATTGCTTTGGAAATAACTGCATCTTGTTATTTTTGGGAGTTGCAGTGGGTGTATCTTACATTAAGTCGAATGACGCACGTTTTTATTGTAAAACATCCCCTACAAAGATGATCCGGATTATATTCGTTAAAGAATTAAATTTGTTGCCCTAAACAGCTCACAGAAACGTAAATTGTGTAACAAACTAAAGTTTGTTCCCAGAGCGTACCAGTTGTCGAGCTTCCTCTTTCGGAGGTACGCGATAATATTATCTTTACATACATCTGAATATTGCAGAAACTTCCAGACGTTTTCATTGTGCGACTAAGCTAGACTATGAGTGGAAATAACGACCTTTTTGGAACTGTATAGGTATACACGCGTTTAAAATCGTCGACTGCCGACTCTAATACCAATGTAGGTTTCGTCTCATTCTCTCGTAAGAGCATTATCAGGGTTTATGAAGAATTTGTATAATTTATATGTCTTTCGTGTTTGTAGGAGGAAATCTAATTCTGCAACATTTTTATGAGGTGGGATACTCGGAAACCACGCACAAATAAATCGGTTCCAGCTTGTGGAAAACAGTGTGGAAGACTAAAATAAGATCAAATAAACGCCCTACTCATTTTTGCGTTAATTATTAAATTAGAAACGACAAAATCCAAACAACCAAGGCGACTTTGCAAGATTTCGAATAATGTCAAACTGAATTGATTAAGAAATGTCAAAAAATAAAACCTAATCTTTATTTCATGAATCATAAACAACTGTGGGAGCAGATAAAATGTTATGCACCACGCAGCAGTTAAGTATAATTTACCAGTCTCGGACTCTATTGCCAACCCTCGCTCCGCTCGGGCGCAAAAGATTGGGACAATTAAGATATAAATATCTACGTTTTCTTTCTATTTAAAATTATCAAATTATTAGCGACATTTTTTTTTACTTACCTCTGGAGCAGCTGCACCTGGAAGTCCTGGTGGGCCCGGAGGTCCAGGGGGGCCCCTTATAGATTCTCCTGGTGGTCCCTGTGAACCAATAAAATTTAAATGATTTACATTTAAGACGTTATTTTTTACTTATAATATTGCGGGGAAAAACTACTCTGCGGACTAATGCCCTGACCAGCATTTAATTCCACCCACTGTAGTATATTTGTGATTCTTTCCTTAATATTACTCTATATTAATAGTATATCTAGTAGTCGTAACTGAAAACAAAGTTCGGAAAAAAGAAGTACAAGAACTAGTTTTGTTTTATTTTAACATATGTTTAGGAATAAAACAATATTTTTATGTGTATTTTTTGAAATTCTAACGAAAAATGAGCTTTTTGTTTGTAAGTCACATAACTTATTTTGTTGTGCATATACAGTGATTTACAGATTATCGAAAAAACTTTGGTGATATATATTCTCGCAATAAAAAAAAAGAATCCATGAAGCCATTGATTTTTTTTAATTATAATTTTTAAAGTATCTGATATACTTTTTTTATTATACCTAATCCCAAATTAAGTGACCAATACTCTTTCGAAATTGTGACAAATCGCCCTGTCCGGTATTTTAATAAGAGCTAGTTGTGTGAGATCCCAAGAATTCATGGAGTCTATAATGCATCGAAACCGATTCTGTGTGTGTTTTATGCATCCGGATCTCCACATTATTCCCCATTCCGGACATGCGAAATAAATGATTCAGCGGAAATTTAAATTGGTTGTAATATATTTGTTCTCGTTTAAAATTCTGAAGACGCCAGCCAAATCTCTTAGACTTGGAAAGAGAAATAAATGTATTAAGCTCGTTCATTATAGGCTGAGGTGTCGACGTTTCGGTTTATTCTTAATCGTTAGGGCTTATAGCAGTTTTACATCAAAAGTTTGGTTCAAAAGATATATTTTTGAAAACTTAACACCCTACATTTCCTGAAAATATGTATTTATGACATTTCTTAAATAGTTTTTCTTTTTTTTATTTATTTATATAAAAAATACACATAGGTCGTCACATTAGTACAGAGAAAAGTATAATTTAAAGTTTGTACGATAGAGAAACATTAATTTATTCCAGAAATGAAATTCTTGTTATTTATAATTCAAATCTATCAGTCTTAGAAGATAATAAGGGAAACCCGACTAAAATTCCATATACAGGGTGTGAGACTACAACGCGTCAAAAATGTTTGTGAAATTGCTAATTTGTACTAAAACAGTAAAAGTTATGCAAACAAGTCAATAAATAATTTTTATTCAAAACAGAATTGGCTTTTCAAAAATGTGGAAAAAGTATAGTAGCATGCCATAACTTTTGAAAATTTCGTGGAACATCTTTATTTGTTGAACATCCTTATTTGTTTAGAAAATATTTAGTCCAGAACATATAATTTTCTAGAAAACCCTATATCTCAAAAATGAAAGATTTAAGGGCAAATGATTTACAAGAAATTGTTCTTAAATTAGGACATCCTTCATATTTGACATGTTGCATGTTTGCATTTTCTGAAAAAATTATTTGTGACATTTCTTGCGATAGCAAATAAAATAAAAACTTTTTAACACCCGATATCGCAACAACTACTTCCACACCGTGCTACGCCTTGTATGTATGACCAATTTTTTTTTTATTTTAACAACATTTTACTTACCCGCTGACCACGATCTCCCTTCTCGCCTCTGTACCGTCCAGCAGCTTGTTCGGCGTCAGAAATAAAATTACAACAATTCTCTTTACCACAAAAGCAAGTCTTACCATCGGGAGGGGGTGGTGGTGGGGGGAACGCCCCCAAGTCGTCCGCACCGCTGCCTTCCCTTAAAGACCCGTCGTAATCCGTCCTCTCCACCTGCGAAGGAAATCGGATCATTAATAATTGTTGTACCCTCTTACACAAGACGAACTAATGAATAGGATGATTAGTTTTATTTAGTAATAGCCAAGAACAAAACCCTCACCCTCTGTAAAAATGTTTTTCGAAAAAATGTAGCGCAACCATATGCTAGTAGTTGTAATTTTACATTCAAATTACACTTACGGATATAAATTTAATAATACAAATGTGATGTAATTTTTTTTTTGATGCCATGTCTGCTTGCCATTACAGTTAGGTTACAGATATAAATATTGACTGTACAATTGTAGTGTAACTTTACAATGTAATTTTACACTGAGTGCTTTGACTAGTTGATTTTTGATTTGAAGGTCTAAATGTAAATAAATAAATGTAATGTAACCTATCATGCACTGGTTCTCCGATTGCTGTGACTAGTTTTTGTAATTTTACATTTAACTTATGTAATTATAAATACAAATGTAATTCTTCCGATTGTTATGATTAGTTGTTGTAATTTTACATTCAAGTAACAGGTATAAATGAAATTATACAAATGTAATGTAACGTTCTTTATATTGTAATTTTACATTAACAATTACTCTTTAGCTTAACAGTTTAATTTTACACTGAGTAACTGCTTTGATTCTCTGATTGCTATGACTAGTTGTTTTTGTTACATTTGGGTACATAAATGTAATTATATAAATGTGCTTTCGGTTAACACTAATTTTACACTGGCAACTGCTTTAATTCTCTGATTGCCGTGATTAGTTGATTTTGTTACACCTGGGTTGCAGCTATAAATGTAATTATACAAATGTAATGTAATCTTACACTGTAATTTTACACTGACGACTACTCTGATTCGCTGATTGCGATCTAAAGCAACACTTGAACTAAATGTATTTTTCCGTTATCGTTAATTTTTAAAACAAACTTGAAAACGAAATTTTTTGCTACTCTCTGTAGACATCTGAGATTGAAAATTATTTCCAGCGTTCTTCAGTTCTCTAGTACACATTCAATCAAAACCCGGTGACGGTAAAATATATGTTTTTTAATATAAAAGCACAAAATGAATACTCTTTTTTTTTTCATATCAGTTCTGAAGTTCTTTCCTCGTGCGTAGAACCCGTCACATATGAACTGTATTCATCTTAAGTGATGGAAGGTAACAGATGAAAATAAATGAAACAATATACATGCGAGGTTTTGAAGGATAAGCGTTTTAAATCGTAATATGAGTAAAATTTTTCTTTCATAAGAAAATTCACGCTTTATCTACGTAAAAGATTCCTCAGTTTCCACCTGACGGGAGCCAGTGCGTGTCATAAGCGTACAAGCGTTTACAAGTTTTGTGTAACAACACAACAAATAGATTTTCTTTAAAGTGATATAAGCGGGAGATTCCAAAGCAATACAAAAGGGCCGTGCCCATAAAACATAACCGTTATAATAATGGGAAGGGACGGCGGAGGAGCATCGTTTAAAAAAATATGCCCTTTATGGCCTCTTCAAGTGTACATAAACGTTACTATTTAATTCGACGTCGCAAAATTGTCCCTCGGGACGAGATAAAGATTACTTTAAGCAATTTGGCCTGTACTGTAACACAAATAACGAATTTGAGAGATCCTTAGGGCTCCTCGGGGCAATAAGGCAGTTTTATGTAAATCGGTGCAAGCGGTTATATGTTTCGAAAACTACACGCTAGGGTGCCCTGAATTTCCGCCGAATGTAGAAAGTTACAGGTAAAGACAATGGGAAAAACTTTTTATTGACAGTTAATTTTACGGGTCCGAGGTGGCATGGGATTATTCCTAACTGGTTTGGGACCTCTGAATTTTAATTATTACAAGCCCATTTTAATGGGATACTTATCTTAAAAAGTCCGATTATTGTCGTAAGTAATTTGTGGTTAACAGTTTGATCTACAAATCTGCGATAATCTATACATTTTTTTAAATATAGCGTTGACCAATGACTTATATAGAAACTGCAAGTAGGTACTTTACCTTGGAATTAATTGGCAGTTAAGTACACAACTCCATATCAAATACGGCTCAATTTTTTTATAAATTGATGAACAATGCAATTTCTGGAAAAATGATGGAAAATATTAGAAAATATAAAGACGTAAAGTTAGTCACTACCTGATCATGTAGATACGATGCAAACCATTATATTTTAGAGCCAGATTTTCACAGTTGTACAATTTTTGATACAGATACAGTTATAATTGAAATGAAACGATTAAACATTACGTTTAATAAACCTATATATGTAGGATTTACCATATTAAATATTTCGAAAATAATTGTGTGTTAATCCTTTCATTAACACATTATTTTTTAATGTCAACTAAAATAACTGTCTCAGTATTGCTGTTACATATAAATGTTGGTTTGGTGAAGATTCCGTATTAACTGACAAATCTCTTATGGAAATAAATAACACCCAGAAAACTCTAAAACCCATCTATTACAAGCATAAAACATGCAAGGTGGACATTTTTCATACAACGTTCTTAGAATATTTTCAATTTGTGTCGTGGGAATTTCCAAATTAATTACATTTTAATGGCACTTCCGTTAGCCTGGACTAAATTTAGATTTCACACGTTGACGTCGATATATTAGGGTACATTTTTCCCTCGAATATTAGCTAGGTAGGCTTTACTATTTTTTTATATCATTCTGAAAAATTAACAAGTCATTTGTGGAAATTCCAAAGACCCCGTAGTACAGTTCGTTGCAATTGATAAACTGTCCTTATTCAAAATTTATCCCGGTCAAATAAAAAGTGGCTTGTACTACTGATTCTTTTTTTTCACATTAAAATCTAATCATTTTTAATAAATTTCTAATTCACCATATAATTATTAACTATTTGTTACTCCGAACGCTAGGCATTTTTTTATTATAAAGGAATGGCGTTGTATTAAGCGGGATGTATAAATATACCTAAATACGTATAACCTCTGGACAACAAGTAGAATGTTGAGCTTTCTGTAATGAATAACGATTTTATTTCGAGTATGTACAAGAACGAAGGTAGGAGGCAAGAATATGATATTTTATTAGATATCAACTTGAAATGTTGCTTGCTTCTTTAAGTCCAACATTACCAGGCTTTTATATCATAATGAACATATTTATTTCACTAAAAGGTAAAGCTCCAGACGAGTTTTTTTTTATTAAAAATCCGTTTTTTGATGAAATCAAAGCAAAAAGTTTTCTAATAACACTGTGATTATATGAAACGCTATAAACGTAACACGTTTCACAAAAATCTGTAATTTATTTCAGTAAGATATTTATTTATTTATTTATTATTTCCAGACAGACATTGTGTGGAAGACACAGCAATTGTAGCATATGAAGTACATACACGTATTACAGTCCGTCTTTTTTTATTTTTCTGAAATAAAGCTACAATTGGAGTCATGCACCAGATCATTTCAAAGCTTCCCGCCTGGAATAACGTATGAAATTTCGCAGATCATTAATAAAGTAAAGAAACAGTAGCGGTCTCAATTTGGAACCTTGGAGAACACCTGAGTAGTATCCTGTACACTTAATACTAGGGAATACCTTGGAAGAAAAGAATACTTTGGTAAGTCAAACAAGTTAAAGAAACAAAAGTTTCCATAGAAAGTTGATATTCCCCACTTTCCCCACCTTGTTCCCGTTTTGTTTTTATTCCGGGTTTTTGCTTGGATTAACGAATTATTTTTAATAAACCTGGAAAATCCCACTTAAAATTGTTATCTGGCTGCTCGCCGTATAAAAAAGGGTCACATTTAATTAAGATCTATTGGAGGCAATTAACGCGAGATTAATGGTCCCCCCACGTAGGAACCGGAAATTCGTAATGATTCAGTAAGATTAACGGAGTGCGTTTTCAGAGAGTTAATGGAGAAAGAGCCTTTAAATATTTTGCCTAGTAGTACAAATTAAATTTACTAACGGCCAATGACGATTAACGGCAAGATTAAATGCCACTTGATTATGTTAGCAGCCGTAATAGCCGTAAAGTCGTTATATATTTTTCCTTGAAGATTTGGGCCAGTGGTTCCCAAACTGTTTTTAAGAAATATACAGAAACTTAACCTAACCTATCTTTTTAAAGGAAATATTAAAAGAACACGCTGAGTAATTATATATTAATATACAATTTTTAATAGTTAACGATTAAAACCAAATTACATGCTTTAAATCGTCAACTGACTTAACATTGTTAATAGGGGGTTAGTAATCGTATTAAATTTCAATAAATTACTTACATCTATTTCGTTATTATAGTCTTCATCGAATGACTGAAAACCCTGGTTAAAAAAATAAAAATAAAATGAAAATAAAACACTACTCAAGTAAAAATAACTAGTGTAGTTAAAAAAATAATAATAAATAATATATGAGTGTCAAGCTAGGTACAGTCCAAAAATAGAAATAGTATATATTTTTAAATACGGGGGTCACCTAACGAATGTTACATACTTCTAGAACCCTAGTATGCAGTGATTATGGTTCAATCTTACAGCGCGTTCATTTTACTACGGCCCTTTGTGAATATTCTTCTGTAACTTTTTTGTACGTTTAAATTTTTACACGCAACTATCAGAAATGGGTAGAGAATTTTATACTACACAAAAAATATTTACCTATCAAGTCGAAATTATGAAATAGAGGAGATAAAGGATCAAGAAGAAAAGAAATTAGTGTATTAGACAGTGGTAAAGAGGTATAAACCCCTTATATAATACAGACTTGTGTTAAATTGAATATTTAAATCCATATCTTGGATATTGTTATTTAGTTTAAGTTAGAGTAGAGGAAGTAACGTAGGTTTCAATTCAAGAATACTTCTATTGATAGAAGATTGAAAAATTTTGGATAAATAGTAAAATAAATTCAATGTTAGCCAATCACATAATTTTTATTTTAACTTGAAATATATTGGATCAGAGCAATTAAATGAATTAAAAATTCATTTTTACGAGAAATAACATAACTGTGGTCAGTTAAAATTCAATTATAAATTTTTTACCTTTTCCTTCTCAAGGTTAAGTAAGTCTCTAAATTCATTAATCAGTATAATATTTTAAAGTCAAAATACTAATCTTCTCAGGACCTTACCGTGAGGAAGACTACTCATATTAGATAAAAATTTGCTAGAATCTTAAATTATTTTTTTTCTCAAACAAAGACTTTCTCGATAATCATAACAAACAAAATTTGAATTAAATTACAACGTAATCTGGGCGCCAGCTCATGTGAACTGAATGAAGAAGAAAAATAGCATACAAAGAAGAAGAAGCGAAGCAGAATAAGTAAATACAGATAAGAAAATTACCATCTTACATGAATTTGTAACAATATGTAACTTTTTTACGATATTTTTCGTGTAAGCAATTTTGGTTAAATCGATATCATTTCGGTTCTAGTTATACCCTTGAAGTATGTAACATTCTGTAGGTAACACCCTGTAAAATGCAAAAAAAAAATTAAGACAAATGAAAAGTTATTTGGGAAAAAATTAAAAGCTTGTCGAAAAAAAGAAAGAACCGTTAGTAAACTTTACAAGACTGTCTATTTTTAGTCTGCAAGTAACGATTTACTCTTTAAATTAAGAAGAGAGTAACTAGTACATCAAAAAAATGTAGTTTACGATGTTTACATTAACTTTATACAAAAATACAAACCTGAAAGTCCGTTTTGCATTGCTCGGAAGCCATGTTGGGGTCCAGGAAAATTTTCACTTGATCCAAAGCGCCCTTTAAAGAAAATCCTTGCGATTTATACAAGAACAAATGTAAGCCAAGCCGTCGCTCCCGTTTCATTATTTAAGAGCTCGCCAGCATTCGATTTATCACATCGCGCAATGGTATAAACGAATGTATTGCCGGCAAGAAATATCCCGGAAGCCAGGATACACGTTGCTATTGATTTATAACTTTGATGATAAGCAATTTATCAGCTTCAGCATCGGTTACGCAAGTAGTTTCAAATTTTTTTCAGCCGACGTTCTGAAATTTTCAGTTTCAGGTATTTATCGTCGAAGTTCGTACCGCTGATACGTTTCTTTCAAAATGAGGAAAAATAAGAGACAAGTGGAATCGGCGCAATTTTGTTTTGTGAAAGTTTTTCATTTGATTTTGTCAGGTCTGGGGTTTTCAGCAGGTACATATTTTTACAAACTCAAAAACTCCAAAAACAGTTGGAATTAGAAGGCCTGTAGTGATACATCTAATGAGATAACTAATTTTTAAAATAAAGACATGAGCTTTATATAAAAAAAAGGTGAACTAGTGTCCAGCTCATTAAAAAACACACTGTAAAAAAATCGGTGTGAGTGAAGGCAAGAAGGTGCAGAGTGAAGTGAAATTATTGAGTAGATTTTCACTCAATATTGATCATTTTACTCATTTGTGATTATTAGGGTAGCCCAAAAAAAACGAATTTTTTTTTTCGTTTCTCTTGTGAAAATATGTTAGTTCATCATATTTTAAGAGCCCCTCAAAATATCTGCTCTAAACAAATTTTTTTTAGAGGTCGCTCAAGAATTTCCAAAATCGTCAGAAATTGAATTAAAAAAAAATGTTTTTTTCGTTATTTTATCATTTTCTAGGTTGAAAAAAATCTCGATTCTTAAAATTTCAAATCGATTTCAATATTAACGAACTAATATTTTTTTTTATTTAATTTCATGATCAAAAGAATAGAAATAAATCACGAAAATATATAAATACTTGACACAGTGCGGTAGTAAATTTTGCCTCAAGTGTCTCTTGATTTATTTCTATACTTTTTTTCATCAAATTCAAAAAAAAATATTGGATGATATTTTTTTAGAGATCGCTCGAAATCCTTTTAGGTACACTACTTTTAAAGTTAAAATAATTATGAATGACCTTTAGAAATTAAAAATCGATTTGAAATTCTCAGAATTGAGTTTTTTTTTCAACCTAAAAAATGATAAAACGAGAAAAAAATAATTTTTTAAAAATATATTTTGACGATTTTGGAAATTTTTAAAAATCTTGTAGGACCTATAAAAAAATTTTTGAGCTGATTTTTTTGAGGGGGCTCTTAAAACATGATAAACTAACATATTTTCACAGGAGACAAAAAAAATATTCGTTTTTTTTGGGCCACTCTACTATGTAGATATGTTTTCAGCCACGAAAATTGAATAATTCCAAATACTTCGAATTTTCACCACCAAGAACGGCGGTGACCGCACTTTTAACATTAAGGCGATGTTTCGAATTGTATTAGCTATGACCTGTCCAAATTTTGTTAACTCAACTCTGTTGGTTCAACCATGAAAATTGAATAATTCCAAATACTTCGAATTTTCACCACCAAGAACGGCGGTGACAGCACTTTTAACATTAAGGCGATGTTTCGCATTGTATTAGCTATGTCCTGTCCAAATTTTGTTCGTGAAATTTCAGTCAAATGGGGCGTCGACAGAAAATGATACATTATTGAGAAAATTAAGTGATTTTTTTACAGTGTAAAATGTTTTCCAAAATGTTTCGGTCATTTTCAGCCACTTTTAGCAATTTCCTCAAATCGTGCGGTTGCTTCAGTACAACAAATGAAGGATTTGCATCAATATACATATAGACATAGTGGGGTCTCAAGATCAGGCCACTTTTTAGAGTAGAACCCAAATCCAGCTTTTCTTGAATACGTTATCCTTAATACTGGGAGCAAATTGTGCCTAAATTCACTCAAATATAAACGAGCCACATACAATTTCAGTAAAAATTAACCCCGTTGCGTATACAAGATAAATTCAATTTTGGAAAACATATCTTTTAATGTATGTCCATAATATCGCACGGATTTATTCATAAGCCCGTTATATCATACAAACCCGTAATGGTTAATAAACAAAACCGAATCAGCGATATTTATGCGCAGACAGTATTATCTAATTTCCGAATTAATTCGTACAGGCGGCTCCGGTTGCATAATAAAGCTATTACATTAAAAATCGGAAGTAATCAGGTCTCGTGTCGCTCTAGATAGAAGAATATGACAGGAGTTATGTTAATCAGCACTTATCTAGTACAGGCTGCAGGGTGTAATGTTTAATGGGGATTATTTTGGTTTTTAGGTCAGATATGGCGCAGTTCTGTACCCATAAATTTTGTATTTTGAGGCCGTATCGACAGTTCGCTATGCGCTCGGCGTTTAGTGATTTTTGCGGCGGTTTTAAATTATATACAAACATGTGTACGCGTCTATCGATTACCCAAAAGAATTTTTTTAATGGAACTTTCTTAATTACGACGTAAAGCCACAAAATACGTCGCAAAATCAAGGCTGCTAATTACCCCCACAAAAAAATGACATTAAAATCCACGACACCCAAATCGTCCGCGATATTCTCACAACCAGGAAATTTATATGGATTTTCCGTCCTCTCGGCTAGGCGCAATATATCATAAAATGCAGAAAACTTGTATATATGCAGGGCCCGGTGTAAAAATGAACAAATAGCGACGGCGTCGCCTCGTTTAAGGAGGGAAAACTGATAGCATTCATCTTGTGCGATTTAACATGATTCAATGGGATTTTTCGACGAATCCAGGTGTAGGTACCCTTCATATGTAAATTTGTAGGTTGGCGTGGAAACGTCTGTATGGAAAAGTCGAGTCGGACGGCCTTCGGGGTGAAAAAGTTAGGTGAGTGACAATTTATTATTCCAATAAACCACAAGCTCGACAGACAAGTATACGTAACTATTACAAAAGTCGTAAATATCTAAATTTTCACTCTATAAGTACGAGTACAACTGAGTGAGTTTTACTCAAATCCGAATTACTGCTAACTATCAATTGGGAGACGTTTGACTCTATTCCGAGTATACAAAACCAATTTAGAGTTGACTTTTACTCTAATATGCTTTAAATTTAACTATTATCGAGTCATTTTTTACTCAGACTTGGTTTTTGATTAACTAAATACAGAGTGCAAAAATAAATCACTCATAAATGAATAATTAGGGTATACAGTGTTGAAATTAATTCACTTCGCGGGGCCTCCTCCTGTCCTGGCTGAGACCCGCCAGCTGAGACCTGCCGCCGCCGGCTAAGGCTTGTTCTCCTGGCGATCACGTTTTTCTGGAGCATCTAATTGGCCCCTATTGACTGTGGTCGAGATTACAGAAGCAACATGTAAGTGGTGCCATCTTCATGGCGCCATTCAAATTACTCGAAATTAATATACATTTAAACTCGCTCAGTAATGAGGACATTTACTCTGATTTAGGCACAAGTAGAACTTGGAATGGTTTGTTCCATATTTTGCAAAGAATGCATGGGTATCAATTGTAACAATATTCAAGAAGTCGAAGTTGCAGAAAACGATGTACTTGAAGACGTAGCTATTGATTCAATTTGAAAGTGTAAATGTTAAATAAAAAAAATGTATATATAAATACATTATTAATAAACTTTATTGTACTTAAATTCTCAAGTTTTTGCTAAATTATTTTATTGTAAAAAAAGAAACATCTCCATATTTCAGATAAGTAATAATATATGATTAAATGTAATTTCATTTGAAAAATCCCTCATAGTTTCATACAGTTGTGAAAATCTTTAACAAATAAAACATTTGAAATATTTTTTTTATTAAGTAAATAACCAATTTGTTGTAATTTGTTAAAAACGACGAAAATATAAAAAAAAAATATTTAAGTTTGGGCGGTTATAACTCAGTCAATATTAGTCCGAAAACTTTTGAAAACGCATCATTATGAAGGTAATCGCATTTAATTTTTTTGTAGTACAGCAATTTTCAATGCCTACTCCTACTAAAAAAAAAATAGTCAAAAAAGTAAAAAAATAAAAATATCTTATTTTTTGTTTTCTTTAAAATTGTTTATTAACGATTTTTTTGCATAAAATTTTTCTTTTAAATTTTTTAAATGTCATTTCTGGTAAATTTAATTCTCTACAAAATTTTTCCTATGAACTATACCGAAATTTTGCTTCGTTTTCGTGTTATATTTAAAAAACTTCAAAAGTCATGTGATGAAAATCCTTGAACGTCTTATTTTCTTCGTATTTTGCAAAAATGAGAATTAAAGGGTAAGCGCGACGAATATCGAAAAATTGGCTAAGTTTGAGCGGCCATATATGTCAATTTTCATCCAAAAATACTTTACAACCTCTTACTTTGAAGGAAATTTTATCTACTTTTTTTATGAACTATAGCAAAATTTCACTTCGTTTTCGAGCTACAATTAAAAAACTGAAAGGGGTGCATTTTTACCCCTATCTCCAATTTCTACCCTCTAATTTAATAGCACTCCGCAGTTTTTTCATCTAAAATGACCCTTTGAACGATTCATGCAATAAAATTGCTCATAGTTCCTTTTAACCTTGTTTTTTTTGGGTATAATCAATAGCCTATAACTCCTATTCTTAGGAAGAATTTATTAAAGGAGTACCTATACTTGAGTGAAACGACTCAGTCGTAGTTTAAATATAATCACAAAAGAGTAAAATGATCAAAATATCCAATATTGAGCGAAAATGTACTCACACTCCGAACCTTTATCACACTTACACCGATTTTTTTACAGTGCAAATTTAACCTTCTTCGCTTCTGAATGTGAGATATTTCTGGTAGGCAAAGACCGTTTATAGAGAGAAGAAAAAGCATAGGCCCGAGTTCTGATCCCTGAGGCACCCCTAAATGTTAAATATGACCGAGATTTAGAGTCATTGTGCTCGCCGTATTGTTCTCTCTG